CGTCTTACACAAAGTTGCAAGCTCGATTGTTAGTAAACCTTTGGATTCTTCCTCCCCTTCTTCGTTTTATTTCTTTTTCTAAAGACTGCACATGCCCATCCTCTATACGGTGTCTACAGTTGAGACTAGCCGAGCTTTCATTTCTTTTGCCTGTTCCACCAAGAAGAAGGACCGGCAATTCCTACCATTTTTATGGCGAGGGTGTTATATCGTCTCGCTCATATTGGCTTCAATTCGCGAGTGGTATGAGACCTGACTCGAAATATGGGGCGAGATGCTGTGATGTCTCCTTATTTTTGGAAAAAGAAGTACCGTCCCGTTTGCAAGTTGGCGGTTACTCCACGTATCCACGTCACATCGGAGAAAAGGCCCCCGTTACCTAAAATAATTGGGGTATAGTCAAAAACCCCCTCGTCTTTTATTCCCTGCTCTCCGACGTCAAGCAGATATACCGGGTTCGCATCCGGGTGCTTTCCAGAAAAGTTGAAAAACTCCGAAGTCCACGGCTTGAGCCGTTGTTTCACAAGTAGACCATCATATTGTTGGTCTTGCGTGGCACTTGTAGTTGGCGTGAGTGAAGTGCTCAGATGGCCAATACAATGTCTCGAGATACTTGTTAGTTGCCACAGCTATGCAGCTCGTTTGTTACTCTTCTTTAGACACCGCCACATCGATCGTGGAGACGATGCAATGTCAATATGAAGCTGTGAACATCGTGCCTTGTTACCGGATTTGATTTCGGCTGGTACTCCCTTACTTTTCTGCTTTTCCGCTTTCCCTCATATCATCCTCTTGAGAGCCGTTATTAATTGCCATGGTGTTCGCAATTCGCCATGACGTCGGTCCCTTGCATGAGATGCTTTATTTCTGGGGATGCCCGATGTTGAAAGAACATGTTCCTGTCCAACCCTCCGAGCCAATATTTGTTACAAAGTCCTTGTGACATTTACGGTTTAGAAGCTTTCCATGAAATAACACTTCAAGGATATCGAGTGGACCGCTTTTGGAGGGACAAGGCATATTCCCTGCGCTCAAACCTCTCTCGACACAATCGAGGGCTCCAAAGGTTTTGCCAATTGCTTTTGCCAAAAAAGTGTTTCCATACATATTTCGTTCTTCGTGATCACCCTGGCTTCGAATCGCAAACGGCGGCTCCTAGCAGAGTGATACTACGGACAGAAGCACAATGAGCTAGTCTCTTCGGGGTATTTCCCTGGGGGTTTAATTACTGGCCTGAAGCCTGACAAGCCCTGCGCACGCTAAAGGTCTACCGAAGGCCATAATAATAATTGATGGCACCTTGCCTTCCTGCGGATATTAACGATTTACCAAGAGGTTCAGACCTGCGGATTTGATCACAACCTATCGAAGGCCTCCTTGACAGCCTCCTTCCCATCTACAATTTTCTTTTTTCTTTTTGGTGATTATAACAGTCTGCGGAGCCTCTTCTTCCCGTTGTTATAATACTATTGTTCCAACCTCCAGATCTTTGCGCGCATTTTCTTTGCAATCTTAAATGGTCTAGCTGTTTGGCTGGCATCAACTCACATTCCTGCTCGACTTCATGCAGGTGAAAGGCTTTGCATTGAACACATCGAACGAAAACTCCAAAATCGGACGGCGAAGAATTTAAGGTATGCAAATATTTTTCCTTTTACATTGCAACGCATGAGCATGCTTTATCCGATGAGGCTCAAATCGACCTTTTCGTATTGTCTACGTTATAGACGAGAGCCTCGAGGTTGGATCTCGAAAAGGGAGTTCGATACCAGACTTTGGCAAGCCACCATATCGCATATGCCGACGCGTAGCGGTGAGGCTCATTCTTTCTTGGGTCTTACGCTGCTTAGATATATACTCGTATCGGTCTGGTTTCGATTCAAGAAACTTCTCCCGTTATTTGATATCCTGGCTCTGCTCTCTCCGAATGTTGCTCTCGCATCCGTCTTAGCGAGCTGCATCCTGCATTTCAATTACTACAACAATTTGAACTCCTTTCGCTCTGCCCATTTGTTCTTTGACATTGTATTATTTATTTTCTACCATATCCTTTGGTGGATCACATCGATTGTTCTTTATTCATTTATTTCGCCGCTAGTTCGGCGTCTCCCATATTTATTTATAACTTTGGAGTTACATTTTTTTTTATCCCCGTCGATATCGTACTTTTGATGCTTTTGTGAGGCTTCATTGCGCGAGTTACCAATCCTTACAACTTTAATTCCTAACCTTCTTTTCGGCCTTTTCCTTTTTTTTTTTTTCTTTCTTGCTCAATACTAGCATATTTCTTATATCAGCCTCCTAGCTTTGAATCTAGTGGCCTAGTCTTTGCAACGTTGATACGCCAGAGGTATCCACTATTCTTAGACCTCGATCCCTATCCTGAGGTACTTTGAGCTCGAGACTCTCTTTCCCCCTAATCTCTGTTCTGATTCGTTCTCCGTCGCTTCTGCTATCCCTGCAGGCACAGCGCAGCGACTGCCACGAAACCTATTCAGGTGGCGTTTTTCTGCGTGGCTTCCTTTACCATTACCCGCTATCACTGTCCCAGCTGAATTTCTCGCAGCTTTTACCGAAACGAACCCAAGAGAGTTAAATGGCCGTAAGGCCTAACAAAAATTTGGGTTTGTCAACAGTTTGCCTGCAGCGGCGTCGACCCAAATCCACGCACGCACTCCGGGCTAGGCCCGCGGGTCTCACATCATCGACCGTGGGCTATGCCAACGGCATTTGTGTCATGACATTGAGCTGCTAGGGGCGTGCAACAGACCTGACCGACGGCTTTTTTCTAGCATGGGAGTTATTTTACAAATAACTGCAGCTTCTACCTACCTACTTCAATTTGAGCTTTATGAAATTTCCATATTATCAGCCGCATCCGGGGAAGGAAATCGTAATGGGGATTTGAGCTAACGTTAACAACTGGGATAGTTTAACTTGTGTAAAGACTAGCGCATCTGGTAGGCCAGAGCCGCAAAAGCAGCTTGTCTCGACTATATCATACAATATCCTCCTCCTTTCCCTGAAGGCTGGAACCAAAACCATAAATTCCACCATAGAAAAGCGGACCAACTCCTGGATCGAATAATTCTCTTTAGGTATATATTATCGAACCATTCCGACAGGCAGGTTTGTGAACTAGAGGGTACCACAATTATTTCCCCTTGGGTAAGATATCTGTCCTTGTCCTGCACGTCCTTGCAACATCAGTCTTTATTTTTTTTTTTCATTTTTTTCATTTTTTTTATAATTTTTGTGGCAACGGTTTCCTAATCCGATGGAGGAGTTGATAGAGCCCCAATTATCGATCGATCTTTCCGAGCTGCCGCGTCTTCCGTTCGATCCAAGCACGAATATATTAATCAGCTGCCTTCGAAATCTACATATCTTCCCTCCATTCAAATAGTTGCTATACTTCCTTTGGGTGTTGGCCGGAAAACAATTGATAGATGGAAAATCGATAACAACGCAAATATATACCAAAGGAAGTCAGCCATGTTGCAATTGGATACTCGACCGTCGAGTACTTGGACATCGTCCTCGACATATAGTAAGTTGTATATACCACAATGATTCTTTCTTCGTTATTGTTTTTTTTTTTTTTTAACGTCCCTACTTCCCATACTTTCCCTCAAGAACGATGATGCCCTGAAGGCATCTCGGACCGGGTATTCCCATTGGTGACGAACAAGAAACAAGGCCACCTGATTTGATTTTGGAAACCCTTTTTTTTTTTTCTCTTTCCCTTCTAATGGTCGGGAGATGCCACGGTTTAAAAATCCATACAGGAGCTTTGACAAAGCTGCAAGATGCAGGTAGAGTCGAGCAACCTGGCCAAGCGTAACTCGGAAAACCAATCCAATCCTGGCTGGGATCCTGTGGGAAGGGATTAATCCCCCCAAAATCTACCAAAAGTTTTCCCGGTATTTTTTTTTTTTTTTTTTTAGAGTTTATGTCATCCAAGATATCGCCATTGGATTCATCGAAACCCAAGGCATGGCTATTCCCTTTAAGCCTCTTTTTCCGATACCCTTGAAGCTACCAGATCTGAGGACAAAAAGTTGCACTTTTGGCTCTGGCCGAAAGGTTCGTTCGCTTTGCGTGCAGATTTTAGCGAACTGACCAGGCCTTGACATGACGCCTGTGCCCCCCCTAACTAGCATTTTGGCTGTTCGTCATCCTGTATCAGCCCTGCTACCCTGCTTTTTACAGAGCCGCCTCTTTTGTCTTTCCGTTTGTTCGTTTTCTTTTGTCCCTAACGAGCCTTCCTAAACGAAGATCTGAGGAAAATTCCGGTGTGGGTTTGCAGATTGCAGACTTGCATACGTTTGGTCTTCCATTGCATGCTCGCTGGCCCATCATACCTCATGATCAATCTCTTACGAGATTGATTGCATTTAATATTGCAAGTACCACATCACACAACCACAGTTGTGGGCCAAGACCCTGCCCATATGATGAGGATGTATGGGAAGAGGCTCGCGCTTTTTTACCCCGTCGCAGCTCGCATCGATTCTTATGGCTTGCCAGAGGAATTGCAGCGGGGGTATCCTTCTCTAGGACTTGAGTTCTCTATCTGTGACTCCAACTCTAAACGGGGGGGTGTTTTTTTCGCTCTCTTTCTCTTTCTCTTTCTCTTTTTGACAACTGAAGCATAAAGGAACAGGAAAAAGAAGAAAGAAAGAGAGAAAGAGAGAAAGAAAGATAGAAAGAAAGAAAGAAAGAAGAAGGGACCTTTAATTTTTTGTTCCCCGCTTCTTCTCTCATTTTTTCCTATCATGAAAGTTTTCCCCAAGGTGGTGTCCTGCTGCCATCCATTTCACCCACCCACCTACTTTCTATAAAACTTACACCATACTTACATACTTGCATACATCCATACCTTTTGCTGGCCTTTTGCTTATCGTGCTTTTCTTTCCTTCTTTTTTCCTTCCTATTCTCTTCCCCCCCGATGGCTATCTTGGCAATTGGCCGAATAAGATCATAAAAACTGGTTCCAAATGGCCCGGCCAAGTTAAGTCGATTTGATTTGGCTTGACTTGGAAGCACGAGCTTTATTAATATCAGTGAACATAGTATACTACACTATACTGTTTGCCTAGTTTGGTATATAAAATATAGAACTAAGTCAGCCAGGAAGTAACTTGACTAACGCTAAGCCAAACTCTGATAGATGCAGACGGTAGAAGTTTGCCGGCGGAATTTTCCTTGTCGACGACATTGCAGAAGAATATCAATAGTGGAGTCTTCGATTTATCGAGACTGTTGGCTAGGAGTCGTCCCCCGACCACTACCATCAGCGATAGTATGCATCATCATCATCATCAGCTATATCAACATCATAACGATAGTATAGCTGGAGGGAATAATAATAGTAATAAGTACAATACGAGTGAACATGAACGCCGACCATTGACGGAGCAGAAGACGTATAACAATAATAAGAAAGAAAGAGAAGAAGAGGAAGAGGAAGAAGACGCAGAGCTTAATAAGATTATTATCAGCCGCAGAATTCTTAGTCTCGAGAGGGAAAGGGAAAGGGAAAGGGAATTAATCGCCAAGCCCGTTCAGCCCACCCGAAATCCAGCGACTCCGCTCGAAACTGAGCCTGAGACTTTAAACCTGCCTCCAATCCGCCTAGCCTCCTCCAGAACTAGCAGAAGCAGAAGCAGAAGTAGCAGCAGCAGAAGCAGCAGCAGAAGCTTTAGAGCCTCCTCTTCTCCTTCATCTTCCCCGTCTCCGTCCCCTTCCCCGTCAATATCGCCATCCTTGCTGCCTAGCATCGAAGAGCCTCATCTGCCTTCCCTTCGTGGCAGACTGCATTCGGCTTCGACTTCGGCTTCGACTCCGACCGACAACACAAGTCCAAGTCCAACACAGTCTTCTTCTTCCAAATCTAACTTTGATCTGGTTAATCCCGCAGGTCTAATAGGTCTAACATCGCTGCCGCTGCACCTGCCGTCTTCGGATCGGATCGGTATCGATAACGACGCTACTATTGCTGCTACTGTTGCTGCTGCTCTTGTTGACGTTGACGTTGGCTGTCGCTTGCCTCCCATTCTTTCCGGCGCTTCGACCACTAATCCTGCTCCTACTGGTGGTAGTCGAAGTAGACATATTGCAGATTCTTCGGACGGACGTACAAGCAAGAAACGTACTTTGGAAGAGTACCAAGGCCATTCCGATCATTTCTCATCGAGACGTGCTCCTGCTAGCATCGTCCATCCTCTATCGCAGTCGTTGACTGCGGATAGCATTGCGAATCCCTCCTCGTCAGGCCTTCCCATCAGCCTTGCTCCGATAGATTCTATTTCCGTCTCTGAGAGCCAGCTGCAGCCTTCTCGCTCTTCTCCCCCTAATCCTTCAGGTATATACCTACCCACCTATCTACACACTTATCTACCTAGATATACATATATCTATCCATCTATGCCAATATCTCATAAGTAGTATATTCTAACATTTCTATTCTTCAGCAGTAAAACCCGTCTCACGTCGGCTTCACGAAAGCGACCTTCCAAACAGAACCGACACCGATAATTCTGTCGAATCAACCATCGTCCTGGCCCATCGAGCTGTTACAGCAATTAAAAACCAATCATTGCCCCGCCCTAAAACAATTGGTCCGACTTTTACCATAGGGAAACAACCTTCTCACCCTTTTGGGGTTGCCGGTAGACCGCATGATGGGGTTATGGAATCAGAGGACGAGTCAGATTCCGCATCTACAACTACAACTACGACTTCGACTCCCTCTCCTCTCAACAAACCTAGAATGATGCCTTGGGACAGAAAGAAACCCCCTCGCGAGGAGAGTCCTGCTTTAGATCAAAACTTCTTCCCTGACTTGGACCCGGCTCCTCTTTCTGGCTCTATTATACGCCCAAATTCGAGCCCAAAACGTGGACCCGGCCAACCTGGAATAGCATCTTTGATCAATCTTATGGGGGGGAGCACCGAGAGGTCTCGTATGATTGCAGCAGATGTCCGGACCGATCAGCCTTTGCAACCAGTCGACTCGGAAAGTGAAAGCCAAAGCCCAGAAGATACCACTGGCGATGCCGGAGAAGCTTCGAATGATTCCACCGGACAGGAGGCCCCGTCGACAACCACAAATACTACGAATACTGTCTCACAAACTATTCCTCCAATCAACAGATCTATTGACGGGCACCCGGGGGATGGAGATGGTGGGGAAGATCCGAATGACAAGCGGTCGCGAAAACTCAGCGAGCATGAGCAGGATAACGGCAGTGAAAGTATAAGTTCGGGCCGTGAAAAGAGAAGGAAGTTGGAAGAGCTGGCGGATGGTGTACCAACTGAGCCGCAGATTCCCGGTAAATCTGACCAGGATGCAACTGTAAGCAGCCCCTTTGGGCTTTCAAAAGGACCCTCACCCCCACCTGTCCCATCTGGGCCTCCTACTGTCGAATCCGTCCCTTCTACGACTGCAACATTGGATAGTGGGCCCGCATACAGTGAAAGCGAAACACCTGCCACAATGTGTGGAGCATCTGATTACTATAAGTCCCCAGTAGAGACATCATCCAATAACACGTTACCACCCATTCACTCTCCTTCGAACCATTCGCCAGGTAGGCAAAATATGTCGCCGAGGTCCACACATACGACGCTTCCCAGCGTAGATAACCTTTTCACAGTCGCATCTGCCGCTGAAAAACATTCTATGGATCACCAGCAAATACAACAAAATCACACATCTCACAATGGCAAATATTCCAAATCAGTCGTCATTCAGCATCTTAAAATTGTCCCAAACTCTAGCCCGAATCCAACACCGAATACCCGCGCCTATGTCGACGGGTTTACCAGGGGTATCGCATTTAATGATCCTGCACAGAATTTTAGGACAATGGTGCCTCGGCCGCGACAATCCCCTACCGTCTCGCCCATAGAAGGCAGAAATGCTCCAATTGCGCCTGCGCCTGCGAATAACTTTTCAGGGCAAGCTTCTACCAGCCCTTTAAATCAGTTTACACCTACACCGTACTTCCCTCCCAAAAACTTGAATCGACCGGAGCACCCTGCAAATCACGCGACTCTGCCGCCACTTCAAACCGATTGGTCCGGCTCACTTCCCCCATCTGAACCAGGATCAGCAAGAACGCCAACCTCCAAGAAGAGGGCACGAAATGGAACCCCAAAGAATGGGTCTATCGATTCGTCTCAGAACTCTCCGACAGTTGCTGGCGGTTTCAAATGCAACAAAGAAGGGTGCACGGCCGCCCCGTTCTCAACCCAGTATCTACTTAACTCGCATGCCAACGTCCACTCGGAGGATCGTCCCCATTTCTGCCCTGTCGCCGGATGCTCACGCGCTGAGGGAGGGAAAGGTTTCAAACGAAAGAACGAAATGATACGCCACGGCCTTGTTCATCAAAGCCCTGGTTACGTTTGCCCATTCTGCCCAGACAAGGAACACAGATACCCTCGGCCTGATAACCTTCAAAGGCATGTGAAAGCTCACCATAAGGATAAAAGTGGAGATGACCCACTCTTGAGGGAGGTATTGGCTGTTCGACCGGAGGGTGGCCAAAGAGGGAGAAGAAGAAGGCTGGGTCCTAATCCTTAAGGGTCTCATACTAAATCAGCGCCACGACTTTTTTGAATGACTCGTTTTATAGCATTAAGCCTGTTTCGAAATTTATACGCCATTTTAATTCTTGCGTTCTATCGACAAAAAAAACCGTCTCTTATTTTTTTGCCGCTGCAAAAAAAAAGCATTGGATTGTTTCATCTATATTTTTTTTTCTATCTGGCAGAACTCTTTTCATGAGGACACGAACTTTTGATCTTGCTACTTGTGTGTCGCATTGCTCCCGCTGGCCCCTTTCTATTTTTGATACATATATATACCTATTCCTTGGTTTATTTCTTCTCTCGCTTGGATTCAAAATAGTGTCTTGTGTTCTTTCCCCTCGAAAAAATACCCTCGCTTTTTTTTATATATACAGGGATTTACTTTCATTCTACTGCCTGCTTTTGCGATCATATATAGGAGAAGTTGGTTCTATGGGGAGTGCTTTTTGTCTCTTAGTTCTGTTAAATGCTGTTTGATACCACTTGAGATTTAGTTTTGATTTTTGTCCTATTGCTCCCTTTTGTGAATATCTCGTTTGGATATCTTTTCTCAACTACATGGAAATTTTTATAGCGATGGAAATTTTTGCTGCCCTCGATAGAGGGTCTAGTCTATGTTATTTACAAAAAATTTATCTTCTCTCTCGTAATCCTTACATTTGCCTCCCGCTTTCTATTCTTGGTAGGATTTTTTGTCCAATTGCGTAGGCAAGCGGAAGTACCTCGTCAGATTATGTGTCATTTTTTATTTTATTTGTTCTATTTTATTTTTATTTTTTTATGGAAAAATTCTTCACGGATCCGGATCAATGTCGCGATTGTGAGAATTGAAGTACCAAGTAAGCACAAGCTTTTTTTCTTTCTTTTTCTTTTCTTTTCTTCGATGAATTAGCCAGAATATCGATACATCAGTCGCAGCTCGTTTTTTTTTTTTCAATTGAGCTCGCTTCCATTCATTCGCATGCAATTTGATCGTAATAGCGATTGGGTAGTGTATGCGGCTCTGGCAGATTTTGAATGGGTTGGATAACGTTATCAGTACTTTGACTTAGCCTGGCCTGCATGTACGCGAGGTGTCTCTCGCGCTCAGATGGATGTATGTATGTCAGATTAATATATTCGGATTTTTGTGGAACTGGAGCGCTCGAGCTCGGGATGCTTCTTGAAGCGAGCGCTCGAGCTCTTGTTTTATCTTGTTTGTTTTCTGACTTCTTAGTGAGGATCTAATATATCTTTTTTTCTAAAAAAAAATAAAAAAAATAACGATAATAATAAAAAGAAGCCGCAAGGGGGGCCGATATGTCTAGCTGTGGGAATAGTACTTCTAGAGATAAGATGTTCGGTTATGACGAGGTTGCATACTGAATACGCACAATTATGTATTGATGTGCAGATATATATGGGGAACTTTGGGTTTGCTATAATGGATGTACTGGTACTTCTTTTTAGTATGACGGTCTTGTGGCTGTTTGTATTGATACCTATGGGATTACTACACTGCATCTTCCTTTTTTTTTTTTTTTCCCCTCAAGTTCGCGGAACATAAGCTTACTATATGTATAGACAGCTCTGATAACTGTAAGGATATGTAATATAAAGATAATCACGTGGGGTTCTTCAAACTTCAAGATCTATCTAGGACGGTTTTGGGGGAGTGGATATGTATGATAGGATTGGTGATTATGGGCACATGTGATGTGTCCCAATAGCTGATATAATGCGTGAAGATGACATTAAGGCTGGTAGCGGACGACAGTCAGGCTTTCAAGAGCGCAGGGATGGTCGAGCATGATCAGATCTATGCTTGGTAGTCTGGTATTTATTTTCATAAGTACTTATATATATCGTATATACAATTGTACAAGTAGATGTTGCAATTGTGTAGCTTGGTCCTCGTATCAATATTCAAATTTACACAGACTGTGGGGTCTGGGTTCGTCTTACGAGGTTGGTCAATTGAACAAATGTTAAATTCGGCGGAGCCCTCGAATTGATAGATTGGGATTTCGGATCTAGCATTGATGCAATAGTACTTCTTGTGTCCGAGTACTATAGTTTGGTTTGGGGATATACTATAAATGATGTATTCTACCGTCGCTTGTGATTATGATTGTGTCAATCTTCGCGCTGGTAAGTTTAAATTTCATTAAGCCTTAAATCAAATATCATATTTGACATCAAAATTATTAGTAATCCCGTGATACTATGCCGTCTAAATATAAATTCCCAATCCTAAATATAAATGTCACTTAGAAGTTATTCTATTTCCAACTGGCCCAGTTCAAGCGTATATATGGTAGAAGCCTAGACTTTTGACGGTAAGGCAAATCCAGGTTTTACATAGTCAAGATTTATATATATGAATATTATATTGAGTGTTTTTCACAAAACTTAAAGTGAATTCGAAGTTTTAACTACGCATTGACTGGTGATCGAACAGCAGACCCATCATCTACATAGTCAACTAACTAGTACAATTGGAGACTAGGCCCCAAGCTCGTTTTGCTCCATCGTTGTTAGTTGACCAAGAGTCACACTAGAACGGCCCATAACCTCACGCACTGCAAGGTCGTTGTCACGTAATGAACATGGAAACGTTATGATAATACCGGATAACGGGGTCTAAAATGGGTTTGGATTGGTTTTAGCTAGATCCTTGGGTCACGTCAGACGATATTGCAATATCTTAACATTAAATTAGTAATCCTGTTCGATTAGAGAGACATAATGTAAGCTAGTGATCAATTGAACTTTTCCGAACTCGCGGTTGGAGAACCGAAAATCCTCAAAATAAAACGTTATAACGTTATGATATTTTCGTTCTCCCTGGACAATACAGCAAAGAAGGCCATCAATACCAGGAAACGACGGATAATGTGTTTATTTTATAGTTCGAATTTGACTTAAACTACATGGGTCTGGGCTGACGATATAAATTATGCCTTACTGTTATCATGCTTATGATCGATCTTGGGAGAGTTAGTATGAAGATATTATCGTAGAGGCCTCGCGCAGCTTCGATGTTGACTTCAATTTTATCGCTATTACAACCCCACCATGCTGGCTAGAATGTCACAGAAAGACTCAAATTTTCGCTCCAAGGCGTTCATGGGCCCATCGCAGTGACTATAGAATTTCGGGCCTGGTATGCATATGTAGGTGCTCACACAGGCTATGGCAACTTTTGATTCGCTTGGATTTTGTCAGGAGACCAATTTGTGCACTCATAATGATATATTGACAGGGACCGGTAGTGGATAGGGCAAACCAAGCCCCGAACTGGTAGTGTCCTCAGCTGCCGAAAGTTCCGATATGATCCTGATTTGCTACAGCTGCGATATCCTACATAGGGAATTATATGGGTCTAGCGGTGTCTCGGTGCCCCGAAAATTGGGTTACGGGCTTATGATAAACGCTAAACGTCCCGTGATACGGGCCCGATAACGACATTTGATGCAAGAAGGTTTACAATAACGTTAGCTGAGACTCGTTGGCGAAGTTTGCTTAGTCCGTCGTCCCAACTAATCGCAAATATCGAATCGAGCCTAATAGTGGAGCCTGTCATAGAGGCATCCTATTCATTCGTGTCTAACGCCATTTGGATATTCTCGGCTCTATATTTTCCTCCAGGTATCGTAAAGAATTAGGCATCGAAATCCGCTGCTATTGAACTCTCGATATACTGAACAGCAACGTTAAGTCACGATTCCACTTTCAACCATCTTAACCCCCCACCCTTTCCCCAGAGCGATAGCAAACACGACTACCGACAGAAGCGCAAATATTCCCGAAATCCTAACTCCCAACATTGCTATACTATCCCACTTCTTCCCATCCCCCTTTGAATTCCACGGATCTGTTTTGGCATCTTCAATCAGTCGGTTCAGCGGAACATCAATTATCTTCCCATCGATTCCAATACCCCTGATGGTTTCAATGGTTTGGTCAAAATCATAGAGTACTCGTAACGCTGACTCCTCCAATGGACATAAATCATATATATCCGCATTCTCGAGCATATGCTTCACCTGTCTCATATCCCTATCTCCCATGCAACTTCGAAAAATTCCCATTCGTCGTCGTAGAGTCACGATGGATCCATTCCATTGCCAATTCGCCACGCCTTCGATATCCCTTAGTCGGGAAGCTAATCTAACCCGAGCCGATGTGTTACTGTTACCCGCTCGATGAGACTGTGGAGATAGAGTCATAGATTCGTCGGAGAGGAGATCGGCGATACTATTTGAAAGGGAGGTGTGGCGGTTGTATCTAGGTACATTCCCATAGCAGGTACACAATGCTCTAGGGCGTTTTCCTTTGAAGCTCCATTTCCAGGTTGTCAAAATAGTTCGGAGTTTCTCCATTAGGTTGCTATTTTCTGAGGTTATATGCTCTGGGTGCAAAAAAAAGGTTGATCAGAATAACCTCATTTGTAGGGTACACCAGTATGGAGATGTCATATGATTTCATACCTCTGACAGAATCCGGCCAGCCGCTGGCATCAATATACCTTCCACCTCTCGTAAAACCCACCCCTCCTGGTCCAGCCTCGATGGCTTCCTTGCCTGAAAGATTCTGCCCAGCCTCAACAATCAACCTAGCAGTCAACTCCACATACCCTTCCCCTTCCCCGAAAGTCTTCCCAATAAACAACCACCCTTCATACCCAACCCCATTCATAACCTTCTGAAAATACTTCAACCATGGTGGCGCGATGAGATTGCTAATATCATATTTGTCCCATATAATCGCAATATCATAGAAAGTATTCCATGATATCTCGTTAATAGAAGGTAGAGATTTGGTGTTTAAGTGTAAGAGGTTCAGAACTATTGATAGTGCATGGGGACAGTCATCTTCTAGAGTGATTGATTTACACTCTACCCCCAAGTAGACAATCTTTGAAGGTTGTTTGAAGTGAGGAGAAGGGGAGATTATTCGTGAGAAGATTGGTGATGCTTGTTGTAGGGACCAGGCTGTTACGTAGTACTTTATTATATCGGAAGGTGAAGAACTACCATAGTCGTTGGAATCAGTGTGCTCGTTTGGCGAAGGGGGTGGAGACGATGAATTGTAGAGATGGATTATCAAGTCTATATTTGATGATATCTGGTATTCAGTCGGCATGGCCGGTAGCTATATTTTTGGTTAGAAGGGGAGAATTCAAAAATTGCGTTGCTGGTGTTGGATATTTTGCCCGGACGTTCAATGGGAGAAGATCGTTAATGTACTGGACCGTGATATCCGGTGCCGTTAATCATGCCGTTTAAGCGGTTTAGACGAAGCTTAGATGATATAGAACCTGCCTTTAATATTTGGTGGATACTGTTGAGGAATGCGACGGGATTCAAAACGCCTCTAACAGATCGCGCGTTTCCACATCAGAGGGTGGTATCATGGTAAGGTTACGAATCAAAAGAAAGGCTGTAAATTTAAGGAGGAAATTTAAATCGTGTTCAAGAATTAACCATCATGGAAAATGAGAAAATTGTATGAAATTTCTAAGGGAAAAAAAGAGAAGAAAAAAAAAATCCCAGGTTTCTAATAACGCCCAGAACACACAGGTTGAACGCTTTCCCTTCCGAACAATTAAAAGTTAAGAGTGACCATGGAAAGCCCCCGTTAGAAGATACAAATGCCGAATGAGAAAATACTAAAAAAGATCCGAGTAGATACAATTGATTCCAGCCACAGAGCCAGCCCTGTGAAATTTAAAGCCAGGACTGGGTGGGATAATACGAACTAATGGGCACAGTTATGACCAAGCGCCACTTGCATGTTCCCGCGAAAACTTGAAAAGAAAAACAAAGCAAAAACTGCTATAGGAAAGCAGTGGTCCGGCCGGGTATCTAGCGCCTTCCCAGGGAGTAGCGTCCATTTCATCTATTTTCTCTTGCCCGCTGCTGCTCTACTTGTCGATCTTCTGGTTGGTGTTGTCTCGGGTTCAAGTACTCGTCGACTTCTAGTTGTCATTGGTAGTGGGGTGTAGTTTATAGGATCTTTGCCTTTCCCGGTAACGGGAGGCGATTTTTTTGGCGTTGACCTTGTTGTGCCATTCCTGCTAACCGGTCGTTGTTCTCCATTCGATTTGATTTCTTCAGGAGGGCTTAGAGCGCTGGATGCATCGGATATGCTTTGGTTATCCTTTTGCTTCGGTGAACTCCTTGTGCTCCGTTTGCTGGGAGAACTCTCTGTTTCTGGCTGTAAGGGTTCGGCTTCTTGAGATGCTACAGCCGCAGCTAGTTCCTTCGAAAGTTGATCAGTCGCTCCTTGTGAATCTATCGCCATCGATATTGCGGGTTTGATTTCATCACTGTTCGATACTGCATTACCACTTTCTAAAGGCGTATGGAACTCCGTATCTGTGTTTTCGGTTTCCATATTGTCTTCATTGGTGGGCTGTCCGTTCACTTCCTCCTCCTCCTCCTCCTCCTCCTCCTCTTCCCCTTCCCCTTCTGCCACCTCGGCAGTAGCCTCTTCGTCGGCGTTTGCTAGCGCGTCAAGGTCTAGACTATCCAGACTCAGGCGGTCCTCTTGGTCGAGGTCATCATCAGGAATCGAGGTTAATGGGCTATCAATGCTCACGGCTCGATCATCGACTGGATCCACCACTTCATTGACACCTTCTTCTAGCTTCGGTTCTGTTGTGGCTGGAACTTCACTATCGATATCCATTGCATCAGGGTCATCCGTCACTGCAGACTGGGGAATATTCGCGTTATATTCCGCGGCTGTTCCTTCCTCCTCATCCTCAACTTCAACCCAAACATATCCTCGTCCCCTCCTCTGGGCTTTATTCATCGCCTGCTTGGTCTGGCTCCTCGTGCTCCCTATCACGACTACCTGCTGCAGGTCGACCTCTCGGGCAATACTAGCTCTACCATTCGGTTTAGGTTTCGGTGTTTCTGGTTGCTGGATCGGCTGCTGTGGCTGTGATTCCACATATGGGATCTTTTTTGTGCCTTTCGTCGTTCTCAGGCTCACCCTTGTCCCTGGAATCCATGCCCCAGCATCGATAGGACCCCGATTTCCACTCCTCGGCTTTGTTGCATGATTTATACCATTGCCAAAACTGATAGCAGACCCAAATTCTTCTGCGAACGGGCTGACAGCCTCGGAAGTCTCAGATGGTTGAAGCATTTCTATGGCATCCTCGTCAAGCTCACTAAGGGGCGACATATCCCGTACGACATCCATCCCCATCCAGCGCTCCTCAGAGAGTAGAGTTGCGCCCAGAGGGCTAAACGGTTTGGTGTACCACGGGATACCTACCAGCCCCTCTCTTTCATCATCCTTATGGTGAGCCTGGGACAGCGAAGCGGTAGCTGATTCTAGTGCCTCCTCGGCTGCTCGGTCATTCGCTTCCTGTTGTTCGTTTGCCTTTGGATTATCAATATCCATCTTGTCACCATCGTCGGCATTGGCAATTTCCCCCGCGGCCGCAGCGTTTGCGGCTGCTAACTGAGCTTGAAGTTCGTCATCACGCTTCTTTCGTTCTAGAAGAATTTCCTGATATCTTTCATCAACTTCGCCGGCCATACGCTCGTTCGGATCCTCCCTCATAGCGAGTTCTTGAAGTTTTGCATTCTCTAACATAGGTTGGATGACCCGTAAAATCCTTCCAGCAGTTTTACCAGCAGTGTCACCCAAGGCTTTTGGTTGTTTCGGCACCGCCGGGGTTGTAGGAGCCGGTGTAGAGGCCAGGTTTTCCAAAGGGTTCGCGACATTCACGGCAGCAGGAGTAGCTGCCGCCGTGGATGTCCCCGGAGCGAATTCGGCTAAAAAATGTTCGTTTACCTCTGGAATAGGCATAACCGCGAACTTCGACCGACTAGTAACGGATGATGTCAGGAGAGATAGAATGTCCCTTGAGAACTGATTTACAGTGTTGTATTCACGGTCAACGAGCTTTAACTTGATGTGTCCAAATTCTGTCTTAAAGAAATCTTTGCTATCAAGCCTATGGTAAAAATGACCTATAAGTATTGGATTCTAGTAGGGCTTTATTGGGGGTCCGACTTACTGTTGGGCTCTATCCAATATTGGCGTCAGTATTGGAATGACCGGGAAGTATACAGCATCAATCATCTCTTTAAGGCACTCTGCCTGTCGCAGCTTTTCTTTTTCGCGTTTCTTGATGTCATCCGCCAGCAGCCTGATTCTTTCCAAGTCATGCCGTAGTTTAATAGCGAAATCAAGTCTTCTTTTGAGCTTCTCTTCTCCATCATGATAAGCCGAATAGTCTTTCTTTGTGACCTCGTCGCTAGTAAAATTCGAGGACACAGAGACTTGCAGCCGTTTGAGGAGGGATGCATCGCGACGGGCCTCCCGTTTCAGCGTCCAGTACTTGCAAATCTCAGCAACATATTCCTTCGGCTTTCGGATAGCAAAACGAGATATAGCCTCAATTATTGTGTTATATAAAACCTGGGGAACAATAGGTGCTCCCGAGGGTAGTCTCCAAACAGTTTTTGCCCCGCCCGTACCCGCGGAGGGTCGTTTTCGCTTGCCACCGACAGTGAGTGTCAACTTCGGAATCGTTCCATGACTCTCGTAGCCAGGTGTAAGAGCCTTTATTTGCGAATCGCCCCACTCTTTCTCGTAGAAGAGGTCTTCGTAATAATGCTGAACATTTCGGATAGCAATGTCCGTCTATCCACTTGATTAGCTAAGGTTAGTAACCATATCAGGCAGCTAGCACTTACTCGAAACTCTTTACGCCACTCGCTCGGTACATGCTTATCGCAAAATGCCTTCAGTTGACTTCCGTCAAATATGAGACTCCGCTCTGCTCCAACAGCGGTGCCCCCGGACGGATCTGTTGGAACTTGTTGCCGCATCGAGAGGAATAGCTTGGCTTTGCGCGCGCACGTCACATGGAAAGCTAAGTAGCAATTTTTATTGCTACACTGAATGCAGGCTCCCATCCTTTGTTTGCAAATATAGCAATGCTATGATACATTAGATTGACAAACTTCCAAGAAAGGAGCCCCGGAACATACCAATTTCCACCTTGATTTGGGTACTAGCTCGACTCCCTCGACTGGTTCCATGTAAACCATATTGCTAATTGTGACCTCAGGTATCCAGATCGCGCACAGGAGATGCGACCAAAGTGAGGAATCCGTCATTTTAAAAGCCCCATCTGTATTCGGGCAGAATATACAACTCTAAACCTTATAAGTATACTATTTTACCATAGAGCTAGGGGGTTCGACATACCACTTCGCGACGGGGCGCAAGCAGAGAGCACCGTCGACACAGCCATTGACCTTCCGGAATAAAAGGCACACCGTAACAATCTATTCACTCCAAGTATTAATACCACATACAAGTGAAACACTACCGCCGAATACGAACCTTGGTGGACAGCAATGTTACAGCCATCACAGAAAACTATCGCATTGCTATTCTCGCATTCTCCATCATCGCAAATCTGACACCTTGAGTCTTCTGAAGTATCTTCGTCATCGTCGTCGTTCCCTCGTTTCACATGTGCCGCATGGGCCGACTGCTTTGGAATCATTTTTTCCAAAGCATACCATTCTCGTTCTATCTTGGTGATCGTGATCTCAAAAATCTCGCGCGTGATTGTTGGGACATCCTGTGACCTTCGTAGATTGTTGAATTGAGCCAGCCATTTATCATCTTGTTCGTCCATGTCATATTCTACCATTCCAGGCGTTACTGTATGGGGAGCGGCATTGTTCTCTTCTTTTTCGTCAATAGCACTTACTATCCTTGCCTCTCCCTCGTTAATGCTATCCTGGATACCAATGTTTCTTACCATGGTATGGGGCCTCTGCCAGTAGTCAGACTCCTGGAACCCAACCCCTGCCATGGCTCGATCTACATAAGTTTCGGCAAGCTGGAAAGGTGTTATGATTTTATAAGAGGGGACGGGAAGGGAGAGTCGCTCATTATGGTGGATGTTGCTCATCGGGAGGATGGGCCTTTGAGAAGGCTTGGGTGTAAAATTGGCTTTCTCCTTCTCCTTCTCCTTATTATCCTTCTGACGGGAAGATCTTCTAGTAGGCGTATTCATGATTGGATTTGCGAGGTGTTCCTGGGAAATATGACATGAGGATGCTTGAGATTCATCGTCTTCCTTGGTGTTCTTCTGCCCGGTCGTCTCTAGAGGGATAGATCCGCTTGTTTCAGCTGCAGGTCCGGCTTCAGATGGCCCGTTTGTCGGAATCACCAGTATAGAATCTTCCGACATCTTCTCCTGTACCTCCTGTACCGCCATCCGAACGCCATTAGACCTCCCGGGGGTGGCAGCTGGTTGGCCGAACGGGAACTGGCCATTTGGGGCTGCATCGATGTCCCTGCTATCGTATGCTTGAATATCGGCATTGATATCGAAATCCGGATGGAACTCAAGATAGCTTCTTTCTTCACGAGGCTTATAAGCTCCTTGATCAGCGACTGCAGCTTGATGCGAACGACCGGAACGATTCGTTCTCTGGGTAGTAGCAGTCGATCGGACTCTTTGAACAGTGGCCGGAGTAGCGAACGAGTGCCGGGTTCTACTGCCTCGTGGTCTACCTCTAGGCCGACCAGTCCCAGGAGTCCGCTGAGGTGTCGAATTGGAGGCCATCGCAAGATGGGAAAGGGGGGGGGTTGTAGTTGTGATTTAAGATGATCTAGTTGTCCTCACGAGGAGCGCAAGCTGAAGCGTGTGTTTCGAATGCTACCGCGATGGAACAGGGGGTGATAACGAGGAAACCAAAGGCGTAGATGATCGTAAAGGCGTCATATGAAGCCGTAGATGCCTTGCTGGGGATCCAGCGGTTGAACTGGAGAAACTGGCGTCGCTGATGGGACTGGAAGGCTTGCTACTCATCATGCTGCGGGACGCGATCGCGACTTTTGTGCCAAGTAGATTTCCAACATCTGCGCAACACAACAACACCAAAGCGGGCCGGTCAACGAGATGTGACTGGCTGGTTGGCTGGCTGGCATTGCCCGCTTCCCATCCCGCTTCGCTTGTTCCTTGCATAGCCGTCAGCCCTATCCCGAAAGACCAGGCCAGGAAATGGAATTCGAGGAAAGGAAGCTGGCTCTGAAGAAGGGCAAGTGGAGGGTAGTTAGTTAATATATACGGGGGTCTGGCGATAGGTGGAAAGGCTACCATGCCTGATTCCGATCCCGAATCCTGCCGTATATGGTTAGTCGCACAGTCATAGCTCAATCCAATCCAATCCAATACCTCATGGCATGCTTTATGTTCATGGACATACGAACCTTTAGGACTTATGGCTTTTATATAGCTGGCCGGGCAGGCATGTAGTCACGCACACCATGAGGATCGCAGCAGTCCAGGGAGGTGCCTAGGTGTTCTTATGGGACAAGTAAATCCCATATAAGATACCAGAATCAACCGATGGCTTGCATATTCCCCATTGTCCTTCTGTCATGATCAAACCGACATTCATTCTGCAGCTGTGGTCATAATAATTTTTGACGAAGTTCCGAAGATGGCGAAATGGATATTTTCCATTGGCCAATGCATAACCAGAAACCATGACAAATCCTTGCGTCTTTTGCAGGAAGGGATAACTCGATATCGACCTCCCTGGCAGTAAGATAAGAGATCTTTCTCTCTCTCCGAACGGGGGGCCCTTTCGGGAGGTGCAAACATAGCCTGTTGGCAACTATTGTTCTCGTTTCAAATTGAATTCGCGATGTTGATTTGTCGAGGTTGCTCGTTGCTGGGTGTGTGATATTTCGGCCTTGGAAACATTTCGAGGAAAGGTTTTGGGCCAACAGACGAGTGCGGCAAACTGCAAATATAGCTCTGCTTCCTTGCCCCACAGCCCGCCAGCCTGCATACAGGCTAATCCTGAAACTGCAAACACCATGCCATGCCTGGGTTGACTGACTGACCTTCAACTATCCCAGGGACCTTTTTCCGAATCGGCTTTGTGAAGTTGTAATTTTATCAAGTCGTGTATATTGCGGAATCGGTACATTGACAGTACATACTGCCATTTATAAATATATAAAAAGGACTGCTTTTGTACACAGTATATCGTGGCCTATATCTATATACACATCGATCCTATCTTGGACAATCAGCTATGAAAATTGATATTACTTATAGGGTAGAAGGGCGAAGACCTCTGCAATTAACTAATCTTATAGTTTGATACATAAAAAGTTCTGCCCGAATGGCAAATCCACGAACATATATATACTTATATATATATCAGGGGATTGGGGATCTAGACAATTTGCTGCGCATGCACTAATCATATAATACTCTCGTAGCCGTAAGATGGTCGACTGTGTACGACAGTCACAATAAAATAGCTATCACTTGCACTTAGCATATTAGCATATTTAGTAAGTATTCTAGGAGAACGCAATGTGGTTTCGGTTGACGGCCGACTTCCTAGATTTACGGACATCTTGGAGGCCACGTGGACCCCCACAGTTCATTTTTTCTAATGACAAATTTACAACGCTGGCGGAAGGGCCTAAGCTAAGTCCATGAACCCCAATATAATTTGATGCGATTGACTTCTTGACGTTTATATGATCCTGCGATATATACCTAGGCATGTATCCGCGCTACATCTTCGCGGTCGTTCTCATGTTGTCGCAAAGTTCGTCAATGCATTGACCAAATATAAATATATCACCAGTAGAAATATATGTTGTACTTACACCAATATCACATGTTCACACGTCCAAAAAAATGTACATACGTATTGAAAAGATAATTGTAATGGGATCAGCTTGAAGGTGACATGCAATCGGTGATGGCTTTTTTTGAAGACATCAGAAATTAAAAGAAAGAAAGAAAGCTGAACGGTGAGAGTGCACAACTACTACGAAAAGATGGAGGAAAACCCATCTTCATTAATATTTCTTGCATAAACGCGATCTCGTGGGTAGGCATAAGAAACCACCCCAGCAATAGACGACTATTGTCGTCGGCACACTTATATTCGAGCTCTCTCCCCTTTGCCATCACGAAGCATATAGCCGGCAGCTCCAGGGATAGTCAGAATAATGATTGTGTGGCTGGAGTAGAAATGAAACGAAGAAATGAAAAGCAGTTAAAAACATTAAATAAAAACAAAAGGAAACCGGGGCGAGGTATACATGTGAATAGAACGCGGAAGGGGTGTTCTCGACGTTACTTCCATGATGCATGACGCATGATGATGACGACGAATGAATGCAAAACAAAACCGTAGCTATGCATGATAAAAGAAACTATTCCCATATTAAAAGAAGGAAAGAAGGAAAGAAGGAAAGACGAGGAAAATGAAGAAACCCTCAAAGAAATATCAATCATCCATCAGAATCCGGGGAACTGATATTTGACTGTAACTCTTTAACGACGTCCTCCACGCGGCCGACAGGTTCGGCAGCCTTTGACAGTGCACTCGAATGAACACTCCGAGCAAGAATCGAAATCGTCACATTCAGAGTCAAAGCAAACATGTGGGTGTTTGTGCTTGCTTTCGACATTCCTGTTCTTGCCCTTGCGATTGTCACCAGAATCATCACCGTCTTTGGCTTTGCCTTTCTCCTTAGATGGTGACTTCTTGTGATGATGATGCTTCTCGCTGGTGGCAAGAGGGACCTGGATTTCAACGACAGGGGTTTTGGAACGAGGAGCTCCCGAGGCCTTACCGCCTTTCTTCTTAAGTTCTTGAACGTCTTTGTCAAGGTCGCGGAGACGACTCGAAAGGTAATCACGAGCAGTGTTGTCATTGTTACGCATGGAACGCTCACGTTTGATCTTATCCTTGAGGTGACTCTTCTCATGGCGAAGCCTAGCATTTTCTTCCTCAAGGTCATCAACATAGTGACTAGGGCCGGCGTGAAGTGGTTGAAGATGAATTGGAGTCGCTTGAAGCCACTGATTAGTATATAACGCCAGAAAAAAAGGAAACATGAGATACGATAGATCTACATGATTCAACGGTAAAAGAAAAAAGGAGGATACTTACTTTCACCTGGATGGAACCCCATGATTGGGATCGAACTAGTGGGAACAATGGGGATGCCGAACCACTCGTAGTCTCCCTCGGGCTCAGGGTACATGTGATGACACATGGGAGGTTCTTCGAAAGTAACATTCTTGCCACCAGTCTTCTTGGCACGGTACATACCCTCGAGTTTGGCTTCACGATCCTCACGATCGACACGCTTCTTCATTTTGATAAACTCTTGAGCATCCTTGTACTCACGCTCGTTCTTGCGCTCTTCTTGGATACGCTCCATCTCGATGGCCATTCGCCTAGCCCTACAGGTTGGACATTCGCAGTTAACGGAGTAGTGGTAGCTGGAAGAACTTGGTTTTTTGTCATGATGCTTATGACCACTTGGATGATTATCACTAGGTCCGCCAGCACCTTTTTCGCAGTGATGGGATGGACAACCACTTGGAACAAAGTAAGGGATGAAAGTAGTTGTCTGTTGAGTAGTAGTAGCAGCGGGTGGTGGTGGTGGTGGTGGTGGCCCGAAGAATTGAGGGGAGATGAAATGCCCTGGAGGAGGAGGTGGTGGTGGCATTGGAGCACCTTGTGTGGGGCCACGAGGAGCAGCTTTGCCAGCATGTTTTTTTTCTTCAATGCACTCAGGGCAAGCGCACTATGCGAAAAGTTAAACACATAGCTCGCAAGCTTGCCAGTACAAACGCCAGGATATATTTGAACTCACCTTCTCGTCATCTTCCTCACTACTTTCCTTGGTGCGGCGCCGGTGATGATTCTTGCCAGAGGTACCCTGAGGAGGTGGAACACCTGGGAAAGTGGCACCTGGGGGAAAGCCACCTACTGGGACAGCACCATGGGGAGCAGCGTTCGAAGGAACGGGGTAATAAGCATATTGTGGGTTGCTTGAAGTCCCTCCTTTAAAATAGACTGGCCAGCCATAAGTGCCATCGGGTCCTAGGCCTTGCATGACGGTTGCAGTTGGTGGAAGGGGGTATCCTTGGGCGGGATAGCCCCAAACGTAGCCTGGTTTGGGATTGGTGGGTGCTTGGGAGAATACCTGAGGGATCGGAGCCCCTGGTGGAACTGCAGATGTAAAGAAAGGAAGGAAGGAATCTTAGCTTCGATCAATTACCTCAGAAAAGGGTATCAAAGAGATGTAGAAAAGTAAAGGGGATTCGCAGAATCGGGGGTGAGGATGTTTGTGAGAGGTGTTTGTTGGGAGAAAGAAGAACTTAGGAAAGTGAGGAAGTTGCTGAGGTCCTTTAATAGTCTGGGAAAGGGCGGAGGAGGGAAAGAAAACACTTATATGTGGTTGGAAGGTACCTACTTTGGACATAGAATGGCACTGATATGGGAGCGTGCATCGGCATCGTATAAACCTTTGGATTGGACATTTTGACGACACTTTCTAAACATTACCACCACCACCGTACCTGCAATTTAGCCCACCACCTTCCTCGCCAGAACAAGCTATCGCGAAGGGGAAAACACTGGGATTAGGAGATGCCCTCTTACCTGGATAGCCACAAACGATACAAGCGATAAGGGCCAGAATCAAGTGAAGCCTTGGTTGATGGAACTCGAAATCGGGATAGATGGTAAGCACGAATTCACACCTTTTCACCTTAAATCATGCATCGATTAATTAGGCAATATGACCATGTTAGCTGTCCATGACGCGTCGACGCGTAAATTTTCAAGAACTACAGTCTACATACCTATCTGGACTTCGCCACAAAGTTGTAGATACCGATGGGATTGAGGGTACCGAAGATACCGGGGGTGGAGATGAGATGAAGTAGGGGATGGTCAACCGGGGTTGATGGGAATGGGTGAGGGTGAGAGAGGAAAAGAGGGAGAGGGGGGTGGAGGAAGCCATGCCGGATCCAGAACCGAAGAAAACGGCTTCGCATCACAATTGTTCCCTTCGAGGCCATCTGTGGAGGCAATTGGATTCGAGGCTAGGAGGCAATATAGGCACGAGGCTGGGAGCGAGAGTATACAAATTCAAGGTTGAATTGTGACTGCTCTTCCCGGTTTGGACCATAAAGTCGTTCTTTGCATCATACAATTGAATGGATTCAGCGTCTTAGAGAGTTGCTTGTGACGGTTTTCACTATTCTGATCATACGGACACGACATGTCATGATGTCACTTCACCAGGTGGTGTTGAGCTAGTCTCATGCCCTCAGTACCCTCGACCATGGCCATTGTCTAGCGGGTGTCTCGTTTGGGGGCTAAGGGTAGCCTCGAATTCAGGCGCTCGAGGCGGACGGCTAAGGGTTACAATAATGTACATTTGGGACTACATGTACTTTGCGGATTATAATAATAGGTATTCATATGCATGTGAATCCAATACACTGGCGCTATCAACCATGGATCACGAAGATACTAGGTTCCGAAAGCGGAAGAGGTGTAAGAACCTCAAACTCTAGCTTTATATTACTTTAATAACTCATTTAACTACGATTCAATGCTCACTTACGAATCGCCAAAAGCATATATCTGCCATGTTAGCATATATACTTGTCTTTTCGTCGGACCTGGATCTTCAAAATACCACACGATAGTTGTGTTGTTAGCCTGTATGTGGGCTTGTTCGGTATACATCCCGGCCCGACATGCTCAAGATATCTTAAATTCGATTCGGCCGGATCGATTCACCATCCTACAACCTATAGACAGGCCGAGTATCCCGCTTTGCATGTTATATCGAACTATAGCGGTAGGTCCCAATCTCATGATCATATGATATCTGAAGATACCCTAAAACGTCGGTTCCGTTTCGTGAACACTGCCCTATAGGGCTGATACCGCCTACATACCCTGTTGGTTTCGAAATTCGACTTGAAGGTAGCGAGCCCACAATGCGTCAGTATATCTCTCAATACACTAGTAACTTAGCTGATTCGAGACATTGGTCATGTTCCTATCTGTTTTGCTGATTTGGTGGACCTATTGGATTGCGACGTTACTAATCAGCTTACTCTGCCTCCGCATGGACATCCGTATGCAGAGCCCACATCACCGAAGCGAACAGGAAGCCCATCGTCAGCAGTACGAAGACATTACATGGCCAAGAACCTAAATTTTGATGAGAACATAATAAATTAGCAGTTTTCTTTATGAAATTTAGTATCAGGTTATATCACCCCACGACATTTCAGACAAAGATTCCTTCGGTCCGAGTCTTCGGCATTAACTCATGTACAGCAGCTCGTTTCCAGAATATGCTCTCAAGTTTATGCGACGCTTGATGGAGCTTGAAAAGTTTGAATTCTTCGCATAGAGCATCGTGACATATCAAGTTTTACGACTTCAAGGGGTCGCCTATACTGGCTTGGAAGTTCCACTTGCAGTTTCCCGAACTTTGATTCTGTAATGGCTTCTACAGCATGAAGGTGAATACGAGCTAGAGCGATTCAAGGGACCGGAATGGAACCTGCATCCGTAGCTGTCAACCTTGCTATACCCTTCTTACATCTGCTGTCTCAGGGAGCTATTCTAAGGTACCTACTACCCTACTTGGTTTGGATGACGGCTCACGATCGTGCATCCCCATGGTACACTCGCATCATTCTTTGATTCGAGATAATATCTTACTTTCTACATGCCACAGAGGATTCACGAACAGGACAGGATATGTTGATCCCCTGGTATACCGTGGTCGGTCGGTCGGGTAGCTCCAGTCTCTCGCATCAAGGACCACGAGGCCCGGTGACGGTCTTAAGATCTTTCATGAGAAGCATGACTTCAGGGCAGAGTTCATTGCTTACTGGTTCTGAGATCGATCCAGGATGTGACTTCTAACCTTCACCCGTATTATGACCAACGCCTGTCGTTGAACTCTAGGCCTCTAATGATCTTAGCAGCCTACAGTCGAATCCTATCCATTTTATATGCTACTTTCGCAATTATTATATTAAATCCTGATACTGATCTTCAAGGGACCATGCTCATTGCCCCCAATAGCGTCGACGACTACGCCTTCTAATACAAAGTTAAAGAACGAAAGAAAATTTTTTTTTTTTCAAGCTTAGGTTGCAGTATATATCGAGGGCCCATAACGATATGAAGCTCCACATTATCCTGCGACCTCTCCCATCAATTGCCAAAAAGTCTGTAGCTTTTCCAGGTACCCATCTCCAACTTGCATATCCGCTTCGGTTTCGCCGTCAGCACTAATGCCGAAAAACCCTCGGATCATTGCCTTGTAAACAACGCATCGTGTCATATTTGCTGCACAAAGACTGCGACAAACGATATCCTTGTTCATCTCTCCTCTCAAGAAAAGAGATATGGGAGGGGGTGTTCTAGTACGACGAGGGAAATGCTGACAGGACCCACATCGGTAGTACTTTTGGATAAGCAAACCCGGATCCACACAACATTACTGACAGACTCTTTTACCTGAGTACTTAGGCGGACCCGAAACTTAAGTTATCGGTTACCGAATTATTGTTTGAGGTCTTGCGTTTTAGGCGACTAGGCTTCCCTTCTAATTCAAACAGGTTCAACATTTGACAGTTGAGCATTAATTAGTATCCGAAAGTTATAGCCATTATGGCGTATTTCGACTTATATGACGGGAAATTATCAGTCCCTTGGCTGGTTAGACTCTAACTTCGAGCAGGAGAAGTATAAACGAAAATCGCATGCAATAGGAAAAGCGGTGACGATTCTTGATCAATTGAGTGCGAGTACGTGCATTGCATATGAATATGCTAAATTTGACTTGCTTGCCAATTTACACACACATCACACATGTACCGATTGATATATCTCAATCTTGCTTAGGAAATGGTATCTCGGTTAATTAATCTAAAGCATACTGCCGATGTCCACCACGTATCGGGTTGGGTATGGCACAGATTGAAGTTCGCAATTGCGAGGTAAATTCAATACGCATCGATACGGCATGTCAGAAAACGGAGCTTAAGCATTTCCCGAGGGCGAATATGAGAATTTAATTTAGGGACGGGTAGATTCAAAGGAACATATCGGATCTTACATGTGTAGATCTTTCGTACAAGGTTGTAGCACTTAAGTGGGGGCAGGGATCCGGAATTTAGACTGACTTCGAACGTGTCCGGTCTGGTCGCCAGGTTGTAGTATTGTAGTTGGTACTCAGGCTAGGAGAGATATCATGCTGGCCAGCCGAAAGTTACACGAATGTTTTCCTGTCTCTATACAATATGCATAAATGACTAATCGAGGGCCGCATCTGTGCATCCGCGGTTATCTCGATAACAAGCAGACAACCGAATTGTAGTTATTAGGACTTCATATCTGGACGTATATCTAAATTTGTCATCGGCGCATTGTGGGTTGGGAGTATAGTTCGGTATTCGGTGCCCTAGCTATAGCTTGAGCTTTGTTACATAATGGAGCTCTGTATCGTTTCGTCGGTCCTGGTAGCGTACATCTTCAAGATATCCCCAATAGTGGACCCTTTCTGTGCCCAGATACATGTTTCATAAGGAGCCTCATGATCACTTGAAAAGTTGTGTGAGTATTGGTCCACTAACATCATGACTTTTCGCGGGATCATATCGGGCGCCGTGCATATGCAACTTCCAACCGAATGTTCCCTTTGACAAATACATTGATTCTGCCTTCTAGGCGTTTTGGACCCTTTCTTTCTTCTTCTTCTTCTTCTTCTTCTTCTTCTTAATGACGCAAAGGAAACGAGCGAAAAACAAAAGCGTTCTCCACACTCGAATGTTCCCTGATTGCGCCCGCCTTCCACTATCGATTCTGTGCAGACGGGAACGACCCAACCTCTTGGTTGTACGGAGGCGGTGCAAATTCGAGGGAAAGATACTCGATTTAGCAAAAGACACAGGGCGCTAGCCTTAAACGAACCAACAACGTGGTCGGGGGCAGAGTCCGGAGGGACTCCGCCACACCGTTCCTGCTTTGATCCACCTGGTGGAATCACCAGAGATTCTATATTTGTTAACCAATGATATTTGAGCCTTTGGGAGTTCCCGGAGCTGCTTCTCAAAGCTTCCCAGAGCAACTTTCTCCGTCAACATCTGCGTATCGCCGGTGGGTACTTGTTGGCAATAACCCCGCTTTTTATCGAAGGTGAGGGATGTTCGAATATTCTCTTGCGCATGCTCTTCCCAAGCAAGAACTGCTGAGCTAAGAGGGTTTTGTGAGGGAGCCAATGAATTGATCTTTTCACTCAACGCCATGCCGCTTTTCACAAAGTACTTACATGTAGTGGCAAACTCACAATACATCTAAGTGGGTCTGTTGGCATATTGATGAACATGTTGGAGCTTGAGGGTTTTGGTACAAGATCGCACTCGGGTTATGTATAGTCAACGAACTGGGAAGCTCACACATGCGCACGGCTACGTGGAGCTGATAGCTTGGACAGAACATGCCGCTACCACCATTTTCTGATGACTAGTCCATTTCCCACAGTTTCCCCTCCAACTTGATGATTCGGAAAATAACAGTTTAGACGTCTTAGTGGCCCGTTAAGTGTAAGCTTATTGTGTTTCTCGGTCGCTTACATCTCAGCTTGTAGGGAAGATCAACTGAGCTTAATTCCTCACAGGGCTGAAGCCATGACCAGTCCGCCGTGGTCTCATGGTAGCGAGCTCGACAAAACAAGGCCAAACGAGCCGGAAATGATGAGGCACTTGCCGCGGACAATGTGCTAATTAAACTTGGACGGTATTAGGAAAGACGGCGCCGCGATTTGTGATCCTTTCGACGGAACTTCCCAGCGAATCGGTGGCAATTGGTGGTCTGACCCTTTCAGAAACTTAATGATTGGATCGTAGAGCTTCTTCGACTAGCGACCAATCCTATCTCGTCGGAATGTGCAAGAAAATGGACTAGAATGTCCGATTGTGTGCTGTGCAGAGATTACTGCATCTATATCGACATGGATTATTTGAACAGTCTATCAACCTCTAAAGGCTCTGGTAAACCTTGCTTGCATATCCACAAGGCTGATGCTCTATTTAGTAAATTTCAAGCTTGACATTGACGGGTTGTTTTGCCAGTTCAGAGAATCGAGTCCAGAGGGTCGGCCTGTTTTTCCATGCACATGCGGTGTGATTGTCTCATGCAGAAAAAGAGAGACCTGCAGGCGAGACATATTTTTATTTATTTTTTTATTTAGTTTATTTTTCGTTGGGACAAAGATGGGTGTTCTAGGATTCCAGGGGAAAGCGCGATTAGCCCAAGCTTTCCTAACCGTTTGTTCGTGGGCGAAAAGCACTGACCCCGCGCAGAACAGGGTCGTATAGAAATCTAGAGTTTTTGTGCGCGGAAATCTCCATGGAACAATGCGCTATATTGACGGCCACGTAAGGTCCAAAATGGCTAGAGCATAGCAGCTGCGTGCTGGTAAGAAACTAAGCAACTTTGAGGCTTCACAATCGATCTTCTGGTTAGCTAGTAATAGACAGCAGGTATTCCATAGTTCTGGTCAAAGGTTCCTGCTGGAACTAACAGGTAACCAAATGACGATGTTATGTTCTTGAGGTAGCACCGAAGGAAATGAGTGAAATCTGTTCCCCCTCAACAGCCCTATGAGAAGCGACCGGATGGTAATCCGTGGAATTGGGATTCCACGGAAATCGAGTAGAAATTTGATTGCATTGTCGTAGCTAAGTCGAAGCATTTCCCTTGGATGGACCAGGGGAAATATCCCTCACTTCATAAGTACTCCTGCACAGAACACTGCATGGGGGGTTTTGTGGAAGGGTATGGATAAGGCAGAAGTCACAAGTTGGGATTTGGGTTCGACTATTTTCGGCATATCCGAACTTCTGTTAGACACGACAGAGCGTTAGCCGGACAAACTCTCTTCATTTCGACGCTTTGCAATTCCCTGTGTGCGCGATTCTGCATCTGCAGTCTGCATTATGGTCACTTGGACCAACCTTTTTGATTATTTATTCAAGGCCGCCTAATTTACTCTTTCGATGTCCGGAGGTGGCATTGCAGAAAAATGTCTTTCGCTTTTGGATGCACGACCGGCTCGAGAGGCGAGTTTCATGCAGGCCCTACGGCCTACATACGATTGTGATACCGACTGATATGATACATACCATTTAGCTTGTACCTCCAGAGGATTTAGGCATCGGCTCAATTGATCAAACTGTAGGCGTGGCAAATCTTCATATGATCGGGCAGCGCATCTTGATATCTCTTTGATTAGCCCTCAGACCATGAGCTCGCTGGATGTGGCATTCAACGGTTCGGTACATTCTAACGGTAATGCTAGTATGGAATAAGAGGAGGGCAACTGGTTAGCGGGATCGGTGTAATAGCGCGATTGTAACTTCCGACACACCTTCGAACAAGCTCTAATGATAGCAAAATTTGCTGTTCTGGTGGTGGCAGAAGCTTAATCTCCTGGCGTTATACACGTGGAAGTTGGAAGTTGGGATTGAGCTTGCCAGCCATGTATTCATTGCCTCTTCTAAGCCTGCCTGCCTGCTTACTTGCTTGTTGGCTCCCCCACTTTGACTTTGACTTTGACCTCTTCCAACATCAACCAACCGACCAACATAGTGTCAACATCAATATTGTCGACGAACAAAGCCAGGAACATACACACACTGACCGAATGAATTTAGTTTTATGAGCAAACGAAGGTAGCCCTTGAGGCGATGCTGCTTTTGATTGTGAAGTTGACGCTTTGCCTTCCCACGGAGCGATTGGTTGGTCTAGACGCTTGTGAGGAACAAGTTCCGACCTTTCTCACTGTGGGCTCCTCCTGGTCACACAAAATTTGCCAAATATACTTGAGGTAAGCACCTACGGCTCCAAATTGAAGTCATCTGAACCATCAAAATTACTGGTCCCGATACCTTTTGATTCTTCCGTGATGGTGTCTGCAAAGTTCGTTTTCAACCAGCAAGGCTGCATGGAACCCGTGAGCTCGAGCAGGGAAGCTTCTCCCCGAAGTTGCGACGGGTTGGAGCAGGAAGGCTCGCCAAACCCTCGGTGTGATCGAGATTTCTCCTCTGCTCATTGGCTAAATTGACCAACTGAGACATTTTAATGACTGACATCGTTCCGATTCTCTGGACTGTTGTTAGATGTGAGACATACCAGCCGAGAACGAGCAAGGGATCATGGCCTTTGTAATCCCACGGGATTTTCCAATGCATAATATGAACATGGGCCCTGGGCGGGTCTATCAAGGCCAGACATCCCTACACTAATATTTCGGGACGGCATAGAATGTATCGAATGTATCAAAATCCCGACGGACCAATCCAAAGTCTATAAATATTGGTTTTGAATGAATCCGCAACCGATCATGAAACCTCTTTTGAGGAGAAAGGACAAAGTTCATCGACGGGACGGGTAACGTCTGGGATTCAATTTCAGAAAGGAAGGTTCCGGGCCTATGTATACGGGGCTGTCTTTCCTTCTGATTCCTGATTGCTAGCCTGAATATGGTTAGTATTTCACACAAGTTGAAAGTCTAGGAACAGTAAGGTGTGCTGGCTGCAGAGATGATTTGGGTGATACGAGGGTTCGATCGCCGAATTCTATTGCCTGGACAAGGTCTAGCGAGCCCAAAATGGTTTGAGGGCAAGGGCCATACGCCAATGAAATCGCCCGTTATCTCGCTAGACGCCTCTAGTTGCGCGAAAGGTAGGGGCTAGCTAGAAATGGGAATCACTCAAGGTTCCACAAGATCATATGAAAGCTAAAAGTCAAAATCTCGCCCATCAGATACAAAACGCCATAAAACCGTAGAGAAAAGAGCTTAAAACTCAGGAGCCATGGAGCCAACCAAATCAGAATGCGGAGTCCAGCGCGCGCGTTTTGCCTCCTCCTCTCCGAATCGCATATACTTTAGGCTTCTCCACAAGAAGAGGAAGCGGAAGAGGAATGATCATGGAAAACCCCGTTGCCGCTTCCCAAATCTGTCGCATATATATGGACAATGACTGGAGAATGTAGTTGGGACGTGCATTTGCCACTTAGAAATCTATCCCAAAGAGGATCCATTCTGCGAAGTGCATAATATGAACTCTATCAAACGGTTCACTATTTGGCTGGAAAGGTTTGAAAGCCTCGTGATTCATGAATTAGGATCGAACCCGAACGTTTGCCCGGACCGACCGGAGTTTGCACAAAATATCTGCATTTGGACTTTTTTGATAATACGATGGTTAAGCTGCAGGTAAAAAGCAAAACGGTTAATTCGCTTGGAAGGGGTCATAAAAAAACGCAAGGCTTGCTAATCACCTTGGATCGATCGCATTCGGAGCTGCAATAGGATATTGGAGTGAATTGGTTATTGATTGGAGGTTCTTGGGTACATTTCTCGCATAATGCCTCAGTCAATATCACGATTCTTCTTGATTTTTGGTTCCGCTCTCGCCTGTCCCATATTTCAGGGATAAGGTGAACCTCATTTCTGGGATGTTGGTGAGAGGACAAAGGCAAGAGAAACCCCCAAAAACGTGGCGACGATCTCTACTACGTGGAGCGGGACGGTTGAACCTGACCCCTCACCTGGCCACTAAATTCCTCAAAAATCGTGGCCTTTCAGGTGCTATGCTGTGATTGAACGGAACGAAGGAAAAGTGGACGCATGAAGCCTTCACATCTCCTCGCTCCCCACTAACCAGGAACGCAGGACAATATGGAGAATGTCTTGGCCACGTAAACTACTCCACGCACCCTCAGTCCGACAGAAACGTGGGCAGGAATGGAATGCGGAAAAAAAGCATCAAAATGTCAACCCATCAACTGGCGAGCTGCGAATTCCTGTCGGTATCTTCGCAAACCCCTAGGCTACTTCGCAAGTGCCCGACCAGATACCGCAACGGGAGAGTCCGAATGAAGCTGCCAATAGTTCTGGACTGGTCCTTTCATTGAGGCCTCTCGGTTATTTTGTGCAACCTGAATTCAATTTCCCCTCCTGATCGGGCGGTCTTGCATTTTGAGATTGTTGCGGAAGGGATCGACCGCTATTTCCAATTTCGTTTTCGAGGGCACTCTCTTTCATCGACGGAATCTAAGATACGGCCGGGTGGAAGAATATGGCCGGTTGATCTCGGGGCGAGAAAACCAGCAAAATGGTCATGTGTTTCCGCAGCTCCACTTCCACGATATTGTTCTCGCCTGAAATACGGAACATCTGCAGGGAAATTCGATATTAACAGAAATTGTTGTTTCTTTCGGGGAGTTTTTTCGGGTTGCCGCAATATCAATGGATCATATAGCCGTTCCAGACCCCTGGTGTCTTCCCTTGCTTCATGGGGGCTATGGTCCCGGATTGACCACGTTTTTTTTGCCTTATATCACGGCCAGTAAACACTTATCAACCAGATTTGATATCGATACAATGGCAGTACTATCGAGAATCGTGTCGGATTCCGCAAGCCAACCTCCCCGTTAGTGGCAAGGTGAAGCAAGCCATGCTTAAAGCCTCGATACTAAGATTTTGATTCAGTTTCTGTTTTAAATCCACAAAACAAGCCAGTGTGACACAAAACAGGTCGTTGCTATAAGATGGTTTCAATTGCGGCGTCTATGATACGAGAAGATATGGATTTCTACCAACAGGACGGTCGCGCACATAGGGATATGACGCCACCGAAAACGGAATGTGATATGGCGGGTTTTCCCATCGAAAAGGAGATTGTGATAAGCGAAGGCGAAGGCGCCTCGGGCACGCCTCCTGTTATGTCTGCCCTGTTACATACAGATTGGTCAGAGAGCCTACATTCACGGGGTCAGTGGACACGGCACTAGCAAAACGTGGGTTGTCAAAACCCAGCCCGTCGGGAGAAAGCTTGATCGGGATAATTGAAAGGCGGGACGGATTAAAGCGATTCACATTCCAGTGGAATTGCAATCTGGTGATAGTTATAGGAGGAGGCCGAGATATCTCCAACAGCATGGCACCTTTCATGTCCTCTCTCGCAAACGATCTCCTGTGCTGATGGATTAACCCGTCTTTGAAAAAGAATGCAAACATTTAATGCGGCACACAAAGCAAGGGACGTTCTTTTGAAAACAACATTTTCTCGGGTAATTTATTATGGGCATGCAGTCAAAAACGGCGTGATTCTTCGACTGGCAAGGGACAATAGCATGGGACCCAATCTAGCCAATAGAAAGACAAGCTTAGCGAGTCTTCTATTGTCCCCTGAACTGGCCCCGGGGTCGCCTTGATCCCCCAGGGGTGATAGTTCTTCTCAGGGTCCATGTTGGGGTTTATCCCATGGATTCGAGTATAGCTTCATAATATCGACGACAAACAGGATAAGCTCTTCATGATCACATTCCTGGATTGAACAGCTGAAACTGATCACCGGAAACGTTAAACAGAAAACAGTTCTAAAAGAGATACTAGAAAGCAAGCCATTCTGGACGAAACAATTGAACGCAGTGGGGCCGAGTGGGGCCTCTTTTGGCCGGTTAAGGCCTAAAGGCGTTGCATCCACAAGTTCAAGCTTTTTTGAGGATTCAACCTGAACCAGACGGTTAGAGATGGCTGGCTATTGCCGCTATCACGAATGCGTCGACGTTTTTCCGACTATTGGGGACTAACAGCTAACGGCCAAAGCAGTGTGAGTTGTGCAGCTCGGGCCTTTTTTTGTATGCAACGAACAGAACAGATAAGCGGAACAAACGTACTAGCAGCATGCAATACAAAATTCAACCAACATGAGCATGGGGCCACTCAACAATCTTAATTGAAATGATATTGCGTTTACAATCCAAGGAGTTTTCCACCGCACTATGGTTTATAGTTAATATCTTTTCGGATTGGTCCAAAGTATAATGCAAAGATCGAGGTCGTTGACAAGGTTCGGAAGTCTTCGTTGGCATAAAAGTCAAACACAAACACTTGTCTTTTGCGGTATAGTTACTTTCTAGCAAGGTAGCAGGTGGATAATGATTACGTCGAGATCTGATGATATTGCCGTGCAATACATATTTGACTAGGGGTGGGGAAGTGGGAAGGGGGGCAGCGTCGAGAATCTATTGGGTTCCCTAGGATTCTCGGGCGTCTCAAGGACCATTTGTGGTTTCAGGGAAAGAAATCAAGACCAGATCGGAATTCTCAGGGTTGCGGGATCAAGAAAAGCGAAACAAACATCTAGGACGCGATGACAAATTCTCTCGACGGTACGGTGCGGTGAAGCGTCATGTTAATTAGGTGCATGATCGATGCTTTAGCGATATGAATCAAGCGAAAAACCTAATCGTCTGATTCATCAGTGACGATGAAACCACGATTGAAGTTGTCACTGGATTATACATAAATACTTTTGGTCTGGGGGATTTTGTGACCTTCCGTTGACAGTAAATCGCCTTGTGAGGTTGACTGCTAACGAGAAGCCTTCTAACTAGGACTTTAAAAAGGAAGACCCCACCACCACGACGAATTTAGCGACAGGGCTGTGGTCTTGGAAGAAGCTTGGCCTCCAGAAATTGCGCTAGACACAGATCGGGAAAGGGTTCCCACCCATCGTCATGAGGAGGACCTTGTTAAGGTTGCTGCTATTCCTGGAATACGGCGACTTAAACCCAACCTGGGGATGTGGTCATACTAATCTCTGATAAAAGAGGGAGTTGGGTGTGTGTGGCCCGGATGTGCTGGCACTGGACATGGAGGTACATACACTGTGCTAGTAGTCCTGGTCATGGATGGGTCTGTTAGTGTGAGTTTCCTGGTGGAGGCGGTGGTGAAAGATGATGTCTGGACCTCACTAGCTGGTACTAATGCACTCTCGGACGATATGGAGAATTGGGATCCCAACTAAAAGGTAATATTGATAGGCGTTTGCAGACGAAGAGCTGGGGGAGGGGATATGTTTAGTATGACCGGCAGCTACCAGATGCATGTATGTATGTATGTACTTACATCCAACCCTCGTCAACGGCCAGGGAGAATGTGTTTACGGAGTATGTACATCGGAGCTTTGTACTGCTCCAGAAGGCATCCTCTCCACTGGTACCTCCACCGTTGCATTAGGCTGGACATTGGTGTAATGGTGTCTGCCTCCGGGTATCCGAATATTGCGACCCGTGTAGCAGTAGCTATACCATAGACGCCCTCTACGACACGACTATGTGACGATGCTCGGATCAATTGATCAAGAAGATCCTTGCGGGGAGTTTTTTTTCTTCTTCTTCTTTTTTCTATGACAGCGATGTGAGGCATGATTCAATTCTCGCAATGTGAGAGCCAACGACTAACCGCACAGAGCTTCGAGAGAGGTAGAATCTGGACCCTCGAGATTAAAATTTTCATCACGGCGTTAACGAGCTCCCCTCCTTCCTCTCCCCTCCCCGTATCGAGAATCGCCAGAGGGAGATTGTCATCGAACCTCCTACCCTCCCTTGCAATTGGTCTGTTTGTTACGATAATCTCGCCAAAGAAAAAATTTGATTACCCAATGTTTCTCGGGCGACAAATTTGGGAGAGGGGAATGCAATCCACGTTGGACGAACGAACAGGGGTAAACGAACAATTCGAGACCCAAAACAGAAAAGGCCGTTCTAGCATCGCTTTCACCGACGCTTCAGGAGCAATCCAGCTTGACCTCCGGGGGCCGTGCCCGGAGTATGCCCTGCAGGTCTCCCAAACGAGAGCCAACCCCAACTGGAACCACCACACCATCCGTCATTGCTCAGAAATTCAAATCATATCAGTCGAATCCCGCAAGCACGCAGGCAAGGAGCCCTGCCACTCTGCGCACTCACGCTTGGTCGAATTCAGCAACATCACCCACCGCATTCCTGGTCATCCATGGCCTGGTCTTTTGCTTTTTTGGTTCATCCGGACCCACCACAGAACCAACCCCCGTCCCCTCTTCGATGAACCACGACAACGGGTTTGGTGCTAAATGGGAGGGCTCGAGGGGGGAACTTTTTCCCCAGCTGTTTCTTTGTCACTTGTCATCGATAACCGCAGCACAGGAAGAAAAAACGGAAAAAAGTAAAAAAAAGAAAAGGAAAGATGAAAAACAAAAAAAAAATCCCACACCCAGGCTTCTCTCAAAAAGGAGTCTCTGGAGAAAAAGCAATAGTCAAAATGCAAGGTTCTTGCTGCGCAACAAGTTCAAGTTTGACTATTTTTCTTTTTCGCTGCTTGCACAGAGTTGGGGCTCGCTCGCTGCCCTATGGCAATATTCCCAAACCTTCGACTCTTAATTGGGCTTGGGGGAGCAGACACTCGAGATGCATATATTCCTCCTCATCTGCCCTTCGGTCTATGCCCTACCTTTTCATAAGCAGCACCGAATCTCACGAAAGGCACGCCAATCTTCCTTAACGATTACCAAGCTTCCTCTTGAATCTTCAGAGACTCTTCTTATTCGCTTAAGCAGGAGTTCCGCTCATATAATAAAGTGAACCCGTCCCTTAACTTCACCGACGCATATCAATCACCTACACAATCATCTGCTATAATACGCATATATATATATTTTGCAGACAGACAACATCAAAAGGCGTAGTCAGAATTCGATAATATCATCGTGAACATATAAAATCAGCTTGATATCCTGGTTTTTCCTTGCAGTTCGCTCGACAAAGTCAGCCTGAGGAAAACAAGCACAGCAGTGACCAAACAAGGTTAACTACACCGCCTCACTCCAGCCATTTCCCCACCCAAAGTCGCATTCGCACCACCACACAACCATATTAAATACCAACGATGGCCGCCTACGAGTCCATGGACTTCTTACAGTTTGAAGACGGTGACAGACAAGACACCTTCCATAAGATGCTTGCTGCTACTGGCGCATCAATCAGCCCATTGAATACCACATCTTCATTTGACTCTTCGATATATTCCAAGCCAGAATTCGACTTCTTCACAACCTCAGAGACCTCCACACTTCCACCTTCCTTTTTCTCTGTTGAAGACCCTCAGTATACTGGATACCCATTATACCCATTCACAGAAGTTCCACGCGCTGCATACCCATACTACGGCGAGGAATCCACACTTTTCGTCCAGCCACCCCCTTTACCTTCCAACTACCTCGCCAACGAGCTTTACAGAGGACCAACCTCACCCTCTGTAGCTTCTTCTGCTGCTGAAGGTTTCGATTTCGCTTCTGGCCAGAGCAGCATCGCCTCTGGCGCTTCTACTTCCTCATCCGATCACGGCTCGCCTTACATGGCTACTCAGGAGTGGACCATGAACACCGAAGACATGTCGACTTGGACTGGTGTTGCTTGGGAGCAGCAACCCGAGCTTAAGGATACCTGCGTCAGTAAGTATTACGAATGTAACCCACCGAGAGCTACCGGGGCTTTAATTAACTTTCAAAGTAGACCCATCTTTGATCAACAATGGCTCGAGACAGTCCTCAGTCGAGGCTTCGTCAGTTATTCCAACATCGCCAAAGCACACAAAGAGAAACTCAACATTCCGTGTTTCCCCATATCCAACACCTTCCGCTACATCTAAGGGACATAGGAGGTCGCCGTCCAATCACTCTGCTGAAGATTACTTCCCCCACACCCCAGCCATGAGCCGTGAGGTATCTGCCACCTCTAAGGGAGCTGCCAGTCCCGAGAGAACTACCTCTAGCAATGGCGCCAGCCACAGCGACAACTTCTGCAATGCTTGCGGGAAAGTTTTTAGGGACCTAAAGGCCCACCAGATCACCCATATGGATGAAAGGCCCGAGAAGTGCCCAATCCCAACTTGCGAATACGCTAAGAAGGGGTTCGCGCGCAAGTACGACTGTCAGCGACACACTCTTACGCATTATAAGGGAACCATGGTCTGTGGTTTCTGCCCAGGATCTGGCCTTCCCTCCGAGAAGACCTTCAACAGAGCTGATGTTTTCAAGCGCCACTTGATGTCTGTTCACAATGTCGAGCAGACCGCTCCCAATGGCAAGCCAAAGAAAATTAATGGTCGTGGCGGTTCTGTTTCTTCTTCTGGGTCTCCCCGCGCTCCATCATTCCAAGCCGCATACAAGGATGTCACTGGCAAGTGCTCTACTTGCAATGCCACCTTCGCCAATGCCCAACAGTTCTACGAACATCTTGACGACTGCGTTCTTTCCAAGGTTGTCAAGCCAGAGCCAGAAGGTGATATCAATAGTCACAACCTTGGATCTGTCAATGATCTCGAGGAAGTGCAAGAGTCTTTGGCCGCTCACGGTCTTTTGAACTCCGATGGCGCTGAAGTCAATGAGGCTGAGATCTCTGAGGAAGAGGAGGAAGAATCCGAGGATGAGGATGACAAGACTGATCCATCCTTCGGTTCCAGGAAGTCCAAGAAGCAGCGCAAGAGTCTCACCGGTACTGGGGTTGCGGGTCGGTGACAATTAACACGCACTCGGGGTGTCGATTCGCACGCCGGGAGCGGTAACTCTAAAGGCGGTGTTGTTTTGGGAGCCAACAGCAAAATCTCAAAGAAGCAAATGATGGCTGCTGGTGGTCGCAAGAGGAGAAGGAACCTTCCTTCTGGTTGGGGGGTCCAACCAGATCGCATGGTCACAAAGAGACGGTGTCTCCAAGTCTACGATGGTAGCAAGCTTCTCTGTAGAGATGAGATGATGATGTCCTCCGCTTGGGAGGTCAAGGCTAACCTCGCTGGTGGAGACGCCGAGGTCAGCGACTTAGACTACTGGACTGTAGTCCGTGCCAACGCCTTTCACGATGCAGCAAAGGAGGCCAGAGATGCTCAGAAGGAGCAACAACATTAGATTACTACCTAATTCACATTGGATGCCTTGGTGTTTCCTTCGTAATAATCATTCCTTTCCTGTATCATTCTATACTTTTTTTACGACGTTGCACTTGTGTAACTGGCTTTTTTTTCTTTCTCATGTGGGTTTGCAATCACTGGGTCTTCTTTAGGAAGTTCTCTGGTTATGTCTTTGGAGGCTAGCGATTCTATCTTTTTTCCTATTCCCCTCTCTCCTGTATAACAATACCTACTTTTGCTTTTAACGGTCAGGATTCCTACTCATTCTTGTTTGCTTTCAACGGTGTTCAGGGCTATTGGGAAATAAAATTGGGGAGTTCTTTTTTTTTTTTTTTTTTTTTTCTTTCTGCGTCCTTTCTGCGTCCTTTTCCTTTTCTTCAGAGGACAAATCCAATCTAATAGTAATGGACAATCCATTTTTACTATTCTTATAAAAAGAATCTTCCATTTGGCTGCCTTAAAAGTTCGTAGATTCCAAAAGACCGCCGGCGACAGAACCCACCATGCATCCATCCAACAGTTTGAATCTTCTGCCAGCCACCTCGCTTAAAAGCACTGTCCGTCAATTAGTTTAATACTGGCGAGAACAGGCATGACCTGACAGCTAACACAGCGGATTAATTGGGACCACATCGGTGTCTCTGGGTGCAAGACGGTGTGTCTGTCTGTGTGACCCAGAATCCTGAATGCGAAAAAAAAAAGACTCACCCGAGTATTACCGGTCTAATGGTTGGGCTACAATATAAATCGGGTTTAGAGGTAAGTGTAAGTAATAATTCGCGAAATAGATTATTAAATATAACAGGATCGCCCAACCAATCGATCTCTGGATGTACCCATGCAGCTAGAGATTTGGAATAGGAATGACCCGTTCCGAATACTTAATTATCCTTGTGTGTGTCTAACTACTAGGTATATTGAGATAGACAGACGGCACAAAAATCGTCACAGGCAAGTCAGAGAAAAAAAATAAAGGAAAGAAAAAAGGGGTGCATGGCTAGCTTCTTAACCAGAAGCGACGTTGGATTTTCAATATCGTCTTGCACTTCTGGATATTGATTACTAGGTTACCCATGGCCTGAGAGAAAATTTTATCAAGGTGGGAATGATTTCGCTTCAACCCTCCCGTCCTGTCGGCCAGAACTTGACGCAGTCGGATCGATTCTACTTGAATACTTGCATTCTGTATACTTTTTACTTCAACTTTAATTTATAATTTGTTTATAATTTGGGTGTGCCCGGGTCTGCTTATTAACTTTTCAGGTAAGCGGCGTGCTACTCACGCCTCGCCTCCCAGGGCTACTAAAATGAGATTTGGATCTTGTGTGACACGAGGAAGATAAGGCTCTGATATGATTGACCTCGCCTCCTTCCAAACAGACGGGTTGGTTGAACCCGCCTCCCCTTTTTTGCGCATCCTTGGGAAGATGAGCATTTCCCCAATCACCTAGGTTCACAGTAGAAAACGTCGATGCTAAGTTAGAGTTAAGGAATTTGTGGCTTGCATGCTAGCTGCGTTGTGAAATGATATGGAAAACTCTCGAAATGAGGCCGTTTTAGTCTCCTTAGCTCTTTCTCCTGCTTGTTTCCGTGATTCGACTTTTGTTTGTTGGTTTACGATAGCCGACGAGGGGTTCAAAGGTTAGCCAGAAGGCAAATGAGGCGTTCGAACGGGATTTTCCGTTTCAGTGACCTGCCACAAAAGAATGAAAACATTGTATCTTTTCTTTCTAACTACCTGCTTATTCCACTTTATCAAGTGGTCACGTTTTCCCTATAGCATTGAAGATGCCATTTGAAGGATAGCGATATGCGGCCCCATGGTTTCAATGAATAACAGTTTGCGGTATTGTATTGGCGGTAAGGATTGATTATTCGATTCCCCACGATAGGAATGAAGTCGTGATTAATTGGATATGGGTGTATATTTGGTAAAGTTTATTGTAGAAGCTTAATTCCTCTTGCCCCTCGGCGCCTATGTAACATGGGCCTTATTTTGACAACTTCTACAGACAGACCCCTTTCCCCCCCGTTTCTTTCCTTCAAAGGTAGGTTAAATTCTGCAGAACATATGTTGAACCTTCGTGATCAATTGCAAGGGTATGTGGGTATATCTGTACCTAACGGCGGCTGGAAGGGGTATTTACGGGGTTTACGGGGTCCTTGCATATGCACAAACAACGGATGGAGAATGTAATTTCGTCTCAAATTTGGTTCACGGGATCTTTATTTATTGTTGGGTTTAAAGTAGGATTATGAAGTATAACCTTTCTCTTGATCCTAGTTTGATGAGCTAGTTTTTCTTCTTTTCTTCTTCTTCTTCTTCTTTCTTTCTTTATGTCGAGGTACAGACACATCCTCCCCGGAGACCTAAAAGTATCTTCTTGTATCTCGGAATCTTTGGAGGACCTTGATAATGTTAGTCCGGAGTCTAGGAGGGGTCCCCGGTGCAGGACATATGCTGTTTGAAATAGGAATTCAAGATACATGTACATGCATGTATACAACTTAGCTTTGCAGTTTCGTCAATATTGTAATGTAGTCAGACAATATTTTAATGGCAAAGACTAACCATGCAGGTCATTTTAAGGCTCAAGATACCGACGTACATATCTCGGGGTTTCCTTAAAATAACACATGTAAGCCAATATACACCTTCCCATGCAATATGCACAAAAATACCCCAAGAAACCTCGGGTAACTTTCTTCCAGCTAAAAGCTTAGCCCTGAGGGGGCTTTAGTGGACCAAAAGTGCGATTTATTATTGGTCTGTGATATCTGACAGGCCTGAACAATGGAGGGGTTAACTCTCGAGGGGCCATCAGTGATATAATGATGACACAGTTTCTCGTTCGCCTAGGCATAGGGATTTCATGAATTCAGGCCCATGATGAAGTAAGGAGGCTAGTGGGCATATGACATCCAATAAGTGTGGAAAATGCGAGACTTGTAAAAATGTATGGCTAGTTTTACGTAATTCTTGTGAAAGGAATATGTGCAGCAAGGCGATACAGCTGCAGATTGGCGAAGTATATTCGGGGCCGTTGAAAACTCGTCTCTAGTAAAATATGATGGCTTATTAAATTTAGATATTACGGAGATAAATTTACAACATTTAAGTAAGTCCAGCTAAAGCATACGCGATGCAACCAATGGTTATATAAAAAGTTTCTTCATAGGAAGCCGCGGAATGAAGGTATATAGACAAGGAGCTGTATGTATATAGGGCACACCTGCAGCGGTGGATTCTGCATGACGGGTGGTAGTTTCTTGAATACTTGGTCAAAGGAACGATCTTTTCCCTACACGGCCGGGCTACTAAGTATAGTGCTAGCGATGTATACGTCTGGCTATAGCCTCTTTTTGGATACGCTTTTGGCTTCTGAATTACTGTGCTTACGCGGATAACTTGTACATGGACACGTAGATGTACTAGATGGTGAAGATATATATTCGATTGGTGAAAGAGGGATTAGAGTTTTACGGAACTGGATTATAAGCAGTTCTTACAGATTGTGTACTTGATGCGGGTTTGGACGGGGCGGTTCGGAGGATTTTGCTGACTTTGAATATATAGTAAGGCCGAAATATGATTCCTGGATCCTGCTTGAGTGGTACCGTTTTATTGTTTCGTTTTTTTTCTTATGCTCTCAAAGAGACCGATTGACGAGAATGATAACTAGTGCATGCTTATGACAATATTTGGGTATTTGGGCCCTGAGCTGGACATGTGCTTCGGGCATATGGTTGCAAGTAGGTAAGACCATGATGCTTGAAACACTCAAATATGTACTTCAGTATGTATAAAAAATGACTATTATAAGGCCTTGGAGAGTTGTGATTGGAGTGTAATGCGAATAACCAGCTGATTATTATATTCTTGTGAAACTTCTGGGAAGTTATCTAAAAAAGAAGTGCTAGACTTTATACATCTTCGCGTTTAAGGCCACCATTCAGGCTTCCGTATTGCGGACCAGCTTGCTGGCCGGCATACTGATTCCCACCCTGAGGGCCAATGACCATGGAGTTATTTTCTTTCCATTTCTTGCCGGCATTTATCACCGCTTCAAGGCATTTATCATCGTTCATGGCTAAGTATTGTTTCCGAACACGTATTAATCGCTCGATCTCTGCGGTATATATATCAGTGTGCTCTATATCAGGATCCGCTGCCATAATGGCTAGAGTTTCTTGTATCGTTTTCCCAGTGCCCGCAAGGATCTTCCCTACGTTATCGAGGTAGGGGTTGAGTAATTTACGGTTTACTGATTCGGCGTACCGGAGGCGGTTGTTTTCTAGTGCTGGGCCGATATCGAATGGGTATGTCCTAGCTTGGGATGGTCGGCGAGGTGGGGGCATTTCGATCTCGGTTTCTGGGACCCGTTGGTTATTTATTGTTGGTTGGTCCCCCTGAGGCTGAACGTTCTCTTGAAGCTGGGCTTGGGATCCCGTGCCTTGGTTTTGAACGGGTTCTTCGCTGATTTGGTCTTGGGCTTCTGGGTTCTCTTCGGTTTCTTCCCTTTGGGAATTAGCTTCCGGTTCCACTTGTTGATTACTCTCAACTGGCTCTTCTTGAATCCGTGATGATTCACCCTCTTCTACTTCCTGTGTTTGTGACTCTGGAATGGTATTCGCAAATAAATTATCGTCCGGATCTTGAAACTGAAAGCTAAAACTTCCCTGGCGTGATAAAGGGGGTATAAACATTCTGTCAAGGTATTGAGCTCCAGAATTTGATCGTTCAAGGTTCAAGAAATCTTGGTCGTAGTTATTCTGTCCTTGGTCTTCGTTGGTCATGCTAAAGAATTGGTTAATGTCGCCATAGTTGGGTTGCTATTGGTCAGTTCTCTGGTTAGCTATAGCTAGGGGCTTAAATGCGAGAAGCTATAGGGACTTAGATCTTATAGTGTGTACTCACGTGACTAGGATCCTGCTGACCGCCGAACCTGGGGCTTACAATTAAGTCATCGGATTGAGTGGGCTTATTGGGATTCTAGTATTTAGTTTGCTGGGCTTATACATTAGAATCGATTGTGGCTAGTTTACCTCAATATAGTCTTCCTTTTGTTCTTCCTATTAGATTATAATTTGATTAGGACTTCTGGCACGTCTATATCAATGCATTATGATGTGGGGGTCCATGATATATACATACGAATATTTCATCGGTGGGGTCGGGATTGTTCCGCGCATTCTGCCTCTATATATAGTGCGTCGGTATCGTTACATTTAGTTGAACTGAAGGAGGTCTAGTTGGGGGGGGGGGGGGGGGGGCGGGGATATTTACCTCAGCTAACATATTATTAAAAAGCCTCTGGAGGTTTTCTACTTGAATTGTAAGCTGCTGGAGTCGTGCATTTCTTGGACTCATTACTTCCTCTTCCTCTTCTTCTTCCTCTAGGTCTTCTCTAATGATTTCGCCGAAGGTTAGTTGTTCCCTCGGGTCGGGATTTCTCTGCTGTTGTATTTGGCCGGCTTGGTTCCGATATCCTCTGTTTCGGCTCCCTTGGCCCCTTTGATTCCCTCTGTTTCGGCTCCCTTGGTTTCTTTGATTTCCTTGATTCCTTTGATTCCCTTGGTTTCCTTGATTCCGGTTTGGGTTCCCATTTCTCTGGTTTTCGATTTGTTGGCGTGTACCAGGTTGGATCCGTGTAAGCCCTGGCAGTTCTTGCTGCTGGGTTTGAGGCTCTATATTTATTAGGTTCTGCTGGGTTTGTTGCTGTTGGTTCATTACTGGATCTTGCCGCTCTTGCCGAAGACCCTGATTGATTAAAGGAAATTGCTGTTGTACGATTCGCTCTAGATCTCGAGGGGGTGGGAATAACCTAAAGTCTCCGGGATCTATCTTCGATAAACTATCGGAGTAACCATCTTGGCCATACAGCCACATGGGCCTCCAGCTGCCTAGTCTCAACGAGGGTGTCATAGGCGTAGATGTAAGAAAAAGGTGGCTCTGAGGTGTGTAAGTATCCCGAAGACGGAAGATTACTCGAGTCGTCAATGGCTCACAATGCGCCCCTTCGAAGAAAACGATACCCCTGACACTGTATTTTAGATTCTCATTGGCAGTTTTCAATGGATCCCATACAGCGGGGGGGTCTCTGGCAAGAGAGAAGAAGTTGATTTTGGTGTTATCGTTTAGGTTACCCCAGTTTATTGTTATACAAGACTGGAAGGTTAAAGGTTCGTCACTAGATTGGGAGAGATAGGCGGGTTCGGAGCCGGTTCGACGGCCGTCGCGGTAGTGTGGCACGCTTTGGGTGGTGGCTTGTTGCATATACCATGCTGTAATCTGAAGGGGAAGTAAGGCGAGGAGGAGGATAGCCTGTATGGCTTTTTGAGGGACTCCTGAGTTCAGCATGATTATGGGATTGACATACTAGGGGCCGCCTGTTGAAAGTAATGATCGGAATTCGTGATATACACGTTCGGCACGACGTTCAAAGGGGGTGCTCATAGATGGCATGGCCATTGTGGCCACACCTCTGCAGATCTGTACATGATAGTATAGTATGCATGGGGCTGAGGAAGATTGAGAAAGATATCTTCGGATGACTGGGGCATGTTAAGTTAAAACATTCTCAAACTCTGAGGATTCTTTGATGGTTCTGAGCGTAAACTACCTCTTCTCGATTACATTCTATAACTGCGACAACTTTCGATCATATGTATAATTTTGTTGTATTTTGTTGTATTTTGTGTGTTGTATATCCACTGTAGTCACTTCGTGGTTATGAGATTGGGCGCTTTGGATGGAATTACAAAACGGATTATTTCTTTTTTGGAAGTTAGAATCATATCTTATAGTCCTCTAGGGACTTTAATTTTATAATCTCTAGCAACATTAAGGTAGTTTACATACTGATATCAATGACATTATAATAAAAAGAAGAAGAGAAACGACTTGGATTCAAACTGCAAATTTCAGATTGATCCCCAAGCCAGGGCGAGGAATGTCAATCCAAATACTGCGGAGACTGTAATCGAGCTGGCACTATTTGGAGTCGGTGAGCTTGTACCAGATGCTCCCGTGGGTGTGCTTGTTTCTCCCCCTTCTGTGCCTGATGGCGACGGCGAAGAAGCAGAATCCGAAAATCCGGCACCGACACATCGTCCATTAATTATCTCAGTATATTTGTCCTTAAGGGGTACGGATGGTTCCAAGAAAGTAGCATTCTGAGCTTCGACTTCAATGATGATATCGCTACCGGGAGGGCAACACGCGAAGCCTTCGGTTTTATAGTCGTAGGTCGTTCCCACCGTACCCTGGGGGCATCTTTTGGCATAAACGGCTTCGGTGCCGGATGTATCGAGGTTGAAGCTGTTGAGTAGGAAATCTCCTGCTAGATCGGCGCAGGTGGTGCTATTGTCGGTATAGCAGCATACGTTCTGTCTTCCACCCCAATTGCCGCAGGATTCGCGTCTATGGCAGAATCCATCTCTACCGCACTCTTGGAAACCGGTGCAGTATTCATTGCCCTCGCATCCAGTTATTGGGGCTTGTATTGTGATTTTGTCGGCGTTTACGGCTGTCGCTGATAGGAGAGATAAAAGGACGAAGATGAACTTTTGCTGCATTTTGTCTTAATTGTTTCTTTCTTTCTTTTTTTCTTTCTTTCTTTCTTTCTTTCTTTCTTTCTTTCTTTCTTTCTTTCTTTCTTTCTTTCTTTCTTTCTTGAATATAGTAGGGGAGGTTTAACCGAAAACTTAAGGATCTATATAAGGAAGGGAGGAAGGAAAAAGAAGATCTTAAGAAGAAGAAGAAGAATGATCTGAGTTCTGAGTGAGTTGATCCGGTACTATATCACTTTGATGAGGATATAAGGTGATTAAGTAAGTACTTAAGCGGTGGAAGGATCCGCAATAATGCTTCCAGAAGCCTAGATATTTATACGAAGCCTTTTTCATGAAAGCTTGTTATCGGACATTCCGTTTTGTCAAATCAATCAAATGCATTCTCAGCCGCTCGCTAGTTTAAGTTCGATGTTTGATCCCACGGGATTTCATGGCATATAAGCTTCGTTATCTGCAAGGGAGAAAAGCTAGTTGGAGCAAAAGGATCTCACTGGATGTGAACTATACCAATCGCGGGATTTAAGCGAGTAAACGCCAAGGTTGCCGAGACGTTCCTGTTGGGTCCGGATCGCGATCGCGATGGTGGCAATTGCATTAATTGATATCAGTGACTCGGTTCTTGTGATAATGGTTTAAATTGGTCGGTACCGTGTGTGAGGCTGGCCAATGTTGGCTAACTCCTGACGCCGATATGAAACGAGCCTGTCTGTACCGTGTATGAGCACGTGTTAGTATTTCAAAAATACTTTTTTGCGCACAGTTTTCTAGAGCGATGATTCGATCCTTCCGAATTTTTCTTTTTTCGAGAACTCAGATCATGATCAGTTCCTTTCCTTTCGAAGTCTCAAATTCATCGCAACAGCCTCTGTGGTGTGTGTGACCTGAGAAGACTGACAAAGCGGAGATCCTTCTTGGGTAGCCTTTTGTGTTGTTGAAACCTCAGCACTGTGTTGTGTGCATGTGGTATATTCTGCAAACCTCAACACAAATCTACAAGATGTGTTGTGTTTGTCTCCGTTTGTCTGGTGTATAAATCAAACAACACAACACAATACTACTACTACTGCTTACTAGTACCAGTTAGTACTACCAGCTAGCTGACAGCTGTTATGAAGGCTGGAGGGGTAAATAAGTAGGTACCTATTTGCTGGAGTTTTTATGGCCTGGTATTCAAGATAGTAAGTGGTATAATTTAAATCCTAGAATCAAGATGATATTATATTCTATCAGTGTATGGGCCTAGAATTAGAGGTTGAGCGGGGGTTCAGTTCGTTGAAGACATATTAGCTTGTAAACTTGATTTCGGCCTGCAGCCTATCTGAGGAAAGTCAATGCAAAGCTGCTACTTCAGTACGAAGTATATAGTAAGTAGCCCCACAGTACCAACCTCCACACTCTAACTAGTCGGGTAACCTGCAGAGAACCTGCTTCTGCTTACAAGACGACCATTCAGTAATTGATAACTTAGTGAGTTCAGGAATATCCTGCGTCATCGCATCGTGGGACCCGAGACTTAGGTCCCCGAATCGGTCAAGGATCCGTAGCTGCTTTAGCTGCAACATGCGCTGCCATGCAACGTGCGACGACAAGCTTGCAAGATGGTCCCTTAGGACAACACACACCTGAGGCGAACCGGTCCATCCTTTTTCTCTTTTCTTGTCGTTCTTGTCTTCCTCGAGTCAACTGACTGCCGCCTTGTCCTTGTCCTAAGGCTCTGGGAAATTTCCTGATTTTTTTATTTTCCTGATTTTTTTTTTTGACGTATGTGAGTAAGGACGGTGCAGACGGGAGACCGGAACGAAGGTGGTATAATTATCCGGTCCACACCCTCTAGACTTAGCTTTGAATGCCGACGACGTTTTTTTTTCTAAATTCTGGACTAGACTTGATATTACGTATACTTCTGAGGATCAAATAGTTCAAGTTCACGCCGATTTCGACTTGTTAACGTCGGGACCCCCCCTTTGATTTGGAGTTTTACCTATCTTCTTACGCTTTCTGAGATATCTAAATCTTTTATCATCCTTCGTTTCTCCATCATGGGACGCAGAGACCGAGACCGAGACCGAGACCGAGACCGAGACCGTAGCTATGGTTATGCCAAGGAGGAGCCTCCGGACAGCTATCAGAAGTACCACGAACAAACATACTGGCCAGGGGAGTCTTCGGCATCGAGGGCGTCTAGCGATAGAATTAGTCATGAAGAACCTTACGAGAAATATAACCCACGACCCTCGAAGAGACGTTCGCGAAGGCGCTCAAGAGATTATGATGGACCTGGGAATAGTGTTCGGCCGGGCAATAAAAGATTAATTATTGCCTGTGACGGTATGAAAGGTCCCTAATATCCGTTTTGATAATTGTCTATTACCAACCAGTGGGTACTGGGTTATGGTTATAGGAGTAAAGCGACTGACACGGAGGGTAAAGGAACATGGCAGGATTCCAACGGCGAGCTACAAGACGGCAAACTGAAGCCTCCAACCAACGTAACCAGAATATGTAGGGCGATCAAATCCTTGTCCGGTTCAAATGTCCCCCAAATCGTCTATTACCAAGCAGGTCCGGGTTCCTCGAATAACCCACTTGACAAGATAATAGGCGGTGCACTTGGTGAAGGTGTCGCTCAAAATATGAGAGAGTGTTTCTCTTTTCTATCAAACAACTATGCCCCCGGGGACGAAATATTCTTTATCGGCTTCTCGAGAGGGGCTTTTACGGCTCGTAGTGTGGCAAGTATGGTAGCTGGGTTAGGAGTCTTGACGAAAAAGGGGCTGGAAGCCTTCGCTGTTATCATGAAGGATTATCAGCATAGATATGAGAAGGGCTATAAATCACCACAACCGGATTGCCCGTTTCCGAATAAACCTTCCGCGGCGGATCCGGGGTATGTCGAGCAATTATATAGAATGGGCATGACGATTCCGAATGTTAGGATTAGAGCTATCGGGGTCTGGGATACTGTCGGTGCTTTGGGCATTCCAAAAATTGGTTGGTTACAAAAGTTGGGCGTACAACCGAAGAAAACGGATGAAATGATGTTCTATGATACTAGTCTCAGTCCTATGGTCGACTTTGCGTTTCAGGCTTTGGCGTTGGACGAAAGGCGGGCGACTTTTCCACCGACGGTATGGGAGTTACCGAAGGGTTCGCCTACAGTCTTGAGGCAGACTTGGATGGTATGTACTTCAGAGTCCTTGTTCTTGAATTTTTTTTTTATTGGAATGTAAGTTGCTGATAGTGATGTAAAAGCCTGGAGAACATAGTAACGTCGGTGGTGGCTGGGAAGATCAAAACCTCAGTAACGTCAGCCTCGCTTGGATGATATCTAATTTCACCCCGTTCATCGATTTCGACGACACCTACATTTTCACCGAATTTGAACAAAACTTTCTTTACTATCGTCAAAAGAAACTAAAACCTCGAGCCTGGGGTTTCGGAAAGATTTACGATAGTATGGAAGGAATATACGCCCTCGGAGGGAGCGAAGCTAGAACCCCAGGCGACTATACACGATGCGACCCATGTACTGCTGAAAGAACGGGTAAATTTTTGAAGAATACACGGGAGACGGTACATGTTAGCGTTCGGGTCCGTGTAGCATTAGGAGGATATGGAATTGATGATGAAGGGTCTTATCATCCGAAAGCACTTAGAGGGTGGAAGTTTTACTATGATGATGGGATTGGAGGGTATAAATGGGTAAATAAAGTGACTGGGGTCGAGTTGTATGAAATGGATTTGGGGCCCGTGGAGAGGAAATTGTTGGAAATGTATCCGGATGTTTACAGTTATGTGTTTGATGATGGAGGGGAGGGAAATTGGGTCGAAAAGCCAAGGGTTAAGAGAAGGAGTTTGGGGGATGGGGTTGGGGATGGGGTGCACCAGATTACTGGGGCCATCAAGGGGTTGTTGAAGTGAATATGATATATACTTGCGCAGCGTGACTACGTTGGAATTTTTGGATATTTTGACGGCTATGGGTTTTTGGTATTTGATTTATGAGGTAAAGTTTATATAGCGAGCGTAATATAGGTTTAGGTTTCGAGTTTGCATGGTTAGTTATGGGGAATGGCCATCTGGATACAAATTGTTATATAAGGGGTTAGCCTGCTGGCGGGATTCATATTAAGTCTAATGACGGGATATTAGTATTCGCAGCTGTCAAGTAGTCAGTATACTCAAGTAATGAGAGCCAATTTGCTATTATTAATAGAAACAGACCATTCTTCATGATTTTATTTTATATCAGAGTTCTCGCATACCCGGGGAGTTGACGTAGGAGTCTTTCGATCACGAAGTACACCAATATATCGTGAGCCGAGCTATCTTTTAGCCTCGATATGCCACCCAAATCTTTTTCGGACTAAATCTGTAGGCCTGAGTATAATATCTGACATTTTGATGGTAATTTTGAAGGGTTTGCCATTTGATGAGGTTGGCAGGTGCCGTTTTTCTTCAGGTGAACCTTTCCAATATCCTAGATCCTAGCTCCTCTGAAGCTCCTGTACTAATTACTTCTAGGACTAGGAATTCTAGCACTTTTGTTTGTATATACTGGAGACTGTTCCTAGATCTGCTCGCTTTTTCGCTTTTCTGCCAATTGTCGCCCTTTTTATATATTGGCGTCATATGCCATGGAGGCATTTGGGTCCGGATTTGGGTGGATTTGTTGGCAGACTACAGGAGAACTTATCTTGAGGAAATGAAAGGCAATCAAGAAGCGTTAGAAAAAAAAATAATGGTAATTATATATTTAGGTAAGGATGGCATATATATGCACATGCGCATACATGGGAACTTAATTGGATGTATACCTAGGTATCAATATCGTCAACTGAGGTTGTTGCGATTGAGTGTGTTGATATCATGATAGTGTTGGATATTTATTTTCAGCAAGCGGAACTGGGCTGGTATCGTACCATGGATTTTGAGTCATAGAACCCTTCTTTCCTTCAGCCTTGTCCGCAGTTTTGCATGGATCTGTGTTATGTAATCTTAAAATTGTTAGGCTTCTCTTTGAAACCGTGATCGATTGCATTGTTGAGCCACGTAGCTTATGTAAGAGTCATTTGGGGCGGAGAATGCTACCAATTGTGGGAGCCTGGTTGTGATTGGCCAATTGGCAAACAACAGGTATGTAACAAAAGTTGAAATTGGACGTGTGAATCATGGTTCCATGATTCAGAAATTGGAATTGGAATTGCGCAGTCAAGTGATTTCGAGTTCGTGTTCAGCCGTGGCACTGGATTACCTATTTATTTGGGGACTTGCACCGCAACCACTTTCATTCATTTTTATTGATTATATAATCCTTTACGTATATGTTTTGCTATATGAAAGCGTTAATATATAGGGCATCTATAGTTTTCAAGCATATCGTGAATCCATATTCCTTTTATCGCACACAAACAGCCACAAACCCATATATCTGAATACTTCAAGATGGTATTGAAGAGAAAGCATTCGTCGGCGGAAGAGTTGCTCGAATCCCCGAAGCGGTCGAGGCCGGTTGTCGAAGAGACGACGACACCGGTTTCATCTCACGGAGATATATTCTCCTTTTGTCCAGCCGAGATCAAAATTCAGGTCTTCAGTTTACTCGATGAGGCAGATACTGCAAATCTGTCGCGGTGTTCGAGGTCCTTCTATGCGTTCTCATGGGGACTGCGTTTTAAATCCGTTATTTTGGATGAGAAATCAATCAAAATATTCCAAACTGGGGGATTGGGTGAGCATGGCTGCCATCATATAAGGTATAAAAGCCTGTCTTCTGATATTGTATAGTGGATTCGGTGAATTAATATAGTTCATATGAAAATAGCTCCGTGCGTCTTGGGAAGAAATATAAATGGTCCAAGAATGCATCTAAGCTAGGGGCCTATTTCTGTGGCGATAAAATCGACACGAACGGTGCTTTAGATCAGATGCGAGCGGTTTTGGCTCTGTTCCCGAATCTTCAACGATTGTCACTATCCTATCATATATCTACTGCAGCCGAAAATAATACCTATGTTGCTATTTTCAACGAAATCTCTCGCCATCCGACAATGTGGAGTAGTCTTGAATATTTGGGAATTGAAGCTGTTAAGGTACCAGAAATGGATCCTAAGGGGTGTTATCAAAAATCGGGCGAGCTATACGGAAAGCTTTACTCGGAACTATCGGTTGAGAACCAGAGGTTTCTTGGAGATAAAGTGGCGGATGGCGAGGTTGGGAAACTATTGAAAGAAAGATTAGAGACTCAGGGTTTTCCGAACTTGAGAAAGGTTAAAATAGCAGCCAATTGCCTTGCTGGACCTATGTCAGATCCTAAATCCGCCTATATGAAGCGGACGGGGTTTTATTATATTCCGCTGTTGTTTGCACCTCAATTGCAGACCCTCACTGTCGAGACAACAGATTCATGTCATATTTTTGATATATATGGGTTCACCGTGCGCGACGACATGAAAGGTCGAGCAAAGGCAGACTTCGAAGCGGGACTTCTTGACGTATTCTCGAAGATCAAAAAGCTTTCACTCACCACATATGACTCGCCAAAACCGAAAGATATTCAAAGAATTGCGTACAGGTTTCCCAATTTGACAACTTTAAAGATCAAAATGTTTAATGACAGACCTTGCGACGGATACACCAACAACCGTATACCATATACGTCGATTAAAGACCTAAAGCACCTGGAGACTTTAAACCTACCATGGCCTAGAAGTGAGGAAGGATGTTTTAAGATAACGAGGTTACAAGGACAGGTAAAAACCTGGAAGCAATCTGGGTTGGATTCTTTGGAGATTATTGACTTTCGGGGCAAAAAGGATAAGGCGACAGGATTTGCGAGGGTGTGGTCTGATACTCATGCCGGTTATCGAATTCGGTTTGGGGCTGTATATCCGTGTGGTAATACGTCTGGGTATGAGGATAATCATAGGAGAAAACTAGCAGCAGCTTGAAGACGCTGGTTGTGCCTGGAAACCTGATTTTCTTTTTATATATTTCCGCCAAAGTTATCGATAATTAACGTGTATTAATTTGTGGTTTGTTAGCGATTTGGTTTAGCCTTTGTTTTCTCACGAAGCAAATGATGCATTCTCAGGTTCGGATATATGTCTTTGGGGGAAAGTTTTAGCATACTAGAATCTGTGCTGCTAGTTTAACAATAGATGGTGATGTTGATTTTGTCGAATAATATTGGCTTTCTAGGCAGCGTTCTTAGGTTATCCAGTGAACGAAATGTTCATATGAGTCCGTGTGTACATGAAAATTGGCCTCCCGGCTACCGTTAGCCGCTGGAATAGAAAACCTAGTAGTTTGAAAGTTCATGAAACGGCGGCTACAGCCTCAAGAGCTCTGGATATTTCAGCTCTTCGGTATCACACATTAAACACGCCCCCGCTGCTTGTGATCAAAGACTAGGCACTTCGTTTTAGCCCTTAGGCCCCAAACTAGCATTACGGGACTACTTGTAAGACTTCTGAGCTCCTTGCGAAGTACTAAGCTTCTCGTTTTGTCAGTTTATGTAGTTGGTGTTTTAGGATTCTGGGGTAAAGACCGAAGGCTGTGCAAGGGCAATGTTTTGTTTTGGCGGGTATTGTGATATGTGTGGTGTATGTGGGAAGCCCGGGTGCTATCGGCAGGGTAAAACAGTTTTAGTGTGTGTAACAATAAGGATCAGATGGAAAGATTTGGTAGTGTGTGTCCGGAGACGGCGAATATGGACCTGGGGTGGTCGATCCGATGGAGTTCTTTGCCGCTGGATCGAGGAATTTAGGGAATAGGGTTTTAAATTTTCCGGCCGAGAAAAAGAATTTCATTCATAGTTGGGTTCTATGCTAGATCTAGGAAATATATTTATAATGTGGGCTGCAGGTTCCTGTTCAGACGATAATTCAACAACGAAGTGGAACTTCTGTGTAACCAGATCGTAGAAGACACATGTTTCACATGCATAAGTTGATTAATCAAAAGTAACGTGGTTTATTCGAACTTAATTTGGAGGTTGGTGTTCCTTTGCACAAATGCGATGTTAGGGTGTATATATTTTTTATATATTCTCTTTCTAATGTTAAACCGTGACTCGAAATTTATGGACAAGACGGGATCGGATGGGATCAGATGGGATCGGAAAATATTTTTTTCCTTTTCGCTGTAGTTTGGTCAAAATGCGCACTATATTGCCAGAATAGTCATCAAAGTCTTTCTCGTGGAATGATGTGATATCGGTGTGAAGCCTAAGCCTCAGGATTGATCATGCTGGGGGTATCGCGATCTTGCAGTTTCAATCTTGCTTCGGTTTTCAAAGTTTTTGCAGGAGGTAACCTGGATGGTTCTAGGGTCTGTCTCAAGACATGGTCGATTTTCATCTCTAGGAGTCTCGAAACCGGAATATAGCGTATAATCATGTTTGATTTGCCGTATTACTAGCTCGCTGAATTTAACGGAATTTCTTTTTTTATTTTTATACGCGTACTAACATGATAGATTATAGGAGACATCGGTGGTAGACAGCGCGGATCAAGGCTACGAACTGGGAACTCTATAACTTGAAGGTATGTAGTCATGTTCTGGTTTGAGAGGTTCATGAAACTGGACTTTGGTTCCAATTCTAGGATGAATGTTAATTGGTCGAATAGGAATTATAGCGAAGTTTAAAAACTGGGAGCGGTTCTAGGGTGAAAAACTATTTAATTGAGTATTCGAGTTACCATTTGGGCTATATAATGCATTCTAACTATGAGAGATGACTGAGTATATGGCGACATGGGCTTCGGAGCAGCGTAACCAGCGCCTATAGCTTAAAAAAAGAAAATGCAACAAAGTGTGCGTTGCTCACGACGGCATATGGAAGTAAATGGAGCAAGCAATGGAGAACATAAATAATAGGATAGGCGGCAGAAGTCAAATTTGCAGAGTCATGTAAAAAATCCGACTAAAATACAACAATAAGCATAAAACTCCAGAACAGCACAAGGCTGGTATACAACACCGCTTCATTTGGGATATTAGGTTCTGCAAGGTTGATTTGCTGTGAAATAACTGTTGGTTGTGGAGTGGTGAAGAAGTAAGTAGCAGTGGCGTCCCCATTGCTATTATCTTGTGTAGTTATATAAACGTGAAACCCGTTGGGGTCATCAGAGTAGATTGTTTGGGTTGCAGTGGTGGCGGCTGTATTACTGTCATAGGTAGTTGTATAGTATGATGTCGTCGTCGGGTTCATGGAAATCACGTAGGCAAGAGTCACAGTGCAGAGGGTGGTCGTGTCTGTACATGTTGCGGGGATTGCAGTCGCAAGTGGTGCCGTGGTCTTGGGAGAATATGTTAGAGAAGTGCCTATGGTAGTGGATCATGGCGGCTGAACGTTAGGGATAGAATGGCTTACATGGGTTTCAGGTGGGATGCATGTTGTTTGTGAGGATGTAACCCATGTTGTTAAAACCCCTGGAGTGGCAGTGGTGGAGGGTTCCCAGGTGGTAGATGTTGAAGTGGTTGTTCCTGTTATAGATGTCCAACTTGTCGTAGTAGTCGTAGTTGTCCCACTGGTGAGGGTTGTCGATGTACTCTCTGTTGTAGTGCTTGATGAAGTTGTCGTGGTATCTGTAGTCGTGGTGTCGACTACTTGCTGGAAAACAGGGACAACTTGCGGCTGGACAAAGCCTTCGCCAGCCTATATATTTAGAGAAGTCGAAAGTAATTAGCTTATGATATTCGTTATTTAACATACTGAGGGGGTCGGCAATTCAAGAAAATGAGAAAGAGTCAAGAAGGAAAGCTCAAGTAATTGAGGTATGGGCTAGAGAGGGGGAGGGGGATTATTTACATGGGTTTGGAAAGTAATTGAGTCGCTATCTCCCATGTTTTCCGCCGCCAACTGTCTTTTCATTTTCCTTCCAATGATGATGGGGATAGAACTATTCCCTAGGATTGGGACAGTCCCTGTGGGTTCTACATCATCGACTTCGTCATCCGTGTCCTCTCCTCCAAGGATTGCGATTATGGATGAATTTGAACCTGTGTATGGAGTTGTGTCATTGCCGCCGAGAATGGCTACGAGCGGGTAGTCTGGGTTTGAAGAATTGGAGGTGATGGAAGTCGTGGAATTGATGTTTACAGGGACTGGTTCGTTACTGCCAACGGCTTCAGAAGCTGCAACTTCTGCGCTAGTGTCCACAGGGGGTATCGCGCCGACGGCAACGGTTTCTGTAGCAGTGACACCTACCGTGGCGACTGCAATTTCTATGGCGGTTGTAGTAGAAGGCGCAATATCTACAACCATTGGAGTTGATTCCGTGAGATGTGCAGCGACACTTTCCAAACCAGTATCGCTGATAGGAACTGGTTTAGGGCCTTCTGTATTCCCCATCGTAACGACTGTCCCGTCACTAGGTGTAGTAATCAACTGTGCAGAATTTCCATCGGATGTTATCACAGGTCCATTTGGTAAAGTGGTTTCTTGCCTATCAGCTACATGTGATTGCACTGCTTCAACTCCTAGATTCTGTCCCACATTTACTACTCCAGCTGGACTGGCGTTCACAGAATATGCCAGTGGCATAATCGCTACCAACCCTCGCAACACTTGCATTTTTTCACCACCGATAATGTCAGGTTCGGGTTGAGAGCACGTTCCGAGATGATTGACTTAGCGTGTAAAATCTATCGAGCCCCTCGTGGATGTCGATCTCGACCGCGAAAGGGCGTTGGGGAAAGTCTCGTGGTGGACAAGAGTGGAAAAATAAAGTGAGCTAAGGAGTTTGGAGGTATAATCTCCCCATGGTGAGGGCGGATCATGTACGAACGCAAGAAAGGATATTCATGGCCTAGGCACGATCTGGAAATGGTGGTCAAAAACGGGTATTTGAGGTTGATACATGTCGGTTCGGAATAGGTGTAGGTTAGTGAGTCGGTGTTTTGAGGCGGTTGGGTCAGGGGTTAATAATTGCACACAAATGGGAGCTACTAGCTTGTATTAAAGATTCCGTTAACTCATATGATTTTATTTGAGGTTGATATTGGGTCACTGAGAGGGATCGCGGGGTTAAGCTTTCTGGTGTTCTTCATATTTTGAAACGTTGCGTTTTAGACATCGGTTGTGTTGCTCGTGGGGAAAGAATGGATTTTGTTTTTTGACTCAATCAAACAGTTATTAGGTACATTATAACGTTGCCCACATATGGGTTCTCTAGGTAATCCGTTTTCTATTTATACATTAGTTGCTTTCGATCGAAAGATTAACCAGCAGCCAAGGGCAATCTCGATTGTGAAGAAGACCGCGAGTAAATCGAATGCAAACCCACTGTTCACATGATCTGCTCCCCATCCTCCGAATTGTGTCAAAAGTAAGATACCGGCTGCTCCGCAAAGAGAATAAACTCCGGAGATTGCGCCTTTGAATGCTAGGCGATGTGGTTTGGTACCATTTCTGGCGGGTGTCGCAGTGGGGTTCAATGAGGTTGATTCGTCTATTACTGGAGGGGTGGCGGCGTTCGCTTCAATCTGCTGCAGAGACGGCGAATGTGATGGGTCTTGTATAGCATTTCCGATCAATGCTAGGGAGGACACTATAGCTCCTATTTGTCCAATTCCCATCATAGCGCAGTGTAAATAAGCCCAACTGCGGTCCGCTCCGACGGATAGGGATTGTAGAGCGCTGAAAGCGGCGCATGAGAAGAAGCCTAGAACGGCTGTCGCCAGTAAAGGATATTGGGGTTCGTATCTATCTGAAAAATATCCGACGATTGGTGCGAAGACGAGTGCAGATAGTTGCGATGTCCCTGTGAGCATGGCGGCAAGGATATAGGCTTCGCGACATGACTTTTTATAATTTGGGTCAGAAGGGAGGACAGGAGGGCACATCCCGCGTGCTCGCATCCACTGATTAACGTAAAGTGGAATGAATAGCGATATCCCAACTGACATTGACCTAATTTCGGAGTTGGATTAGCTTGTATGAAATGGAGATAACGAGGTTGTCCGGAGATATAGCGTACCTTGCCACAAACCCGCCGAGGTAACCTAGGCCGATCCGCCAGTCTTCCTTGCCTGCTTTTAGAGCAAGCCACAACCCTTGGAAATAGGTTCTAGTGGACCCTTTCCAATTGTCAGAATCGCCGGGGGTCCCCGAATTCCAGATGGAATCATATCCTCCTGTTCTTGACCTTGAAGACCCTCCGCTCTGGATGCTCCTGGTGTCTGGTAACAAAGATGATCTTTCGTGCGATCGTCCGTCGTTTGCCCCTCTTGCATCTTCAGGAGCCTCTTCGTCGCCACCGGAGCTGGACGCATCATTACTCGAGGCTCTCCAATTCTTCCATAGTCTCAAAAGGTTTCCGATCTTCCAAAACTCTCCATGCTTGCCACCAACACCTCCACCTCGTAGTCCTATGAAGACTGTGAGGGCCACAATCCATGACACACAGGCAACAATATAGAATGTATGCTTCAAAGCACTTTCCCGAGTCATATGCTTGTCCTCAGCTAACTTTGTAGGAAGTGGTAAAAAGAAAATTAATGCAACGAGGGCTCCGCAGCCTGTCATGAATCCAACAATCCCACTAAGTTTGCCAGTAATAGGTTTAGGAGTGAGCTTTGCTTGTTCTTTTTGTTGTTGGCGTGACCGGCTTCTACTTGGTGGCCGCCATTTGGCTGGTCGAGCTCCTGATGTAACTAATGTGGAAGCAGTGGATGTAGAAGACGAGGATCCCGCCTGTGCAGGGCGATGGGCAGAACTTGCACGATCTCTGTTCGACGCTGAAGAAGACGACGGATCGGAAGCGACAGGGAAGTTGGGGTAGCTGGAATGTCGTGTGTGTGTAAACCTCGGTTCATTTGTTGATCTCGAACTGGGAGAATCTGGCAATGGAGCAGAGATTTCTGGGAGTACGGCTGTGACTGAAACAACCGTAGCGGATGCACCCATAGAAAACAAGATCCGGGCCAGCGCCAGGCCTGGATAGACAGATTTAACTTGTACTACCACCACTAAGGAGACTCCCACAAGAATATATCCGGAAACGGCAATCTGTGTGCGTGAACAACGTGCACAACATTAGTAAAAATGTACATTTTCAGGCTTGGAAAGTCAAATGCAAGATATCGGATGCACGATAAACTACGGTGCCAGATAATCGATACTGTACATGCATACAGGCATGCGAAGGGATATTGAAACTAACCATTCGTGTTCCTATTCTGTCACTCAAGGCACCCCAAAAGATCACCATAAAAACGGCGACTAGCTCGTCCACGAAGCCCAGAGTGCCCACGATACTCCCAACGCCATCTTGAATGCCGAATAAGTCTGTAACCACAAAGCTAAGAGCGGAATTCAGAAAAACCAGGAAGGATATCGAGAATAAACATATTGCGAAAAGATATGTGAGAGATGCATGGAGTGGAATATGTGATGCAAACGGCAGCCTTTCGCGTAGACGTTGGGCAAGAGGCTTCGAAGTCGAAGGCTTCGGGAGTTTTGAAGCCAGGAGGTCCACTGCTCGTGACATCGACTATGGTTTGTAACAGCAAGCTCGCTCTTTCGAGGGATGCTGGTGTCGGATAAAGACTGTATACAAATTCGAATCAGATTGTGGTCATGAGGACGGGTACTGTAATGCAGCGAAGGTAAGATCTGTGAGATGGCGGGGTGAGCGGTTCTGTTTATGGTGGTTCCGGTTCTGGTTCTGGCAATCCGGCCAAGGGCGTGCGCGGCGCTTCAAGTTTCGGACCGCCCAAACATGCACAAGGCTGCGGAGGGCCGGAGACTGGTTTTCTCATAGCAAGCAAGCTTGAGCAATCAGAAAAGGAAAGGAAGTTGGAAAGGAAGTTCGCGCGGGTTCACGCGGAGCCCGGAAAGCCTGAACCAACCACTTCGAGCATACCATTACGTTTATGTCGTCTGTTAGCGTGGTGGTGGTCAGCAGGCATGGTGCATTCGGCTTGTAGCCCTGTGGCTGGAGCCATTGTTAGTTGTGGCGGTGAAACTGCAGCAGGTGTGGCACTGACAACGCAGAATAATCCAACAGTTGAGGTTGTATTCAATTCATGTCGTCGAAATAAAGCTTGATCATGAGGGGAAATTTAAAAATTAAAAAAAAAAAATTAAAAAAGTGAGCGGCTGTTCGGTATCAGCAGCAAATTACCCTAATGCACATGTTAGGTCTCTATTCAAGTTTACTGTTCTGCTGTTGTGCCGAATTGAACCATACGTGTTTTTTTCGCCATTCAACACTACTGGCATTACATTGCAGTGCATTCATGTAATGCCTGGAGATCAACAAGATCCCAGTCGGTGACCCGTAGCACAACAGCACGATCGATCCCAGAGAATGCTCTTCTGTACTTGTCCTTGCATTTTCTGCAAGTCATTTAATTTCTCCGGAAGGCGAACCTTCCTATTACTGCGCTGGGGGCCCGTTTGTAATGCAGTTTGCCTGGCGTGATTCATGAATCCCGGATATCGATATCCCTAACTGATCAAGGTATAGACTACTCTACAAGGAATAAGGACCCTGCGACTTACAGCGCTAATGTTGAGCTAAACATCCTCTATTAAAGATATATGACCGCGGTAAGTTTGTAACCACATGGCTTCCTTGGCTGGTAATATATCAACCCCGTCATAAGCTCAAAACCAGGTAGAACTCCTTGTCCCTAGGCTTCCAGGGTCGGGGTCCCTGTAGCTCTATAGTCCCCAATGAGTCCATGGTTCCGTTTGAACTATCATGCTATATTTAATTACTTAGGCAAACAGTTAACTAGTTCCAATTCGGACTTCAGTCGGACTGTCGCTTTACTATTAGGCCGAGGAGCTAACTCCGGTACTTCTGTATCGTAAACAGTTATAATCATTGAACTACCCTATTATCGAAGAAATCTCTGTTCTATTGTCGTGCGTAGGCGTCTCAGACGATTCCTCTTTCTGTGGATTTTCCTTTCCATTCACTTAGGATACAGGCAATGACATTAACTGGACTCCAAAAAAAAGGTATTTAAAATTATTGCATCGTGCTTGAATGCAACAGATTCAACTCGACTTGGAAAACCTTTTTGGTGGTTACACAGTAGAATTTATAGACTAGAATGCATATGGTGTACTAAAACTTCTGCTCAATATAGTAAGCAAAAAAAGCTGCAATTTGTTCTCGCACGCACCTTCCCCCACGTGTGTACAAGTACCATGGATACACAAAAATGACAGCTGCGACCTTCCCGACACCCTACGCATATTTGACGCCATACCAACCTTTTCTAAAGTTTGGTGGTAGCAAGAAACGGCGGAAGAAGCCAAAGCTCCTGGCTAGTACTATAGTTTGGGAACTACTTAGGTGCTTGGGAAAAAAGCAAAAGTCAAGGTAGGCAAGAGATAGCTGTAACATTCGCTTTATGATTGCGATAGCATGTTTTCCATTATCCTGGCTATGGAAACTATCCGCCCGAAGCCGTAACGATCTCGTAAATCTCAGCAAGCTTTGATTTTGGGTCAGTGTTTTCCCTAAATCGACGTGGATATGATGTATTGTCGACTCTTCATCAAGGGCACGAAGCAGCCTTACCGCCCGTTATTTTTCTGTAAGGGGTGCGCACCATATTGATACATTCATTATCGAGAATGTGGCCACCCGCACGGGCCCGTTTTTGCCGTTGTGTCCCAGAGTCAGTTCCCATGCTTGCTCGGATGTTTCCTACTACTCTGATCAACTTGGGGCGGTCGGAATTAATAATTGTAATATTCCTGCTGGTTGAAGATTCAGTATCGATGGGGGAAGCTTGTACACAGCGTTTTTATGGTGGGTGCCATCGATCTAGAACACGAAGATTGTGTCATTCGGATGTTTGGGAACCCCTCTTCCCCTTCACATCTCATCCCGTTGCGTCAGAAGACACATGAAAACTATTATGGACCGTTTTGCAGTGAAGCCGAGCTTGACGATCATCTTGAGCGACCTCTGAGAACGTGAAAATCTCGTTTGCGAAGTTTGTTTGTCGGGGTCACTGAGGCTATAAAATCACCGGCGATCCAGAGTCGAATATCAAACCATTCCTCAAAATTATCATAAACACTTTTGACACACCTTACGATAAATTATTATCGCCACTTCATATAAAAAAGCTCTTTATAGTAGCATTCCATTACTACCACTGCTGTTGCGCCTATCCACGTAGTAGCATTCCATCACTACCACGGCTGTTGCGCCTCCTTCTTATTTTCAATTATCCCCTTTACTACTGTCTAATATCAATTACTTTCCCTCTTAAACAATTACGATGACTGCAGTATCATCAGAAGAGCCGAAGGAAGTAGTTTCAGATACTTCGCTGGCGAGTAGCTCGAAAGAAAATCTTCATGGTGGCTTGGAAACCTTTGAGGCCCCGGTAGTTGGCCATGGCATTCCAATTGTGGATTTCCAGAGTCTAGACCCGATTTTCGAGGCTAAGAGCCGTGCCATAAGCAATGCGATCCAGCACATAGGGTGGGGTCGCTACCAATGGAAACTGTTTCTGCTATCCGGCTTCGGTTGGTTTGTCGACAATATGTGAGTTCTATATCGTTCCTCTGGACGAATAGGATATGACTATAAAAAGACTGACTTTTGAGTAAAGGTTCATGGCAGCGGTATCTGCTACCCTTCCTACAATTCGTATCGAATTCAACCCCCCAAACAAGGGTGTATTCTTATGCCTTGGTCAACAGATGGGGCTGCTAGTGTGAGATATGCTCGATTCTATATATTATTCTAATTCTGTGAAGCTAAAACTAAGATCAATATTTTGCGTTAGTGGTGCTTTTGTATTCGGACTAGTAAGATACCTCTCTCAGAAACTATACTTTATTGTTGTCCCAGTTATTAACGTATAATTGGTACATATCAGGGATCCGATGCTATCGGCCGTACTCTATCATTCAACATGACCTTACTCCTCGCCGGTATTTTCGGGTTCGCTGTGGCCGGCGGGCCTAACTATATCGGTGTCGCATTTCTTATGGCTGTGGTTGGCCTCGGCGCTGGAGGTAATATGCCCATCAACTCCGCCCTTTTTCTTGAATTTTGTCCCCAAGAGCAACAGTGGGTTCTTGCGGTTTTATCCGTTTGGGTTAGTTTCTCGTCCCCGATAACTTGAACCACCCCTTGTGGCGATTATATGTTAATATTTTATCGTAGTGGTCTCTAAGTTCTGCATTCTTGGCTCTACTTGCATGGCCCTTCCTTATGAATTTCTCTTGCCCATTGGACACGGAGTGGGGGCAATGTCCCCGCTCAAAAAACATGGGCTGGAGATACTTGTACATCACCATTGCAACTTTCACTCTAACCCTTTGGATGGTCCGATTCTTTTTCTTTAAGCTACACGAGTCTCCGAAATACCTCCTAGCCCAAGGACGGGACGCAGAAGCCATCGCTGTTGTTGACGCAATTGCTAAACAAAACGGCAAGGAAAATATTTTATCAGTCCACCAGCTTGAGGAAATAGAAGCGAATGTTCGCCTTGTAAGGGGTTTGCCGCCGAAAGCGGAGATTGGAGAAGAAAAAGAGGCGCCCGAGAGGAAAGGAGCAATGGCTGAGACTGCGCAGATGTTTGTGAGGAGTTGCTCTGTCTTGAGTGGGAAGCAGATCAGGAGCCTCTTCGCTACAAAGAAGCTTGCTATCAGCACTTCTATGGTTATGTTGCTTTGGATGACACTTTGTAAGGTTTCTTCCGTTAGCAGGGTTGAGAAGCTTTAAGAAACTCTACTAACTCTCTATAGCGATCTCCTGGAATACTTACAATCTCTTCCTACCAGTCTTCATTGCCCAGCAGGGTATTGAGAACGGCAATCCATCTTTGAATACCACCTATAGAAACTATGCTCTGATTGGAATTTGTCAGATACCTGGTTCTTTCATTGGTGGATGGCTGATTGAGCAGAAGGCTCTAGGGCGTCGTGGGACTCTCGCCCTAGCATCCCTACTCTCCGGGGGCTTCTTGTTTGGATATACTCAAGCAAAATCACAGGATGTTAGCTTGGGCTTTCAGTGTGCATCAGGTAAGTTGTAAAATATCTCATCGCGCCTTGGGAGAAAATTAGTGAGCTTTGGTTGTTACTGATACGTACATATAATTATCTAGCTGTTATGCAGAATATAATTTGGGGAATTCTTTATACATACACACCGGAAATCTTTCCTTCGCCACAGAGAGGCACTGGAGTCGGACTTTGTAGTTGTCTTAGTAATCTAGCTTCATGCTTCGCTCCAGTGCTTGGATATTACTCTAACGTGGGAAAGACGACGATTTACGTTTGTGGCAGTCTTTTTGTCTTCGCGAGTGGCCTTGTTAGTGCCTTGCCGTACGAAAGTCGGGGAGTTGCCGCTTTGTAGGATGAAATGGTGGAATAACTTGGTATATGTGAGGTACTTTCTATCCAGCTTCCCAGAGATCATTATTTGATCCATTGGATGTTCTGAAATGAAGAGAATGGTTTATGTTGGAATGGTAGGTACTGTTAGCCTATCTTAACGGGTCTATGAACAATAGCAAAACAGGTTGAGAATGGTACCGAGACTACAAAGAGGTACTGAACTCATGAATTGTTTGGGTCCTGTTTTATTTTCTGAATCTTAACCATAGCACTCTCGCCCTTTATTGGTTAATTCATCAGAGGTGTCCGTCTTTGAAACATTTTCTTTGCCTTCCTTTCTTCTTTGTTATATCAGCACTGATGAGTGCTGTATTTCCTCAAATTTCTAAGATTTTGCATTGCGCATGCATGCATGCACTGCATTTTACCATGTTTCGACTTTTCTCTGAAATTTTCTTTTCATAACCTTGAACCAAAAAGTATTAAACTGTACTTAAACACGAAATGTGGTTGGCTGGCTGGTTTGTGTATCATCTACCCCTCGGTCTCTCCTGCTGCTGTTATATTACTACTACTGTGTATTTAAATATTTATTCCACAAAATTTTCTTTGATGACTTTTGCATTTTATTACTCCAAAGTTGTCCTTTGCCATTACATGTAAATGTGAATCTATTTTCCCATAATATATGACCCACTGCACAATCGCACAAAGCTGTGCACTGTGGCGGACACGACAAACTGGAAAAGCTAATATATTCCCAGGCAGGGCATGCCATTCATATATTGTTTCATGTTTTTATGTTGGCCTACATGCATCAGGCTTTATCAAGGTAACTCACCTGATGTCAAATTTGAGGCTACCTGACGTCTAGATCTTTGGCCTCGAAACCGGTCAGTGCTGCCTAGGCGCTGCAGTTAGGGCCATAATGTTGGAGTTTTGCATACAACACAGTATCCTCGAAGGTGGTTTCTTTGTTTGAATTGGAGTCGGCGCTGTAGAATGTTTCATTCGGCGAAAGCGAAGGAGACGTGGACGCGACTTGGAGGCGCGGTCATCGAAATGAGAGTTATCAACAGTATGTTTCCTAGTCTAAGGAAGTTTTCGGGCAAGATTTGATCTTTCGCACAGAATAATTCTACTCCCTCGATCCTAGTACGTATACTCTGAGTGAGGAATCAACGCATATCGACAGAATCGAGAACATCTACATGCATGCATGGCGTTCCGAATTTTCAAAGGACTTGGACAGATTAATCGACCTTCGGCTGCTGATATCCGTAGACGAACGCACCGTGTTACGAACCGCATTGGTCTCAAACCTTGGACCCTACCTATCCTTCTAACCGTTATCAAATCCTTGTGGTTGAGGGAACAACAATTTTTAGAAGGAGGTGAATCTGAAAACATTCCTCCTTTCCCTTCTTTTGATTCAACTCGCTCTCTGATTGATTCTGCATTTATTTCTACATATCCGTTTGGCTGTTCGCCCATTTTATATTTTGACCGGCTTTGGTCTCTTACCTTGACCTGGTTAGGGCTAGCTACAAATTTGGGCTTGAACTTGAACGACAAGGCTTCAAATATTACGATCCCTACTCCACAAGCTGAGATGAATAACTCTGCCATAGGGCCCGTAGTTATGATACTTACACTTCTAAATCAATACATCGATGCAATAACCCACGGTATCCTCGACATATTATACTCATTCACCTCCGCAATCCCACTTCTCAACACCGTCATTTGGCCCATCAGTCTTCTACTACGTCTCAGGATCCATCTTGCACCGCAAAAATCATTTTTTGGGGGGATACTTGCTCCGTTGAAGCTGGGTGGGTGTGAAAATGTCACTAGTGCTGTTGTTGCTGGAGCTGGGGCTTGGTGGTTGTATGGGAATTGTAGGCCGTTTAGGAGGGTGGTGATAAATATTAAAAAGAGGGGAAGAAGGGTTTTGGGGGCTTTGAAGAGGTTTGATCTGGCGGGCATCGTGAAGGCGGTGATTATGGATCCAGATGCTGTGGCGAAGAATAGTAATGGGTTTAGACGCTAAAGAGTCTCAGGGGCTCAGGACGGTTTGGTGGGTTGAAGTTACGTTATTTTAGGGCGCAAGCACAGCCGGAGTGGGAGGGGTTTCTAATTAATCACGAGGGTTCGAATAAAGCGGATTGAGAGGTACGAGACAAATCAATTGGGGATTCGTGATTATTGGCATACTGAGATATATGCACACGACACTTGAGTTTCTTTGGTACTGTTTCACAAAAGAAAACGAGCTTCAGTGAAGCTTTACTATCTAGAATTATACTTTTTCTTTCTTGTTTGTGGAGTAAACGTAACACTGCAGCTTGGGTTTAAATGATTTGTTTGGAAGAGCTTGTTGGAGACAGTCTCCTTTTCTCTCTCTCGATATTGTCTCGGAATCAGTTCTTGATTATGCTGTTGTATTTGGTTCAGAATCTCAAAATTGTGTAGTAGTATGAATTTAGTCTCCCGGATTCTGTACCCCTTCCGTGTCTTTTTTTAGTGGAATGTAAATCTTGAGTTAGCCTATGTATGCAGACGAAATGCGCACTCTGTTTGTACAACCTTAAGTGGCTGCTGCGTGCACGCTCTGTGGAACCATCTTCGCGGCTTTCCGAAAAAAAACCAGCTGTTTTTCTCACATATGCATATATGCATGCGAGTTGCCTCGATACTGTATGCATATATTATAATACTTATGACATAGTTCGTCATGCAACACTCGGGTATATGCTGACGAACTGAAAATGAGGAAGCGTTTAGTTATATCAGAAAAGAGTACAGAGGTGACCGGGGCAAGGTCCTGATTCAGTGGAAATGGTTGGTGGTATGGGTATGACTTTCCGCTAATCTAGTTCGCAGCTTTGACAGCGGTGATCGTAATGTATGTGTGTCCCTTTCGGAACGGACTTCAGCAGGATTCGCTCATAGTAGATTGAAAATAGGATATTTGGGATTTGTGGGCAAGGGTAGTTCAACTGAGGTGCATATGCATAGGTTTATGATCGCTCAGGAACCGCGCGACATTCATTGAAGCGCAAGAGATGTCGAGACAAGGGTCGGGATTGAGGCGAAGCGATGGTGATATCTGACATCATAGAAATGTTACGACATTGTATGGGGATGTATATTTGAATGCCTTATGACGTCTTATCTTCCCCTTTTTTAAGCCAGTCGCAGAGATATATAGGAACCAGCCCTTTGGGAAAGATGAAATGGCTATAGTTGTATCAACGGGTATTTGCGCATGGGTCTATCTTGAATGCGAGCGAGATGAAGCTAGCTGGATAGTTGAAACCCCAGAATTTCTAGCCCGCGGTAGAGGCGACGTATTCCTTTGATTTTCCAGCGCCGATAGTATCATGTTACCCGACGGAGCCAAGTCCCGTGAGGTCCGGGGTATTTGGATAGAAAAACCCCATAAATACAGGCGAAGATTACTAATCATGAGCCCGGATCCACGAAGTTCCGAAGATGTTGAAGGAGCTTCCTTTGGCGAGCGCTAACTTGAACCAAGGCTGAATTAAAGAATGCTTTTGGTAGTAGTTTGAGAAGTTTGACTGGCTACTGCGTTAAAAAATCATGGTTGATATGGTTAATAGACGCAGGCGCGCTAGTACATGGGAAATGTGGGTAAGGAAGATAAGAGATTGATCCAGTGTTGGATATGTCATTCTTTTGATTTCTATTGACAAAATTATTAGCGTGTCATGGTTTTGTGAGTATTTTACTTCATTTCCAGATGAGCCCAGCGTTCTTGAGAACTTAAAGCTATGAACCAGACTGGATGGCTGTTCATAGTTATCTGGTATATCGACCGGGGTCGAGGCTTTGGATATTAGCACTACTTATCCTTCCCTCACAAATGAGCTCTGTGAGAAGCTTTCCGGTCCCTGGAGCATTGCAAATACCCCAGCAGCTATGGCCGGCAGCTACTGCCACATTTCTCATCCCAGGAACCCAGCCTACTGACGGGCCGGGTCCAATTTCGCTATATGGAAGGTAACAACTGGGTATGGTAAGTCAGCCCCAACAGGAAGAAGCAAGGTCATAAAAATCGAATCGGTATCCTTACGCTTGCATAGCTGTAATTTCACCATACTCTAATATTTCGCTTACTACGCTGATGTTCTTCATGATCTGTCTGCACCTTCCTTCATCTACCTTCACATCTCTGGCGAATTTGGGTAAAGGAGCGTGCTTGTCCACGTCACCACAGGCGTATATTTCGTCCGTACGAGGGTAAATCTCTGGAGTAGCCAAGCTGCCATTTTTGAGTTTTATATTCGTGAATAACGCGTGTGGAGATACTGGGGTCTGTGTAGATATGGTGATACTGTGGGCCCTTTGGGTCGAAACGGGTATGTTTGGAAGAAGCCTTGATGTCCAGGGTCCTGCTGCCACTACTACGACGTCTGCTTCTATAATTTTCGTTTCTCGGATACCGTCGAATTCCACTTCTACCCCTTTAACCTTCTTGTCGTCGTAGAGGACAACTTTGGAGGCATGGCCCATTATGACTTCTAGATTCTTGGACTCTTTGACTATTGCCTCGCAAAACCGTCGAGGGTGAACTTGGGCTGTCGATTGGGTAGTTCCCAAGTTCCCGACCTTGCTGATAACCCCTTCACGCAACCAATCCGGAACACCAGCTACATGGCGACTGGGTGCTTTTCCTTCCGTGCAGCTAATTTCCAGAGTAGTGAGTTCTCGGTAGCCCCATCGTTCACGTCCATTGAATTGTTCGGCCAAAGATGCATGAAGTTGATAACTAAGCCGTGCGAGAGAAGCAGTATCGTTTCCGTGCCAGTCGAGAGCGAGAAGGCCGCCAGCCTTGCCTGATGCGCCAGAGGCGATCGAAGAAGCCTCGATCAACGTAACGGACGGATTGGATTCATGATGAGACAAGTACTAGGAGTCATGACAAAGGAGTCAATGGCGACTGGATAATTTCTTATAGGAATGAGTATATCTCCAGGTTCTTGCCTACATAGGCTGTCGAGACACCAACGATCCCGCCTCCGATAATCACGACCTTTTGGGGCATTGAAGTGAGATTTGCTGGGTACTATCGCAACTGGCTTTGCAGGCCTCGCAGACCTTGCAGACTTTGGCGATTTATTTTCGGGGCGAAGCGATGGCGATGGCCTGCTAAAGTTGGCGATGAGTAAGAAAGGTGAAGAATCTGCGTTATGCGAACGGACGTCATAAACTCTGTTCTGGCGAAGAAATTCCAAAGTGGATCTCCAAGGAACCCACCGAAGCGCGCTGCCGGACATCAATCGGTAGGCAGCCAGGCTGGACCTGGGCGCGGGAAATTATATCACCGACAACAGCAAAATATGCGCATCCGCTCCCGACATTGTTTACGGCTGCCATTCCTCTTTTTCTCTTTGTCTGGAAGTATATAATATATCAGGACGGGGCGTCGACGATTGACTAGTCGGTGAAGACATCTCGGACAATCGGCTGGGTAGAACAACGGCCAGCTCCGTCCCGCAAAATTCTGGTGGCAGCCAACCAATCAACGCAGATTTGGGATGTGGCGGTTCCGGAATTCCAAATGCATTGCTTCTCGCCTTGAACAAACTACTCTAAACAACATCCGCCAACGTTCCAACAGTCAACAATAAGGTGAGGCCAGCATTGGGCCTGGAAAATCTAACAGTGATGAGGGTTTAACAGAAAGTTGTCATCTTTAGGTTTTCGATCAGAAAGTTGGACTGGATGGATGTCAAGGAATGTGGCCTTTGACGCTGGATTACATGTCCAGATTACATAACGGCGAGCCGAATCGGCCTCAATACCTCGGGCCGACCACATTGGTATCTGATAAAGCTGCACCTGCTCCATATATGTTGCTGGTGAAATCCGATTGCAAAGATCTTACGAATGTAAAATTCTCGTATTCGATGACTCCCTGCGCTCTCGCACATGCACATGAGCATAATGCTATGAAGTGAAATATAATATCCGACAAAATCGCGCGCATTATCGCGGCACAGTATTGTCGTGCAGAAGCACCTATATCTGCCATACGCCAAGGCTTATGTCCAAAAGCGAAGCTGGCGGGTCAACATGCCTGAATTATCACTGCTTGCAAAGGTTTTGTGCAGTGCCTTCAATGTTTGGAAACATTGTTTGCTTCTGAAAGACTTTTCTTTCTTACTGCTGCACAACGAGCTTGCGTGGATGTCAGCCGCCCATGCTACCACCCAAATACTACATGTAATACATCATTCCAGTTACACCTTAGTTGCAAAGTTGAGGCAGGGGCATGCCCAGACGTCAAGCCTTTGAGCCTAGTCTACCAAGCACTAACTAACAGCAATTCAACCAACATTCGAGAACCCAGTTTATCCTCTCGAATACGAATGGCTGCGGACTTGTGTTATAGACTCAACTTCCTTTTCCGTTCCGATCTTCTGAGAGAAGGATCTGTCATCATGGCACCAGCAATAACCCGGGTTGTGGTTGGATTACGCGAGGCGTTGTTTATAATTAGGAAACTCCAGTCTCTAACTACATCTTAGGAGATCTTTTTGGAGTAGATGCACATCTTGAGAATGCCTTGAGCCTTTGTGCTAGAAACTCTGTCGTTTCTAAATGTTTTAAATTTAGGTTCCGGTTTGCGAGGAAGGCTGGTTGGAGGTACCTTCCTCTGCTCCGTGATTCAGAACGATTTTCCTGTTGCCTTCGAAAGGGTTCTTTCCTCTCCGCTAAAGCCCCCTACATCTGTTCTAGATCATTTTCCCCCTTTCGACCTTTTTTCCCTTATTCAGGCTTTATCTTATGTGGAATTTCTTGTCCCGTGGAGCCTTTTCATGTTTTCATGAAAACGTCGAAAATATCCAGGGCTGAACTGAGGCCAATATCATTTATTGACATTGGCAGGATCTCTTGGCAGTTAGTAGCAACTCCTGCTAAGCCTACCAAAATACGGACCCAACACACGCGGCGGCAAGAAATGATGTTGGCGAAAAGCAGCAGCTTTGTTCGTGAGATCATTTTCTAGCATGGTAGGGTGACTAAGGGGGCAAGGGTTTTCAAATACCTTGTGCGGAACCCTTTGATATAGGCAAGGATTACGCATCTATAACGCCTCGAAGGTAGAAAGGTTTTTCCTTTTCTCCCACATAACCAGGACTAGAAATAGAGTGGTACATACAATGGGTGCTATGAAACTCGGCTGTTTCTTCTGTTAGTCAATGTACGTGCCAGATGACTTCGAGGAAGAGGCTGTGATTGTTTGCAATTTAGGGTAGACTAGACCAGATGAGACTTACGTACACCTGAACTACTGTACATGCTGCATGGTGGCCGTTGGATGTTGGATGTTACACATATGAATCGAGCTCCCTTACAACCCTAGCGAATTAGCCTTGATCCATTAAATGGGATTAAAGAATATGGATTGCCTTAAATATATTGTTCCCGCTTACTTTTTGTCTGATGGGTTAATTTCTTGTTTTTTGGGTCCGATTTAGTGTTTTTCCTTTCATTTCGACTTCCATTTTATGATCCATATCCCTTTTGTTTCAATCGGTACCGAGATATTCCCTATTGTCTTGAAGTTTCAAAACATCGATATCCGATAAATTTCTTAGATTCTCGAACTTGATTACAAGAGGAGGAGCTACTGGGCAGCTTGGTATCGACGTCGTGGCTGTTTTATCTTATTATTTTCTCAGAAGCCGGTCATGGTTTACTCGCGCCAATGCGTTTTTCAGATGTATGAGCGAATCTCTCCGGTCAATTTCGCCGATGCGAGCATTGTGTATATATACATATGCAATTAGATAATAACGTATGGCTAACAGGAACCATCTCTGTTCTAGATTTCGTTATGGCGTTATCCTTTCGCAGGTAGTTGGGATAGAAATTCTATTTGATCAAGATATACGTATGTTGCTTTCCCTATACAGCCTCTTCAGCGCGGGTGAATTACCAAAGATTTACTAATTTTTGAGCTTGATAGTATATCGTAAGTGATATCTTACAACAATTTAGCAATGTCATTCGTCGATATCGATTGAACGCCTCTGGGATCCTTAGAAAACTTAGCATTTAACAATCTTTTCTCTCTTTAGCGTTGTCTCTATTATGGATTCAAAATTTTATTACTCTCTTTACAACACTCCTCACCTATTTGACAATAAAATCGATACGTACAAATAATTCTTCTCGATCTACTTCGAATTCCGCCACAGCACTTTCGCAATGTGATAAAATATCAAGAGTTGTCACCAGTGTCCTGGAAGTTATCACGGAAATTTGCGTTGTTCAAGCCCTTTTCCAATCGCGCAGCATAACGTTGCCGATGCTTTTTTATGTAAGTTCCGAATTGCGAATCCGTCGATAAATAAAGCCTTGGACCATGAAAATGCTGGGATCTTGTCCACATTGATTCCAAAGCACCTTGCTGACCTAAATTTCCGAATATTCGAATAGTACCTCGCCGAGGCTTTCATTCATGTGCTTCAACTGGCCTATCTACGTTTTCGACCAACCTCAGTACGCGGTGCTGTATATATTTGTCTCACACTACTCCTTCTCACCAGCCCTTCCATTATCTTAATAATTTTGGCAGAAAGGAAGTTGAATCCTTTGGCATTGGTGTTTTTGCTGATTGGCGCCGCAACTCATATTGCAAAATCGTCGATAATTTTTTACCAAGGATATGCTCCTAAGAAGGCAGCTAAAACGAGAATCCTACAATGGCCTCTATGGATAACACTCGTCCTTTCATTGGTTACAACTTCGGTGTTTATTCTATGCGGTTTAGAGGGATTGATTCTGTCATCTCGAGGCGGGTTAGATAAGCTTAGAGCAGATTTACACCCCATCTTTTTGATTCCTAGCATCATCTTAGGCATTTTGAATGCCCTGGAATATTCTGAATCTAATCAGAAGAAGGGCAGCAATGCGGGAGATTTTAAATCTACGGACTCGCAAGCAGACTACGCAACCTCAAGAGGCGCAATGGATGCTGTCGCGATGTTCGTTTGCACATTCCTTCTTTTTTTGCAGACACCGACATGGGTCCAATTGATCTCCTATGGTAGTATCGCTATTGCGAGTACACTCGCCGTATTCAAACTTTGCAGTACTATCAATATCAAAGCCGATCTACCACAAGTGGAGATTACGGAGGACGACAATCACGAACTCGAAGATTATAGTGCGACGAGGAAGCTACTGGATAATGAGGAAATCAGCATTAGGAGGAAGAAATCGCGCCTGCAAGGGAGCTACTACAGCTTTACATTGAAGCTGTGGATTCTATTTGCCAGCCTACTCGGGACAAAGTTACTGTTGGAACGGCCTTCGCATAATACACAGATCGACCAAATAACCGCCAACATCCATTCCGATACGGCCCTTCCTAAAAACGCGAGTATGGACATTGTTGTCAGTTACTTTAAGGAAAATGTCAACGGTGTCGAAAAGTTACTTCAGGAACTTAGAGAAATCGAACAGCTTCGAGTCCTGGAACCTAATGTCATCATCTACACCAAGAACAATGAAAGCGATGTACAAGAATTACAAAGACGCTTTGCAGCTCACGAGGTCAGAATACTACCAAACGAAGGTAGAGAAGGAGGAACCTATCTGCGCCACATCATAGATCGATACGACACTCTCGCAACTCACACACTTTTCATCCAAGCCGAACCACATTCTAAGTCCCGGCTAATTAGTCGTATCAAGCTTTATTTCGACCCATCCCGGACTGGCATGCTAGACCTCGGTTATCGGGAGCTCAGGGGGTGTAAGTGTCTAGATTGTCGAGACGAATACAGTTGGAGGGATGTTACGGGGCTCGTTCCGGACCTTATGGCGCAAGCACATCATATCAAGTGTGATGAGAACACGCAAGTGGCCACATCATACAAAGGGCAATTCATAGTTTCTTCTAAGAGGATTCGGGCAGCCAAGAAAGCGCTCTATGAGAATCTCAACGAAAAGCTTGTTGGGGAGAATAGAGTGGTAATCGGTAACCCACTGGAAGATAGGATAGACGCACCCTTTTTTGGGTATAGTCTTGAGAGGAGTTGGGCCGTTCTTTTCCAATGCGCTGATTTAACAGCAATGAGGGATATGTGTCCCGGTCTCACCCTACTACCGAAGGGATTTGGAGATTTTCAGAAGGCACAGCCAGAAGATTGTGGATGTTTAGATATCTGAGTCATGTCTTTACTTGCATGCGTGTCCCTTTCGCAAGTTCGGCTGGGCGTGCAGATTGCAAATTGCTTTTAATTTATAAACAGAGATACCTTATATGCATATGCATCGGCTAGATTATGGGAACGGGGTTTCAGGAGTTTTTGTTTATTTTTATTTTACGGTTTTTTAGTCATTTCTTCTCCGTTTTGGGTTTTATTCTGTTAATTACTTGGTTATCGGGGCTTACGTATATACACCCGCTTATATAATTGGTTCCTGACTCGGGGTCCGATTTAAGTCTATTTAAACTTTTTGATTCACATATTCTTTAATTTTCGCACGGGACCGATGAGAGCCCCAGTCGTCTCCAGGCTTTGTAAGAATAGCTTAATCTCGATTGACTACTCATTAGGACCCACTTTTATGCCTCGGCCCATGTTTCTGGTCTTGGGTAAGTGCTTATGTCAACATCGAGATGACGAGGCTCCTCGGGTTTCCCCCATATTATGTACTGTACAAATTTCCGTACAGAGGAGTTCGAGGTTACATTGGTGGCTTGCCAAGGTGCTGTGATTTGAAGATGTCGTTGATATTCTCTGCGAGTATTTATTTATTTAATTGTTTACCTACCTATATACCTTTCCGCCTTCCTGGGTGGGAGAGTCTTGGATATCATGCGATGGATCATGATATTAGGGGCTATTTAGTTAGGTATCATGGTATGATCTGCGCACGTATATGGTACCGTACCTAGCTTCGCCGCTTTAATATATTTTGGTTTAGTTCTATCCGCCAGATTGCTAGAGACTGCACTTTTGGGATGACTTGGTGTACAGGAGATTTTTTTCTCGTATTAGCTTACGTAGACAGATGTCGGCTACCGCTCCACTTTGAAATTGACTAATGGATGACCCTTGTAGGCATGTGAGTGGGTCGAGGGCCTTGCATGATATGCTAAACAACGCAGATTTTGCAACAGTTTTGATAAGCTGGGTGACTATCAGTTACAATTATATTAGGGGAAGTTTTGTCACCTGAGAAGAGGTATCAGTGCTGCGAAGTTGATTGTATGCACGTTTATCTTCGCGCGATTCAAGTCCATGAGCGGGCGTCGATGCATCTGCAGCCGATTAATTGTAAGTCTTACACTATACTAGGCACTTATGTATTCATCCATGTGGGAACCGGCCCAAGCTATTGATAGTGTCTAGGTAATAGTAGACTTGGTTCCGTTTCCGGTTGCATCGATGTGAAAGCGATTTCTCAGCCTTCAAGCTTCATTCAGGCAGCAGCTGATTGTGCGGATAATTGAATAGCCTATTTTATTGTCACACAAGTGTTCTCAACACATGATCTTCCAAAATGTAACACACGACTTTTTTGTTGCACTAACTGAAGGATCATGGCCGGGGGTTGCTCAGCCTCAACAATTCCATTCTCCGTTCCGACATTTGGGATATGGAGTCTCCCTAACCTGATTTACATGGAGTGAATATCCTCACGACCGCATTGTCATCGCAAGGCTTCCCCGCTTCCCGACAAGCCCAAGATCTAGGCGTTTTGGGTGAATAGAAATTTGGAGTCACCGCCCTTTCAAAAGCAAGGGCCGGTCGCCGACTTGCCCGTATTACACGCATTGCATTTTAACTTCACATATTCGCCAAGATCCACACTTCAAAATCATGACTATCGAACCAACGATACGTGTTCTTACTGCTCTATCAATTTTCCCTCTCCAAGCCACCCGGTTCATCTTCAAACCTTCGTCGATACGGGAAAAGCAGTATCTTGCCCTCTTGGCTGTCCAAATTGCGATTGTGTACAACCTGAGGTCAGATGAGCCAGATCCGGCATTTCTATGCGGATTCCTAACAACTTTGATGACGTTGAGATTATTGCCGACGTTGATATGGGAGAACTCACCTGATACTACGGACCGTAGAGATACTGATCCGGATGGCTGGCATGTTATGGAGCAATCTAGTGTGAAGAAGTTCTTTTGGGGCTTTTCTTGGATTACAACTTTGAGAGGAATACCATGGAACTGGAGAGTAAGGAATATACCTCCGCAGCCCTCATATGCTTCTCGTTGGGAATACCTTCTTAAAAATGTTCCCGTGGTTTTCGTGTATGGTTGTGTTTTGGATGTTTTGTGGAAGATGAGGGCTTTATTCGAATTTACGAAATACCATGGGAGTCTCGAGGGATATGGAAGCTCTGCTAGTCGGGGAGTGGGGGAGATGGCTTTGAATAGTATATTTGCGATGGTGTCGATGTATGTGACTACAGTGTTCAATTATCAGATGATGGCAGTGGCCGCGGTTCTTATTGGGATCAGTAGGCCGGAGGTGAGTTTTTCATTTGAATCAATCGTTATGTAAAAAGTTTGGACTAACTAATCGTTAATTATTTGCTTATTTCGTAGGATTGGCCGCCGGTTTTAGGTCCAGTCCAAGAGGCTTATAGTCTGCGAAGGTTCTGGGCTAAGACATGGCACCAATTGTTCAGAAATGTAAGGCAATTTTGTCCATACTCTGGAAGATCCCATTCAATCTTTTCAGACCGAACAATTAATTAATTTAATAGATCTTCGAAAAATACGGGCTAGGTTTGGTTGATCTACTTGGCTTAGAGCCCCGGAGCGTAAAGGCGCATAATATAACACGTTTCCTCGCATTTTTCATTTCAGGGCTGATTCATGCAATACCAATCTCTGGTATGCCTTTTCCTCGAGGCCTTCCAAAGGATAAAAATACACCCTATCGAGGGAGTGACCAGATGGTATTTTTCGTTCTCCATGCGATTTTATGCTTTGTGGAAGAGCAGTTTTCGATATTTTACCGGACCTTGAGGGGGGACGGTCCGTCGAGAAACTTTGAGCGTGTTTTAGGGTATGTTTGGGTGGCTACTTGTTTGATTTTTACAACGAGATATCTGTTTGATGAGATGGAGTTGAGCGGGATTAATGATAAGAAAGAAGTGGTTCCCTGGAGTTCTGTGACGATTTTGGAGGCGCTGCTGGGGAGGAAGTTGTTCGGCGATGGTGAAGCGCTTGATAAGGAATGAGGTAGATGGTATGCATGCATACGTGCTATCTCTCTCGTCTTTCTCGAGCTTATTTGCTCGTTCCCGTTCGTTGATAACGTGGGACCGCGTTTTGTAGATAGGTAACATGGTTTTTTCTAGCTCAAACCATTCTAATTTCCACTCACATCTTGTATCCATATCGGCTCAATCCCACTTGCCATATACCATGAAGTCCTTGAATTTAAAGGTAACGGTAGGGTAAATAAAGGAGGCCACTTGTTATTCTTGCTCTTATTGTTCCTGCGACCATTCGAGGCCTCCTCAACTCGTAATTTCAGAGAAAGAATTTACCGACGACCTTTGACTTGCACAGAGAAAACGTGTCGTCCATCCTTCGAGAGATCATTGTCGATCCCTCACGCAACATGGAAGAGCCTGCGTAAAGGGCTCTTCCTATACGATGAAAATGTCAACACAGAAGAGAGTTCTTGTCCCTGCTAGTCAAGAGAATATACTACAATCTCATGTCGGAGTGATTCTTATCACCCTTTGCGGAGTAGCAGGGCTTCTGGGGACATTGGGGATTTGTATGTATGGCTATGTTAAATTTCGACGAGCAAAGATGGTTAAACTTGAGAAAAAGTTGGAACATGAAAGAATTAAAGATTCCATTGTTCATCTTCCTAAGATAACAACCGATGAGACTTCGAGAAGGAGTAAAAGTTCGGATGATACTCTACCTAAGAGACCGACTAGCCTTGGGAATGATTATGGAATGATTGGATTCGGGAATTGTCGAACTTCTTATTTGGAGTCTATCGCCGGAAGCTCGAAGGGCGTTTTACCAGGTGATGTCGTTTTACCAGAGAATGGAGCTTCAACAGCTAGGAATATCAGAGATACTTCTGCAGTTTTGACGCCACCGATGACGCCGGATAGATTCAGGCTTCCGACTATACAGCATTGGAACCTGCCAGAGGGCTGTCCAGGACTACCGGAGCCCTTGACGATTGGGAATACGACTCTGATGGAGGTACCTATTCCGCCCCCTTTGGCAATCAGGAAGGAGGAGAAAGAGTTGCCGAGCCCACCGACAACTAGGGGGAGAAAAGTGCAAAGATGGGAAGAGGCTGATCCACCTTTATTTGGAGCAGTTAAGAGGGCCTCTATGAGACGGAGAGCTAGGAGTAAAAGCGAGGGCATTGAAACATCAAGCCTAAGAAGGTTTGGAGAACTTGAAGCAAGAAGAGGGAATGCCCGAGCGAAGAAGGGAAAGTATAAGAGAGGTAGATCTACGGATAGTAGTAAAATCATCGAAGGATTCCCTTTTTCACAGAGTTTGAGTTATGAAACTGTGCAACCAGGGTCTGAGATGACAGTGGAGGTTGTTGAGCAAGATGCAATGAATTTGGGACATGAAGGGTACAGAGCTTCAATTATCGAGGCTTATGGGAGAGAAGAGACTGACGAGGGAAGCGAGTATGGTGATGAAGAGGGGTATCTGTGGAAGCCGCTACCGAAGCCGCCGATAGAGAGTGGGTGGCCAGTAGGGAGAGCTGAGATGCCGTGAGACTACTTGTGTATATCTGGTACATATCTGTTCATATCCATGTAGCCTTAAGCACCTGGGCTTGAGGCTAATGTAATATTCACATACCTCTCTGTATATAAAATGGGGTATCTAAGTAACTGGCAATAACGCTGATGCGAGCCTGTAGCAGAAATGCAGTATAACTATCGCAACGTATTATTCTAGCAGATATCAGACTTAATATTTATTTTGATTTCAGAGATTCATAAACAAAATGGGCCCTTTCAGGCATAGAGATTATGATTTCGAATACGTATTAAGCTATATATATATCTAAGACTAATTTTCATTCCCAACAATGTGAGCTGGCGACTCTGGGTCCATCTGGCCGAATCGATGTCGCCAAGGTCCGCGCTGGGGACCTGGCGAAAGAGACCGAAGGGAGCGCACCAAAGATGACAATACCTCACTCACGATTGCAATCATCTTCGTATCTCTTGATCTGAACAGGGCTTAGAAAAGTGCTAAGAGGTGGAAATGGGGGAGCAGGTGGAGGAGGAGGCATATATTTCCAACCAAGCTCCCAGTGATTTATCGTAGAGCCGAGTAGATGGGCTTGGGATGCATCAGATGCCTTTCTTCTACGCTGTGGGCGGGATACTAAGCGATTGGCTAGGGCAGGGGGAGGGGGTGAATATCTTTCGCATATTGCACCCCTTGGAAACGCTTGAGACAGTGGGGATGACCTAGGCAGTGGAACCAGAAGTGGTTGATTTATTATTCTCTCCCAACTATTGTTCCCGATGACAGCATGTCTAGAAAATGGTTGATTCTGGTGCTTCAGTAAGTTGACGCACGAGAGGCTGCCGTGATATCCATAGCTATTCCGGATTCCAACCCCGAAATCTTCAGAATCAGAGTCTTCAAGGGGTAGTCGTGTATTATTTGTAGGCAAAATACTCCTGTGAGATCTTGGAACTGCCGTAGACATCCGTGGGGTCTCCAATTCTTGGAGAATGAGATTGAAGACATCTTCAGGTAACAAACCTAACCCACTTTTACGAAGCACCTGTTCATATGCACCTGGCTGTTGTGGAATGATATCCCGCGTGGTTGGTAACTGATGTAGTGGAGTTTTTGTTAGCTTGTGAATTCAACGGTAGCGGCAAAGTAAGATAACACTTACATCAGCATTGGGGTCACAAAGGTGAAAAACAAGCAATTTCAAACTGCCCGGTTTTGTTCTGTCAACTAGATTGAAGGGCGCGATCCGGCTTTCGTAAATATTTGTATACACAATAGCGTCGTTTTCCTATTACGCCGATACAACCGTGCAAAATTAGCGCCAGAGTCCCGGAGATATTTGACAGTTATCGGATCCTTATATCCCAAGAGTGACTGGTATTACCTTGACTGAAATGGGTTCTATTTCTTGGATGGAATTCACGATTAATGAATGTTTTTTGCGTCGTAAGGCTAGGTGAGTTTCCGTTATGTTTTCTCGGGAATAGCAATATATTCCATTGGCAACAATTCGTTCGTTCTAAAGAGGAGGGTGTTAGTTTGCAATTAGTGAAATCTAAAACGATATTAATTATGTGATCGAGGGTACCATACGATCCAGCCAGCCAGACTCCACTTTCCGCCACCCCATTCAGGCCTCTCCGGTATCAGTTCGATATGAGCTATCCTTACAAATACTTTTACCCTCTTTCCTTTTAAAGTCATATCGGAGGAAAGGGTAGGAGGAGCCCACATTCTCTCGGGCGGCAAATCCCAAGGATTAGCCACTAGAACTTGATCCTCTTGCTTTTGGAGATCGTCTCCATCCCAGTTTATCTTTCCTTGCCATTTAACGATATCAAATGACATATTTTCGCCAGATCTAAACTGATGGAGTAGCTTTCTGTATGTCTCGAGGTACTCCAGTTTTGGTGTATATAATTTTGGTCGGTACCAACCATGGGGGGAAAATTTAAGATTCCAATCTGTGGAGTTATCACTCCTATCTTTGGTAAGATGTCTATAGACCTTGCATCTTGATTGGTGCCAAATTCCCTCTGCCATCTCAGCCAAACAATGATCGAAAAGTGGTATAAAATTTGTGAATATGGTCTGGAGGAGAGGATAGAACAACTCTTCCTCTTCTGGTTTCGATAAGTTATTGATGTATGAGACGATCTTGGTTCTTTTACCATCTTTTGAAATGTCAAGTTCTGAAGGCAACCAGCAGTATGCATGGTCGTAATCCTTTACTCGGTACCCGTCTGGAGGGGATATCTTTGTGAATTCACCATTTTTGAAAGTGAGTGTTTGGTTGTAAGCTATAGGATACATCGACGGCTCAAGTAGACAGCTTATCCCTGCCCACTGATGGGTTGGGGGTGATAGGGGTGGAAACGGAGGCCTTGGAGGTGGAGGGGATGTTTTGGCCCATGATGGCAGCCATGTTGGTGGAAATGGAACTTCGGCAATTGCGAGTTCCAGTGTCTTCGTGGCTATTTAATAAGAAATGGTTCAATACTCGAGTACTTTCATATAGTGTGGTTTAACCTTAGGTCGATATTCTACCCTAGGGCGTACTTACCGTCAATTAAGGCTTGTCTTAGATTTTCATCCATCAGCCCATGGCTTTTCCATACCCCATCGGTGGCAGGTTCGACAGAAACCCCCTCCTCTCGTATGGTCTCAATATAATTTTTATATTTTTTTAGTTCGCCAAACCAGTATGTTATATCTTCCCGATTCCAGACAGGCGATCGTAGACTATCTTCGATATTGGACTCCAATCTTTCGCGGAGCCATTCGGCGACAAAATTTCGATCTTCGAGCTTTTCGGTCCAATCGAGTAGCTCACGGAATGCAATTGATGCCTTTTGAATGGAGAGTTCTCGACTTTTAAGCCTTTCAAATTTGAAAGATTCTTCTAAAACGTGAGGATACCGGATTGTTGGAAACGCAAATTCAGGTTGGTGTGCTGGCAAGCCTGGACAGCATGGACTGGGCCCAAACATTTCGATATATCTACCTTTGAATATCGATCTAGTTTCTAGGTTGTGTTTACGGACGCTGCCACAGTTGCATTAGATAACTATGGAGGAACTAGGTTCGATGTTATAAACTAATTTAGCGTGTATTACAAAAAATGGGACGAGTTCTGCAATCGCGGGTCTAGTTAATATACTTGAATCGAATCTCCATGAGTCGTTGTTATCCCCAAAATATGATATCGAGCAATTTGCAAGCAAACAAATGCTCCGTCTTGGCAAGGGGTACTGGGTGCCAAAAGTGCTATTGAGTCTAACAAGTCATGATGCAGGCCCGAAAAAGTCGCCTTGGGAATGCCTTGGCTGTAGTGCCTAGTGATACATATTGACCACTAATATGTTGCATGTATTGAAGTTTGGTGGTATATACTTATAAGTATATACCTATATACATAAACCAGCGAATCATCAAAAGCAGGGAAGCTGGCGTGTGTCTTTACGTTTTCTACGCGATCTGCTGTGTCGCATGAAAATCGAGCCGGGTACCTAATATGAAGGGCCCAGCCGCTGATGTTAGTTCGACTCAATATGTATATACGGAGAAGTTAACGCCTAGTTAGTAGAACACCAAATTCGTTCTAGGCATAGAAACTATGTGTATATACATTGCAAGTGCAGTAAATCCATCATAAGGTATAATTAAAGCGTGGGTCAGATCAGCCAAGGTATCTAAGTAGATATCTGGACACGAATTTGACCCTCAACTTGACATTAAGGCATAAAGGATAAGCAAAAATCAAATAAAACCCAAGATTAATCGTCTTCTTTCCGTCTGAGACTTTGCACTCTCTCATGAGGACTCTTCCCTTCTTCCATCTTCCAGCTTACCATTACCCCTAAGACAGCAATCACAGTCAGGTAAGTCCACCAGACACAACCTACCATTCCTATTTCCATGCCCTTTGCACTGATCCACCCCCCAAGGGCAGGTCCGACCGCCCGAGCAAGTGAAGATAGCATGTTTCCGATTCCGTGTAATGTTCCAAGAAGTTTTGGAGATGGAGCTGCATTTGTGAGTAGGATCACAGAACTAGGAATAGCGAGGGTTCGGGCTATGACTTGGAGAAACAATACGAAGGCAATGGCTGTTCCTCGGGCTGTGGGCCCTTCGAGAAGAAGAACATATGGAGTAAGGATGTAACTCAGTGGAAACATTACAAAGGCGAATTGGAAAATCTTGAGAGTACCGAATTTCGCTTGGAGGGTCGGGTATATGAACATCTGTAGAAAAATTCCGGAGCAACCGAATGCAGATAGATAGAGGCCGACGGTTGAGGAGTCGTAGCCTAGTCCACCGGTGAAGAAAAGCCCATGTGCTTCATGGTTGGCGTTGTTCTTGTTAAATGGCGTGGACATGAAAATAGGAAATAGTTGCATAAAGGCAGCATTGTGGAATGGGAGAAATGTGAATCCAGCCAGCGTTACCGCAATGGCTTTCGTCTTGAGAGTGACCGGCGGGGAGATTACGCCCGGGGTAGCTGGCGCGGGTTGTCGCGACGAAGAAAATGAACTGAGCTCTGTCTTCGATTCTTCATCGTCGTTTAGTGTCTGATAGCCGTGAGCCCGTAGTCGTAGTATCAAGCGTGTAAACCGCCTCCCGAGTTCAAGCCCTAAATCTCTTTGTCCAATTTTCGAAGGAAGGGTCTCCTTTAGTCCTCCGATTGCGAGGATCAAAGCGAAGCTCAGAACCATAGCGTTGACCATCGTCGGTAAGGCAAAGGGGTATTTCTCCATCCATTTCACACCACCAAATAGCCAGGGGAGACTTTTTGTGGGCGTCGCAAGTAGGCCGCCCAAAGCCAAGCCGGCGATATTACCGCTGTTGAAGACCAATGGGAGTAACAAAAAAGCTCGTGACTGGTATTTCCTTTCTTTCACGATTTCGGCGGTCATGGTCCTCATAACTCCGATGTTTCCGTTAGCAACTCCAGCGATCAACCTCCAGAACATCACCCTAGGTATCGTGGTCCCAAACCCGAAGCCCAAGTTCGCGATAATTGAAGCAAGCAATGGGTAAACGATAACGACCTTTCGGCCATATCTATCTGCCAGGCGCGCCCAAATCATACTGGTTGCAAATTGGGCCAGTGCGAACGCTGCCACGAGCAAGCCCGCCCTTCGAGATATTGAGGAGTTGGAGGATTTATGTCCATCCTTGCCGTCACCAGTGTCAAGCGACCGTATTAGATAATACAGATATGGGAGAAGGCATGTATTACTGAGGGGCTCGGAAAGGCGGCATGCTGCGAGAATTAAAAGTTGCGATTTATGCGGCAAGGACGACCATGTAACAGGCGGCTCCTTTGGAGTTTGAGAGTCCGTCGCTTTAGTCGAAGAAGGTAGGTCGAGTGAATGACGCGCCATGATGGCGAACTAGTAGAAAGATTCTCGGTATAATTTTACACGAGTCCTGGAGGAAATGTTTTTGTTGAACGAGTGACTGTAAATATAATTTCGATATCCCTTTGTCCGATGCTCAACCGGTCATATTTGGCATACTCGAAGGAAAGACGGGTCGTTATCCGGAAGAATTCTATAATCGAACGAGGGTGTATACACGGTACAACTTCGAATGTCAAATCGAATGTCAAACGCCAATCCGCAACCACATCCAATTGCAATCAGTGGGTATCGATTTGCGGATTTTGTATAAGATTGGCCGAGGACGCTGGGGTAAAAAGAGCGACGTGGACCTGGACAAAGCCAGATAACAATGGATAACAAGCAGCTGAAGGGCTGGGTTCCTTTTAAGAACACAACCAGCAGACCGCCTGAAATTGATCTTGAGATTAAGATTAAGATGAACACAATTAATGCGGCTGACAGGGGCAAAATTCCCGACTAGCCCGATTCTTCAGCCTAGCGAAGTCCAAGGCGCCGCGCTGCATCGAATGTGAACACCCCACGTCGACTCGGGTCGACAACTCGCATCCAGCGAATAAAATCATCGGAACTGAATACTTAGGTACTTACTTAAGTACTTACTTACCTTAGTAGTAAAGAAGTGAGTACCAAGTATTGTAAAGGCCTACGAGAAGTTGATGTCATCAATATGGCGTTCCTTGGGACGTCCGCTGCGTTGGAGTGGGGTAATTTGGCCGGGCCATTCTACCACGCAGAAAGACCATCCCCAACCAAACTACCCCGCTTGAGAGTTGAAGCTAGGTTGAGGGTTCGACGTTTAATTAATTTGCGATTGCCGGAATTCGCGACAACGGGTATATCCATAGCAATTTGCTCTTAAATTTCGAGGTACGATCTTGACACTTGATATTATCCCGCGGTGTGATGTTAGAAGTGCTTTCGAATGCATCGATCACATCTAGCATTGCATTGCAGCCAACACGTACTGTATACGTGATCGATATTACGCTCAGAAGACGAACCGTAATTTTACGATATAACAGGCTCTTTCACCTTTTGGCGGGATGCATTCGAAATCTTGGGCGACCGCTAATTTTCGAATACGAGCCGACATAGAATATCAATATTGAATAACTACAATGTCGGACATCAAAAACGTTGTCGTTGTCGGTGTATGTCAATATACCAGGAATCCTGCCAACTTACATGAATACCTCAACCACAAATATAACACCAATTGACATGATATTTTTAGGGTACTGGCAACTTAGGGGCTCCCATAGTCCAGGCTCTCGCAGCCTCAGGGGCTTTCACCGTATCCATTCTAACTCGCAGCGGCTCGGCAAGTCGCGCGTTCCCAGATGGCTTTCGTATACTCGACACAGATTACTCTCCGTCTTCACTCGAAGAGGCTTTCAATGGCCAAGACGCTGTCGTCAGCGCCGTCGCAGGTGCCGCTCTGGGAGAACAAAAAAAATTGATTGATGCAGCCGTCGCGGCTGGGGTGAAACGGTTCATTCCAAGCGAATTTGGAAGCAATACCGATAACAAGGAAGCCCAAGAACTCGTTCCTATCTTCTCTCGAAAGGTTGAAATAAAAAATTACCTTGAGAGCCAAACTAGCAATGGGTTGACATGGACTGGGATTGTCACCGGTCCAGTTTTTGATAGGGTATATAGAGTAGCCTCCTGGCTGTATGAAACATTCCAGTGCTGATAGTTGGACAATCGCGTCCGCAGAGCTTAAAGCTAGGCGTTCTAGGTTTCGACATATCAGCCCGCCGTGCAACTATATACGACTCAGGAGACCGTCCATTCACCGCCTCAACTGTTGCCCAAGTCTCATCGGCCGTCATTGGAGTTCTACAAAACCCAGACAAAACTGAAAACAAATACGTATATGTTGGATCCTTCACAACCGCTCAAAACGAGATCTTAGCGACTCTGGAAGCGGTGACAGGCGATAGCTGGATCGTTGACAAAACAAGCAGCACTGAGAAAGTTGAAGCTGGCAAAGAGCAGGTGTTGAGAAGAAGGGACAGCACTGCTATCAGGCCTTTGATCACGGCGGCGATGTACCACGAACGAAGTGGAAGCGATTTTGAGACTGAGCTTGGACTTTCTAATGAGGTGCTAGGATTGAGCAAGGAGGATCTCGCGACAGTCATTAAGCAGGTTATTAGTGAGCTATAATGCTGTCTGGTTAAGAAAAACCGCGCATTTGGTCCATAATGGAATCTCATATCTTCCCCTAGTGCGAGTACTAGCTTGATTTCCAAATAATTCTTTCATCTCGAACCACCTAAGCACCTAACTAATTTCTAAGTAACTGTGTCCACAATTGAATTGCCTCATCCTCTGCATGACCTTCAAAAGACTATATCATTCCTGTTTTTCCAACAAAGCCGGCCGGTTTACAGATGCGTGCTCATATCCAAGATCAAGACCATGCACCTCGTATCTCACGCAGATATGGTCATGTGCTGCGGGCCACCTGAGATTACGTGATTGAATAGCAAAGCTTTGAACATAAATTCGAGGGTCTCCCGTCATGTTAATATCGAGGAAGTGTCTGAAGCTGGCCGAGTTTTGCTGTCGCTTGGTTAATCGTTCCCAGCGCGTTCTCGTGAGAGCTCACCCCTGCAGGTTGCGCCAAGATGGACCATTCGCCAACTTCGTGGGTGAAACAAGAAACTTCATTGGTCGCCGGTTCAACATCCATCGCGATGAACCTTATGTCTCTCAACCTCAGCCATGTCGGACTTTTGTCTTCACGGAAACCTTGAACTCGACCAAACCTCGCCTCTTCAACGGCCTTTGTATCAAAAAGGATAGCGGACTAAGCAATTTTCGTCCGATCTACGTTTGAGAATATTCTCGCGCGAATTTCGGTGACCGCAGCACATGTCAAAAACGAGTGGCTCTCAGAAAGCGATGGCCCCAAGCGTGGATGGAATAGAGCTGCAGCTAGAATACTGCTTCGACCGGGATCCTCTGCCTGTCTTTCTAGCATGCAATACTTTGAAGCGGAAGTCGCTGTTATCGATAACGTAGTATGCTCTCCGGCCTTCCCCCACTACTCTACCATACCCGCCATCTTGAGTAGCTTATCAGGCACGAGTCCCAACCTTGATCTCTTTCTCAATGCAGGGCCCAACAACCCCCATCCCGCTCTCAACTTTCATGCTGGGTTAGTGCACAGCAGAGTAAGCTCTGAGCTTCGGGTTGACATGTGGCCTAAATGATTGGTCGATACTAGTATATCGCCAATTACCTCTCCAAGCGCGACCTATTGTAGACAATTCAAGCTCTTATAAGGGTTCTTGACTACCCCTCGTTCGAAAGGAAAGGGACCCACATGGGTGTTCATATGATAGATATAGCAGATTTCCCCACGGGTTATATTCGGTGCAGTCGCCTGTCTTGAAGCCGCCACGCAAGTTGCTTGAAGCCCTTCTCTAATATAGCCATTGCGCCTTTGGAGGACTATATATATCGACTTCCTCCAGAGGGTCACCACCCACACGTCGCTCATACTTTTTTCTCTTCCGTCAGGTCCTTTCCCCCTCCTTTCCCTCCTATCCGTCAACCGGATACCTTTTCAAGATGGAATTTCAACTTCTATCAAATGTTTTTCAAGACCAATTTCTCCGTGTGTCGCTTGCTGGGACAGCTGTTCTCGCGGTTGTGCTGTTTGTCGTCTACCGGGCCATGCACACCAAAAAAGCAGAGACAGGGATTCTCGCCAACATCAAGAATTTAATTTTGTTCGTTTACTCATGTTTCCTAAAACCGCACTCCGGCGACGGAACCGGAAACCAGCAAGATGCCCTTGAAAGCTTCTACAGCTCCCAGGCTAGTGTTTATGATGCGACTCGCACTAAGCTACTTTCTGGACGAGAGGATATGTTGGGACTTGTGGCAGCGCAACTCAAGTATAAGATTGAAACTCGCAAGATCAGGCGCAAGCCTGTTTGGGTTGATGTAAGTTGAAATTGCAAATATTAATTATATACCTTCCACACTTTCCTTCGGGGTGTCACAAAGTATATTGTTCTTTCTCCAAACCTCTTTTCTAACATGCGGTCGCCTTTCTTTGTTCTTTGTAGGTCGGTGGGGGAACCGGTTACAACATCGAGAAGATGGCTGAATTTGTGGATGTACCCAATTTTTTCGAAACTGTCTATCTTGTCGATCTCTCCCCATCTCTTTGCAAAGTAGCCGTTGCGCGCTTTGAACGATTAGGCTGGAAAAACATCAAGGTGCTTTGCCAGGATGCTAGGTTTTTCCGTCTAGAAACATTCGAAGGGCGAAACGATATCGCATTGTCAACCATGACCACCAACAGCAGTGCATCGTCGTCTCGCCCAACTTCACCAAACGCTGAGACTGAACGTTACAGCGCTGACTTGATCACACTCTCTTATTCACTCTCTATGATCCCCGACTTTCACTGCGCCATCGACAACATGTCTGAAGTCCTATCCACTCACGGCCTCATCGGTGTCGCCGATTTTTATGTGCAAAACCAAAGTGACTTCATCTCGCGCAATTACCTTGGGGGCTCTCTCGATCGTCATTGCATGTGGATCTCTCGAGTGTTCTGGAGAACATGGTTTGAGATGGATCGTGTCAACTTGGATGCTGCTAGGCGCGATTACCTCGAATACCGTTTTGGCACTGTCCATAATACCAACTCGCGGTGCAAACTTCTCGGTTTCAGAATCCCATACTACATCTGGGTCGGATGCAGGAAGAACTCTGGGTACTTTGAAGCCAAGCAGGCCACTGCTTCAACTGTCCTTTCCCCCACCACTAGCTCCCCCTTCATCAAGGCTTTGGATCTACACAACCGCGCTGTTGCAAACCTCAATTCTATCAACTTCAATGATGTTGAGTCTAAAGCTTACGAATGTGCTGTCATCAATATGTCTGCCAGTCTTCCTCTTCCGCCTTCATGGTACCAAAATCACAGATGGAGGGTCTACTATGATGATCAACTACAAAAGCATCGTCAATTTGGCGATGAATACATCTACGCCTTCACATGGGAGGATGTCAATGAAGACCTTAGAATCCTCAACATTAACTCCGAGGACGAAATCTTGGCTATCACTAGTGCTGGTGACAATATCTTGGGCTACGTTTTGGAAAATCCTAAGCGGATTCATGCGGTTGATCTTAAGTAAGTCAAACTTGTTTCTGTTGTTGCTTATCGATCGAAATTGCTGAGTAGGTTGAATTAATAATTTCTTTTTATCAGCCCCAATCAAAACCACCTTCTCGAACTCAAGCTTGCAGCTTTCTCTGCTCTTCCATACCGTGACGTTTGGAGATTATTTGGAAAAGGCAAACATCATAACTTCAGGGAACTCTTGATTACCAAACTCGCACCCCATCTTTCTTCACTTGCCTTCCAATATTGGATGCATCACGGCCCTGCTGCTTTTGACGAGAAAAACGGCGGGCTTTATCATACCGGCGGCTCTCGGCACGCTTTGATCCTTCTCGCCCGTATCTGCCAGGTTCTTGGGCTTTCCGGTGAACTTGAAAAACTTGCCTCCGCCACCACCCTTGAAGAACAAGTCAAGCTTTGGAAACGCGGTCTGAGAAGGATCTTGCTGAACAGAGTTCTTAACTACACCATTATCAGCTCTGAAAAGTGGCTATGGAAGGCCTTGGGTGTTCCACAAAACCAACGTGCTATCATCGATCAAGATTTCTTGGCCCGTCAACAAGGACCAAACCCTGTCGCATCGTCGCTTGATTCCGGTGTTCGACAGTATTTGATTGAAACTTTTGATCCTGTCATTGAGACAACCCTTCTTTCAACTGAAAACCCCTACTACCTCCTTTGCCTTCTATCTCGCTATACACGCACATGTCACCCGCTCTACCTCACACCAAAAGCACACATTCACTATGCCCAGGCTGGTGCATTTGATAATTTAAGAATACACACCGATGAAATTTCTGAGGTCCTCAATAGAATGGCTGATGAGAGCTTGACTATTGCTGTCGTTATGGACAGCATGGACTGGTTCGATCCCCATGCCAATGGTGCTCGGGAACAGATCCAAACTTTCCATCGTGTTCTCAAAGTTGGTGGAAGAGTTATGATCCGAAGCGCCGGCATTGAGCCTTGGTATGCGCAGATCTTTGAGAGCGAAGGATTCAAAGCGACAAGGATTGGGTCTAGAGATAAGACACCTTGCATCGATCGGTAAGTTCGCTAATCTGAGTCGATATAATTACAAGCAGGGCAAAGGTTAATCGTTGTGTTCTCTAGGGTGAATATGTATGCATCAACTTGGATATTTACCAAGCAAGAAACTAAGTCCTGACAGATACGGGACACATCGTACGAGATGTTTTATCATAAAATATTTCCCTTCGAGCTTGAGCCGAGGGTAGCCCCTAACCAAAGAAAGAACTCGTTGAAACATAGACGCTGAGCATATCTGGAAGCCCGCTTTCCATTCATTTGCCCACATACATTCACGTTCATCGTTTTTCTATCTCCAATAAAACCTATGATCTGTTTTGCCCGATTAAATAGTTAGAAGATGGAAAGATTTGTGAGGGATTCTCTTTTGTCACATCAAAGTCTTTGCGTTTAAGCTGGATACCACTTTAGAAAGTTATGATTCGTGTATCTAGGCTATATTGTACAAAATCCATTCCCTTCTATTTTGGAGTTTCACAACTGGCTTACATTGACTACATCACTTGTTTAAACCCGTTATCCTACCTCGCGAGACTATGCATTATGGCTAGCATAATAAATTCTGATATCGATACATCTAGATCTAACCTGATATACAGGTGTATATCCTTAACTATTGTCCACAAGCGTTGAGTTCGACTACGTATACTCGAAATCTAAGACTCTGATCCTGAGTAAATCTGAATTAGTTGAATAGAGCAAGTGCCGGTTCATTACCTAGAAGATAATCTTGGGGGTATTGTTTATTGCCGTTGAAATGGGGTATCTCCAATGCTATAGCGCTAGATCTAAAAAAATAAATAAATATTATGATTGCAATAGATGAAGATGATGAAGAAGGTATAAAAATAGTCTGTTCGAGATTGTGATGGATGGTAAAATTTTAAGCTTGTTGCCAAACGCCAACCCAATCAACTTGCATTCCGACGCTGTCGCCATCGATAGTCGTGGAGAATGGCGTGAGAGCATTGCCCGGCTCGACGCCATTAGGGAAACCACCACCGACTGCAACATTGAGTAGAATAAACATCTTCTTGTGGGTAAGAAATTCCCTGTGGATTCATGGGTATGCTTAGCCGATGTGTTCACGCAACAGCTCCAAAGGCAATGTATCTTTGGGTCGAAATTTAGGACTCACCATGCAGTAGAATTGTTAATTTGAGAGCCGGTAATAGAATGGCGACGGACACCGTTGATGATCCAGGTGACCTTCTCAGTCTTCCAATTCTTTGTGGTTCTGTCGATCTCGATTCCATAGGTGTGCCAGAGACCACGACCTATTCCTTTCACGGATCCACCTCTTCCGTCGGGTTCGTTACATGGCCCTCTGATGGGGATTTGACCGTCGTAGACACCGCAGTGAAGAAGACCCCAGGCCTCGCGCTTGCCATTGACTGATTCCATGATATCTAGTTCGCCTATTATAAACTTGAGCAGCCATTCTTATGGGACAGTAAAAGTAATTTGAGATGTCATCGATCACATACCGACTTCTGGCCATCCTTTATATCCTTGGGCACGGAAAACATCTCCAAGCATCCAAAATGCAGGCCTAGTAGTTTTTCATTTAGTTAATCGTGATTATTAATTTTTCATCGGACAGATAGAGCATCTTGCGCTCGCTCGTTTCCGGAATTCCTGAGATCATTTCCCTTACCATATTCCCTTTTGCTGGGCCTCTCCGGCGCTACCAAGCTTGATCGATGCCTCTACAAGCATCTTCTTGCCATTTGCGCAAGCCCATTGACTGCCTCTTTTACTTTCAAGGCGGCCGGATGTCCAAGTGATCTTTCCCTTCGCATCTTTCCCTTTCTTTGGAGTGATATAAAGGACCTTGTTGACAATTCTGATGTTTTCAGTCTTGTTTGTGTACGTTTGGATTTCACCAGTGCCCCACTGAGCGACTTGGCCAGGATAAGAAGTTCCCAGATTGAAATTCCAGTTGTGTGTGATGCCGTTTTTATGACCCCAATCATCGTACCAGACCCTATTGAACCCTGGCTTGGCGGCTGGCTCCGCACGTCTTTCAATCGGCGTTGAGATTACGAGAGTTGTAAATACCGAAGAGAGAAATGGGAGGAGCGAGATGTAAGAAGAAATAGCTCCAGTCATTTTGTATGATTATATATTACTTGTTAAGTGCGAAAGTCTCCGATTCTGAATGATTATTGTTGTATTTTGCTTAAAGTATTAATGTAATGCGGGAAGAGCAAAAGGCCTCCGCGCGACTATTGGAAGTGAATCGAGCGAACTGCTAGGAACGAGTGACAGAGCTAGATGAGCCCGAATATGAAGCGTAGATACTCAAATTCAAAGAAAAGGCTAGGAAGAGCCGTCATATCAACGTCGGGAGGGGCGCTCTATTTATCCGAGCGTGAATATCATCCTCCTTCTCCTCTCAATTGTTAGAGCCCCATTGAAGGATGCTCTTTGGGCGCCATGTCAATACTCCGGAACCCAGCGTGGTGGCGTGGTCTTGGAGAAGGTGCGCCCGCCCAAATTCGCTAGTGGACCATCTCCCGCCCCCCTGGTCTTGATTCAGGATTACGAGGCCGCATGGCGAGACCCTGCAGACTTGAATGTGGGGCATTTGCCTGGAGTTGACCGGATTGCCGTCCTTTTCTGGGTTAGTTTTCTTTGGGCGGGCAAACGGTGAAGGTAACAAGGTCGGCAAAACCGGCATCGATAACAACGTGGTTACTAGGTTTGATAGGGGTAATCTATCGATAGTAATCACAATTTCTCTACTCAGTTGCAGTCGTGTTTTTTCTCAATTTGCCCGCTTTGAAAAGGCTGCAGTCTACCCAAATGGGGGTCCACAGATTTTTCGACGTTGCATTCTGAGGTCCCCGTGTTGCAGTCGAGACGATGAAAAGGATGGAGCGGATGGGTCCTAGGGGCGCATGGGAGCTCAGTTTATGGGAATTTTGTGAATACTGATCAATCCGATGCATATTTACGGGATATATTGACCTTCAAAGAAGAACCATCACGTTATTGCAATCTGTTTTCGTTGACGCGGATACCACCCAAGAAAGTCTTGGAAGTCACTCGATCCCTGTTGGTGCGTTTCCCAGAAATTGATACGAAGTCCCGGTTCCTGAATTAAAACCGTTGGCATGGGATAATGTTCGTGGTAAATTTGCGCTTTGGGTTTTTGTATGTTTGAGCCAATACAACCCTGCAAGACGACGGCGAGGAGGCTCTGGAAGTTTTTTCCTCGGGATAATTACCTACCTATACGACCCAAGTATCCTCGTACGAGGACATGCCAGCATCCCTCCGGGTGGGAAGTTCACAAAGAGGCGTTTGTCAACAAGCTCGAACTTTCTATTGAGCCAGAAGAATTAGAAGAGCCATCTGCGTCATTGTCGCGATTCGGGGCTTGCATAGGCTGGTGAATAAATTGATCTGGCACGAAGATAGTTAGTCAGATATTTATAGTTTTGACATCAAATTAAAGCTGTAGCTGGAGAGTACGTGTTCTATATAAAGGGGAGATTATATGTGGGGAGGAATTTAAGTTTATAAGATGCCCGGCTCCCGGCTCACGTTTTTAGTTGACCGATTTTGGACCGAGGTTTCGGAAAATTGAGGCCAAATAGCTCCTCCTACCGATAAACTCGCAATCGGAATGGGGAGAACGAGATTGGTGCTCGAGATGGCTTAATATGATATGAAGCATAAAAATTTTGCCATAGGTACTTAAGTTGGTAATCAAGATACCTCGTGGTATCCGTTTCATGCATCGGCAATCTGAGTCAGGCCTCGCCTAATCCGTCAAGGAATAAAGGTATGTACTGTACTTACATAAGTACTTACGTTGAACTGACGGCAGCCGTTATAATCAAATTCCTCAATTGAGGCTTAAGGAATTATGGTAAAGTTCGCTCCTAAACTCGAGGCTGGTGGCATCGATTTCTTTGGATGAAAAGGTTTCTGCTGCAGCGCTGCAGCCCCAGCTAGACTAAAAGAAATCGGGCATAGAATCAACCGGCTCATCAAACCGGCCTGGTGGAGGCCTCTCCTGTATACGAGTTCGAATTTCAATGCAGACAGTACTTCGGTGTAGTATTATAGCATTATTTATAGCAATATCGACAACGAGAATAGCAGCGCTGTATGTGAGAACATGATTCTTCTTCTTCCCAAAGCCGTGTTGGGGGCCCTAGGCCTAGGGCCCGACATCGACTTCTCCAGTTCAACCTCACCTCGCACCATCTCCATCTCTCATATGTCAAGAACCCTCCTCAAGCATATTCGGCATCCACTAGTACGGTGGCAAAATAGAAATCTTGGTGAGTTTAACCTATGCATTAAAACAGCTTCCAATACTTGTTCATGACGTTCAACCTGTCGGCTCGTGGAGGCTACTCGAACTCCGGTTTCTGAGCGGTTGCTAACAATTAGGTGCGTAAAATGCCGTGAAGAATCAAATCGCGAAGCATCGCTAAGAATATATCCTAACCTCCACTGTTTCAACATTCCGCAATGTTATTTGGCTTCTTAATCTTCCTCGTCCTCGTTTTGGGGCAAGAAGTTGCTGAACTCGCGCCGAAAAATCACAAGCGAGGTATAGTCTTCTTGTTCAACAGTACTTATCCTACCGATTATCAGCAGTTTACGGGATCCGGTAATACCATCACCTGGTATTACAACTACGGGCAATCACCTAGCTCTCAGCTTGCATCTTCGCAATGGGAATTCGTTCCGATGGTCTGGGGGAAAGACCAGGCTAAGTCGATCCAAGGAAACATTAATAAAATAAAATCAGCGGGCGGAAGAGTTAGGTACTTGTCTTTTGGATACATCTACCCTCTTGGAAATTAAAAAAAACGAACTGAACTGACTTGTGAATAATCCTAGTCACATTCTCGGATTTAATGAGCCTGACATCCCCCGTAAATGGGGTGGATCAGACATGTCACCTATCGATGCAGCAACACTTTGGAAGCAATACATTCAGCCTTTTTCTTCTCAAGGGATTAAACTGTGCACCCCTGGTGTATCTTCTAGTCCAGATGGATTTACTTGGATGTCTAAGTAAGCCCGTGGCCTGCATCCTGGGAGATTCAAAGTCACCTCTAGCTCTGTTGTGTTGGGTTTGTGGTATTTTACTAACCTCCTAATCTGGGCACGTTGTAGCTTCTTCTCTGCCTGTTCCGGCTGTACCTTCGACCTCCTCTGCCTCCACCACTACGGGAGACCAGCCTCAAGCCTCAAGGCCCACTTAGAAAAATATCACAGGATATATCCATCCTTGCCAATTTGGCTTACTGAGTTCGCTGACTCTAAAGATACTGCCGACAATACCAGACAGTATATTAGCCAAGTTCTTCCACAACTCGACTCTACACCTTACATCGAACGATACTCGTACTTTGGAGCTTCCAGGGAGTTGGTTAGTAATGTCGGACCGAATGCTGCTCTTCTGGATAACGACGGTAAATTGAAGCCGATCGGAAGGGCGTATTTCTTTGCAGAAAACCTTCAGGCCTGACGCAAAATATTTGCTTGTTTCGCCTTTTTTCTGACGCCTAGAAAACCCGGTATATGGATGCCTCGACAGTGTATTTAATTGCTGTAAGGAAATACATATCGTTAATTTCTAGAAGTTCCTCTAGCCCTGCCTCTCGGCAATTGCAAATTCTTGTCAGCTTTAAGGGATTGGCTACCAGGCCCAAGCCTTTTGCCGTTCAATGCTACAACCCTGTTCCATGTCGTAGATGTGTCTATCTGGGCCTACATCCGACAATGATTGGATATCAAATAATTTGTCCCCCCTTCGGTACCGGGTAGTGTGAGTGCCAAGATCCGATGTGCTGGATTTTGAGAAGATTTATAAGCCAGACGCAAGCTCTCGATGATTTAGCCTGGGATATAAAAGTATCCGACATGTAACCGATGAGAGCGGGGTGTTAGTTAGTATGAGTGGCTTCATGGGGTTTGTATAGGCGTATGACGCGTTCACCGCTTCGAGTGCTGATTATAAAAAGGATGGAGCTGGGCTGTATTAAAGCTAGAGAATCGAGTGTAAGACCCGTGCATTAGTGATTGTCACCTATCTAAGATCTTCACACTTATTACTTTCCCAGAAGCCAATAGAGCTGCAAGCTTCTTCTCAATATCTGCACATATTTGGAGGGCATACGCTCATCCATTATCTTTAGCAACAACCATTTCTCCGACCGAAATTACTTCTATACAAGTCCAAATCTTCAGTGTTGTATAAAAGACAAAAAAAATGGCGGCTACTCAACCCGAGAAGAAGATCAGTCTTCCCTCTAAAATCTTTGATGAGATGGCAAAGAAGTATGAGAATGGACTTGGCGGTGCGCAGAATGATATTGTTAGAGCCTTGCTGTCACATTCAAAGGAGAACCACCCCATCGATTCTAATTCAGTCATTCACGATAATGCCTGTGGACCGGCCGTGGCTACTAGCGAAATACTAAACCAGAGCATAGCTCCGCCACCAAAAATCTTTGCGACAGATTACGCCCAGGGGATGATCGATATCACAAACTCCTACAAGGAGCGAAGGGGATGGGATACTGTTACCGTCCAACAGATGGATGGGCAAGCGCTATCCTTTGAGGATGCGAAGTTTACGCACTCTATCAGTTCTCTCGGTGTTTTTATGTTTCCGGACGAAAAGAAGGGACTCTCGGAGATGTATAGAACTTTGAAGCCCGGTGGGTGGATAGGAGTCACATCCTGGAAGGATGTTCGGTGGCCCACGGCTGCTATTGCGGCCTATGAGAAACTTTTCCCGGCTGCCGAGGAGCCCTTGATTTTGCCCATCCTAAAGAACTGGATGGACCCGGAAAGTTGCGAGAGGAACCTTCGCCAGGCAGGATTTCATGATGTTAAAGCGGAAGTTGTGCCTTGTGTGAATCGACAACTAAGCAAAGAGATTGGTGCAAGCGCTTTTGTTGAGTTTCTCAGACATGTTAGTCCAACAATTACATCTTGGGATGAGAGCACCCAAGAAAGATTTCTAGCTTACTATAGCAACTTAGTGGAGGATATGTTCTCGCCTGCGATCAACGGAAACGGCGTAGAACTTACGCTTTATGCTATCGTGGCATCAGGCAGAAAGTAGGATAGGGAATAAATTGGTATACTAGCTCGCTAAAGTACATGTATGTATTTATAAACCCGAAATGGAAACTCCACGATATAATCGATCCACGCTTTAGTATATGTACAGAATTCATTAAAAGATATATGTATAGTCCATACAAGGCGGCCGGCCTGATAGAAATTGATAAAGGTACAAAGCTCGTTTCGTTGGCCAAGGGGCCGCTTCAAACGTGGCAGCTAGCGGAATGACCAACTTCTGCCCCATGACTAGCAACTGGTATCGTTTCTTCAGAGTTAGTATTCCGCGAGGTTAGTCGAATGGCTTTACTGTTGCTTCGCTTAGGTGAGTCGAATTCGGTTCTTATTGAAAATTCTACCTCGATACCGTTTGCATTTGAAGATGGGGCAGGGCCTGTCCCCCCATTAGCTCTGCTACGACTCCTATCGCTATTTGTTGAAGTGGCTCTCGAGTATGTCAGCTTGGAAGCAAGGATATCAACGATCATGACCATTGGAAATAGACACTCCAAAGTATAAACGAAGCGGTCTAGTTGGCTCGCGGTATTGGTGGCAGACTGGGCGGTGGCCTGGAATGAATATGTTATAGCCCGAGTAATACCGATCGGACACAATGTCGCAAGTCGGATCTCGGCGCTCCTCGATAGCAACTCGAATAATCCTTTGGCTGTCCATGATTGAATGGCGACACTAGCGCGCTTGGCTTTGGCGAATGTCCGGAGGAGGAAAAAGGCGCTGATGGTTTCTACCACGGCAATCATAACGAAATACGCCATGTGAAGTTGGTTTATCCTTCTTTGGAGAGAATTTTCTGGATTTTGGATTTCTTCGATTCTTGATATCAGGATACCGAGCCGACAGCCAAATATGACAGCTATACATGTCCAAAACAATAGCATGAAAACGGTTTTTTGACGCCTTTGGAGGACTTTAGCCAGAATTTGGTAAGAGTACATCGACAGGCCTGCTTCTTGGATGAACCAAAATATATCTGCAAATCCTGCTGCTACCGCTCTCGATTGTACCGGATATGAAGCATAGAAAGCGTAGTAGCACAGACCATTTGCTACAGCGCATGCTCCAGACACTACGATTGGTATCATGGTAATAGTCGTAAGATGAACGATTCCGGCAACCATCCACGCGATCAAGAATGTAACAAGGCCTATTGTGCTCAGAATGGACCAGCTGAGCTCGAAATATACCGGTAACGACATGTTTACCTGCCGAATAGAGTGGCAAAAGCCACTGGGTCGTAGCGTTAGCCGGCGATTGAGGGACGGATTGGCTCTAACGTTGTGCAAAGTTGTCGTCTGCTTTGGCCTGCCAGAAACGCCGAGAATATTTTTTTGAAAGGAACCACCGCTGGGCTTCCTTCTCTCCCTCTCGAGTATATATATCTTCGCATGTGGAATGGGTGCTTGGACATTCAGCCTACGTCCCCTCTAACCGAACTGATCCTGACTTGCAACGTGTGATGGCGGATAAAGCGCATGGCTTGAAAGCACGGGTTGAGAAAAGAAAGTTCATACCTCAGAAACAGCAGGAAATCTACTGTAGGACTCTGTACCCCGGCTCGGTGGCTAAAGTTCTGGAACTCGAATGAGAGTTCTAGGTCGACTATTTCACACTTATGCTTTTTAACAAAAGTTTACCCCAAGGCCAACTATTACGTATCGGTAAATGTACATGTACCAGTGCCAGCACTGATCATGTCTGGCATCTGGTTTTCTTTGCAATATGTTTAAGTTTCTTCCCCGAAACTTTGAGACCGGATTCGTTCTAGCGAAACGGAAAAGAGACCCGTGCAAGTAATTTTCGATGTACAGCTGAGGTTTGCTATCGCTATAAATGTCCCAAAACCCATCAATGTTTGCCATGCCCGGCTTGTGATATGTCCTTGAGCAGGGATTATGGCGGTCGGGTACGCCAGAATTACTAAAGAAAACGGACCGTTCGAGCTAGATCGCGGTCAAAGCTGCACCCTGTGGCGGCCGCCTTTACAAATCTGCAACATTTTCAACACACCTTTTGGCCAGGCATCGAACAGTTTAGGCTGTCCCTGTCTTGTGTTGTGACCCTGGCCCGGCTTTTCGGATCTACAAATGCATGGTTGTCCAGCCCGTTTAACACGTTGCTGAATCAAACTTTCACATGGCTCTAGTGTGACACGGGCCTGTGTTTCGAATTGATATTTTGATGTTAACTCCAGGTCAAGTATTTCGGCTGGTTATGATCTCACGTGGCTTAGTTTTAGCGCACGAGCCCAAGCGACGGAAAGCGGCACAGGAGGATTCGTATATTAATTTGATTTATAAACTTAGGGCATGCTGCCACGGGTCATTGCATTTTTTTAACGATCTCGTAGTCTTGCACTGGGGGGTACGTAAAGTGTGGATTACACTTAAAAAAAGTGTAAATACACTCAAAAGGTGTGAATACCCTTTTCTACACTTTTTCAGATTTAATAAAAAGCGAATACACTTTTCAGACGAAATTATAAAATATATAAATTGAGATTGATACACAGTTAATCAACGTCGATTTGTGTAACTGTTATCAAAACAACTATACTGATTTCAATATCAACAATACAAAATTAATAGTTTCAGATTTGATCGATTTGACAAAAGTTATCATTTGTATATATTTTACTAGTTTGTTTGTAAGACTGTTGTATTGATACCTTCTACTAATATAATAGACTCGCGCCCGGGTCAGCCGCTATTAAAAAAAATATATATATATATTTCATAATTCAAATTATACACTTTTTGAACACTTTTTTTACACTTTTAATACACCTTTTATACACCTTTTAAACACTATTTTTACGCTTTTGATATTTAACCATGGTTACACCTTTTTTACACCTTTTCAAAAAAGTGTATGAATACCCCCCAGTGTCTTGACGCGTCGACGACGCCCACAAAGAAACGCAAGTTATACTAACATCATAACGTCAACTACGCGAGCTACACTTTGTGTTTGAAATAAATATTAAATTGGATTGGGATTGCGTCGAAGGTGCCTTATTTCCGAAGGGAGACACCCTTGATTCCCCTTAAAGTTAGCACTAAGAGGCCATAGACCATGCTATCCTATTGAGGTTTGAGCCAGAAATTGACGGGCGGCCTGTATCGAATTTAGGTTCTTCCATTTTGTAGAAGCGTAACTATAAGCGATATAACGGCTTTAGAAATTACGATAGAAATGTGAATTGATATAAACCGGACCTGCGTTACGTGCTATTAGAGACCGTTTATACATCAGCGTATCACCATAACATGGAATACATAAGGCGATTAAAGAAAATTATCAGCAAGGCGCTGGCAAGGCAAATATTTGAGTATGAATGCTGGCCGGCTGGCAATTAATTGCGGTAGTCTACCATTATCACCTTCGCATACGTAGAGGTAGTGTGCCGAAGCGTTTTAATACAAGACTACGTAGAGGTACCCGCTTCTTTTGGCCACCCCGCATACCTATAAATAAAAGCGCCGTGTTTGTCTATTGCTCCATATAGAAGTTTTAAACAGGGAGAACGGCAGGGTAAGTATCATGTTAAATTATGAACACAGGTCAGCATCTATGGAACATGTACATGGCATTCCTTCGGTACAGAATTCAGAATAATGTGTTATTTTTGTTGGCAAATTTCCTCTTGCTGCTTCAACCGACAGTGAAAACGGTGCACTGGACTAAACCGACAGTTGACCGAGGTCGTCTTAACTTGGTTAGAAGGCACTACCCCGCGGTTCGCGGCAGGTAGTAAGGGTAGGTGCCGGTCTCGAATGATTATATTGCTTCACTGTGGAAAGAAAGCGTATCTAGAGTTTAGAACAGTATCTTTAATTGTTTTTAGATAGGACTTTTACTATACTAGAAGACAAAACTAAAACAAACAATAGAAAATGAAATATAATACTCTTCTGCTTATGCATTGGCGGCATACATGCATTCTAGGCCATCGACAACTCGAAATAATGTTACCCTGTCTAATGGTCGTTGAAGTCCTCATCCCGGCCTGGGTAGAGGATGTCTTGCCGCCACACTGCTTTAACCTGAGACTGTATCACTACGAAATACAGAACAAAGACAATTGCCGACATGACGGTTCCTAGTATCTTAAGGCCTTGATTGTCAAATTGTTTTGCGACGGAAATCGTAGCGAGACAGAAACCGGTATTCGGGAAAACCATGGCCCACCAGCCGAGATGAAAAAACTTGGGAGGAGAGAGGATAACAGAAATGGCGGCAATGAAGAACCACCAAAGGGAAAGGGCCCACATAAATCCTCCAACAATCAGGGCTGTTGTCCTCACATCCTTAACGTCGAGAAAGTTGTCGTCGACCTCGAGTGCAAGGTTATCAGGCAGAGAATGAGCCATTCCGATAAGAGCAAGTACTGTGAAAGCTGGAGGCCCGACACACATGAAGAGACCAGGTCTGTGCTCTCTATTTGGGAGTCCTACGGACATAAGGCGGCCGACCATATGTGCGTACATCATGAATGCGACCGACAACCCGAGACCTTGACAGGTCAGACCAGCAACAAGAATCGGAATTCTTCCGATCTCCGGCTGTGTCTCAGCGATAACAGAAGCGATAGTACCCGTCAACATAATAGGAAAGATAGGTAGAATCCATGTTGGCATCATTGTACCAAGTCCGAAGTTGTGGGCTGAGAAGACAAAGCAATACTGTCCTACGGCAAGCGCAAATGTACAGATAGCATATCCCCAAAATACGGTTTGGATTGCCCAGAGAAGATTTGAGTCGTGAGGTTGAATGACATAACGCTGGGTGCTCGTGATCAGTGTAGCAACCGAGAGCCAAAAAGTTGGAAAGAAAAATCCCTCTCGTTCATGTTTCAGGGACGCCGAAAATGTGCCCTTATGGAACATGAACCTCATGAGCATTGCAGCAGTGATGCAAGTGAAGATGATCAAATTTGCAATATAAAATATCCATCCGATGACACTAAGACCTGTGAACTGAAATGGCAGGGCGAAAATGAGAAGGGAAATTCCACCAGTACTCATGGATAGAGTGTACCAGGCCCACGTGAAATGCTGCAACCGTTGTCGAATGGTAAGTTTGTGCCTCCTCCACGGGAATGGTTGCCCATCATCGTACTGGTGACCATGATGTGGGGTATTGTCGCTGTGAGAAGCCGAAGTCGATGTAGGCGATTGACTTCGGCTGTCGTGCTTCTCATCGCCGTTAAGCTCGATATCGGTGTATAATCTTGAGTTTCTTGGGGTTTCATCCGGGGACCAAGTTCCCTGTTGTCTTTCGTTTCCCTGCATCCTGAATTAAATGTTTTTGCTAAGAATATACTAGATGGTATCCAGACCACTGTTGTAAAAGAGTGATATATATATAGTAAATAGTGTGAAGCTTTTAACGAACTGCCTGACAGAAATTCACGGCAAATTCGACAGTTAGGAGTGAGAAGCGGAAAAAAGAAAAAAGAAAAAAAAAGAACGAGATATATAATATTAAGATCGACGAAGAGGAAAAAAGGCCCAGCCTTGGTAAAAACGAATAAAGACGAAAAAAAAAGTGGAGAAGAGAAATGAAGAATTGAGGAGACCGCAAGGAGCAAACGAAATTTGCGTCTGTCATTCCAAGAATTACGTCGACGCGGGAGCCTTTATAGCCCTTTGTGGCCAAATATTGCGAGCTAAAGTTAACATCTTCATTTCGTGCTTTGGAGTATCAAAAACTGCATAAAGAAATAAGACAGGAAGAGCGTCAACCCCCTTTGGAGAGAATGCTGCGGTTACAGAACCTCGAATCTGCGTTGGTCGGTCTGATTAATTCGGCTAGGTCACTTAGAATCCCAGTTGCTCGTGGCTGATCGCAGCTACAGAGAGCAGTCCCAAGATGATATCGAACATATAGGCAACGAGGAGTTCTAACCTTTCTCGCCGCACCCATCGGAGAGTTTTATTTTGACTTGACTCGCTTCGACTTTTAAGCTATTTTTGACAGGGACTACATACGTCCTGGTACCCAGTTGGTTGGGTTCTCGCTGCTAAAAATTTCCTTCTGTGCAGTACAGTGTCTTCAAATCTGCTGTGGTACAGACAAAGCCAAGCCTCGACCGGCACGAGCCAAGCTGGCTCCGTGAGACCTTGGACCTCCCGAAACCAGGCCCCTGAAATCAATTTTCGATCAAGCTTTTCACGATTCCATTAGGATTCCTGAACCCGTTGCTTATCTTCCCTGGCATCTAAAATTAGTTGTTGCTAATCTCTCAACCTTTCGATTCCTTTCGCCGCCTTCAAATTGATTGATCTTATCGTTTCTCAGCGATGTATATTGCACGCGTAAGCTCCTAAGCATCGAAATACCAATCATAGAGTTACGCCTAAAATGGCCAAACCCCTGTATAAAGTGGTGATTTAGGTCGCTATCGCCGATGCACCCCTTCTGTAAATAGTCACTGATGCCCTCCTTTCAAAACTGTCTCACACCTTTCGTATGATTTCTCAGAAACAATAAACCATTCTAATGATAAAACAATTAATACTCCTCACAAGCTAGTTAAGTCGCGGGAAAAACAGATTTCAAGATCGGGTTGTCGCAGGTATAGGTACATTAAGTTCCGATCTTTGACATAAGAATAGGATTTGTAACTGCAACCGATCCCGATCGACCACGATTCAGTTCAGTGGTTGGACAAAATTTTGATTTTTTTTTACTTCCCCGCTTGGCGTCGCACCAGTGCCTGGGCGCCCTTGCTGGTACATAGATCTGGCACCGCCCCGAAATTCAACAGTGCCTGGTAATGGTCTTCAGTGGCGCCAAATCTAGGAGGGAGATTGCGTATTCAATGCACGCCAAGTTGGTAAAACTTTCTGTCCACGATTCGACTTACCTCCCGGAGTTGAGCTTATCAGACAGCTGCATAAGCAGTCAGTCTTGTCATGGAGCCATCTTATTATGGGCAGTAGTATTCACTTAAGTAAGCACCTGTCATTGCCGTTGCCATTTACCGATATCACGCCTCAGGTCCTATACACCAAATTTGCGAACTGAAGTCGAGGATATAATCTATTGCTGGCATGATCACATCGAAATTGGATAGTGGCTTGGCTTTATAAACTCCAGTTTTTGGCCTATTGCTCTCAAAATCCCTGAGACGGGCCGAATGGCCGTTCTCATTCAAGGAAGTTGTGATCTCCACCAAGATGTCCAATAAAGCGATCTGATCCGATCCGAGGTGATCTACCAAAGAATACACCCATGATTGTACATAGGTACCCATGCATTGTGCGAAACTTGAGCGTGCGTCGACTAGAACTTCTCCGGTGAAACGGGTGTTGATCTCTCTACATGCAAGGTTCGTACCTTTCAGAGCCCGAAGAAAAATTCTTCCGTCATGACACAATTTTGCTGTCGACTTATAAGAGCGACAGTTCTAATAGACCTGTTGATTGTCAAGACAACAAAATATTTCGGTCGCTCGAATTATAGCACCATATATCCATGAACCTCTTATATGCCGATAGAGTAATGGAGAAACTTTAGATTGGCGCGTATCAAGGCAAGAGCATTGAATTTCTCAGGCCGCTGTTTCCCTCATTCTCGAGCCATGTTGTATATATTGCCGGCCTTTGAATCAAGCCATAATCTAGAACTGGATAGGGAACAGCAGGGGAATACAAGAAACTCTAACAGTTTTGTCGTGAGTTTCATCCATCTAAAGTTATAAAAACTCGAACCTTGCTATCACTCTCCACGATGCGTATTGGGCCTGAAACTTTTGCTTGGGCGTTTTAATTGCTCTCTCTAGCTCGACTACTATAGCCAGTACCCTTGCTAAAAGGGCTACACTAGGAGATATTGCGGCGACCGGTTATGCAAGACTAAATAGGGGCACAACAGGCGGAATGGGAGGTCAGATCGTTGAAGTAGATACGTTTGACGCCTATGTTGCCGCTGTTGGTGACGACAACCCCCGCATCGTAGTCATCACTGGGCCTATCACGGCGTTAGCCTAAGTTTCTGTTGGATCGGACAAAAAGTATCATCGGAAAAAATAAGGATGCTAAACTCACGGGTGTCGGGATGCATATCTTTTTGAAGTCGAATGTAAGGTGACTTCACCAAATATACGGATTAAAAAATGTGTACCAATTTCGCGCCGATTTCTCTAGGTCATTGTTCGGGATCTCATAATATCTAAAGTCTTTGCTGCCAATGGCGACGGTATTTGGATTCAGGAGTCGACTAATGTGCGGGTTGGCCGCTGCGAGATATTCAATGACCAAGAACAGAACAAAGATTTCTGTGATAGCTTGGTGAATGTTCCCTGGGCTTCAGATTGGGTCACTCTATCCCATGATTATCTCCGTGATCATGATAAAGGGTCCCTGGTTGGCCACTCTGATAATAACGGCGCACAAGACACGGGGCACCTTCATGTCACCTACCACAACAATCATTGGAAAAATGTTTATAGGCATGGCCCTAGCCTTCGCTTTGGCACTGGTCATATTTATAATTCCCACTTCGACCACATGTTTGAGTGTGTCAGGCCGCGAAAGGCGCACAGGTTATGGTTAAAGGAAACTATTTTGTGGGCGCATCGAAGCCGATATTTGGAGCTGATGGGTATGCGTTGGCAAGAGATAATGATTATACAGACTCTACAAACCACAGCACTACACCCTTAGGAGATCTTACAGCTGTTCCGTATCAATAAAGTTTATTAGGTTCGGTCTTCTAGGGATAGATAGCCTAGTCTCCATGCTGGCATGCCCCAGTCGACTACAATTGCAATCGGGAATAAGAGTCCATTATACATGTATATACGTAGTACTTATCAATACGGTAGTTATGGTTGCAAGGGTAGAATATATACTAACTATGCCCTGTATGCGCAACCCGGTTATTGCCTCTTTCGATTGTATTTTCCGTCCCTAGGCCTGGGTCACTTAATGGACCGTGCTGAAATGGTACGATTAGTGTGGTTTTGGTGTCATGTGGGTGCTGTTGTATTTTTGTCGCTTAATGTGTTGTTGACTTCTTTAAGAAGAGCAAGCTCGCCACCTTGAGTCTAAGGCAGCTACGCCTCTTGAATTTATGGGTAAGGAATCCCAGTCCGCAAGGGTTTAAGTGATCTGGGGTCTCCTTCCACAAGAAGTTCGAACTCCGGGGTTCCTTTGACTTGGAGAGCTGAGGAAGTCAGAACCGATCTGTCGGTGTTGCAGGCATGCGCAACGGTGGGCTTTTAGGCCCCGTTAATTCTTGCATGCCGCACTAAAGCTCCTGCCGTTGCATTGTTGGGAATTCACACTATTCCAGCCATCTTGGTGCATCATCAACATCATCTCGCACATCAAAATTACGGGAATATATGCTCTGACACGCAGTTGACAAACTTTCACCAGAATGATTATGGGATTCGAACTGACATTTCTAGCTTCTCCGTTATATACGTTATATTATATATGATGAGGCTCCAACACATTCAATGACACATATATATCTTGAGACATATCACAATATTAACTCTGCAGCTAGATAGCTACACAAGACAATGAATAGCATATTGGCAAGGTATTCAGCCCAATTTGTCTTATCAAAGGCGGGTTCATTTTATCGAGAATAGCAAGCTTATCCTGGCTTCTTTGGCGCTATTGGGTGAGATGTGCCCAGCTAGGTCCCGCGGTGTTGTGGTTAAGCGTAAATGGGAAGGTGCCACATTATTGGCTATCTCGTCAATAACGGTACAATCTTACGAACTGCTTAAACTCGGCAGGTTTATCATTTGGGGTAGGTCTAGATTTCCAATCGATGGTGAAATCCTGTCTTCAGCTCAGGCACCAGTTTCCGCTGATCAGTGTCAACTGCTCCGCAAAGTTGCATCGGAAAGTCGGCTGGCGGCTCTACCCGAGGAACTTCGTCTTCTTCTTATAAAAAGCTGTCGATCTGCTCCTCGTATGGTTTTTCATTTAACATCAGCTCCAGCTTCGATATTCGGAATCCATACGAACCAATACATACTACCTCCCAAAATGTTCTCTTTCATCCGCGAGATTTCCTCCTTGGTGGCTGTGGCTGCCCTTCTCGTTCCTACTCTTGCCGCACCAACTGTAGGAGCACTCGCAGCCCCGCCAGATGTTACTATTGACAAGATCATTTATGGTGGAACCGGATGCCCACGCGACTCCGCCTACGTTAACTTGGCCTCGGACAAGCAATCTTTCACCGCGTACTTCAGCAAGTTCACTGCCTCCATCGAGAAAGACAACATCAGAAATTCTCGCAAATTTTGTCAATTGAGTCTTGCGGTCGATACCCCCCCCAGCTGGCAGTTCACGGTCGTCGAGACCACCTTCACGGGATTTGCAAGCCTTGACCCCGGCGTCGTTGCCACTCATATATCTACTGCATATTTCGCTGGGAGCACCGAAGAGCAAAGCTTCAGTATTCCAATCCGAGGACCCACCAACCAGTATTTTACGTTTCGAAGCACATCCGTTGTTGGGACCGGAGGCTGGTCGCCGTGCGGGACGCAGGCCCTTCTCAACATCAAGTCCGACCTTCGACTCACCGGAGAGGGACGCGGTGCAATTACAGAGACCAGTGGAAAGGTCAGCCGAATCTTTGCTCTCCAATGGCGCAATTGTTGAACCGGACCACTGGGGTAGTAATATATACGCCGATCAGATGTAAATATAAAAGCTCTTAGCTATTAGATACCTGTGTACATACGTCATTTCCATTTCTTTGTATCAAAAACTTACCTGTACAAAACAATTATTGCTGAATAAGCGACCAAATTTTCCCTTACTGTTCCTGTGAATTCCGTCATATCGTCTCGCGGACCGGCTCGGGGTGGTGAGAATTTGTCTCAGCATTCGGCCTGAGTCGCTTGTTTGCCTTTTCGGGACAGCGGAGGCAGGAAAAATCCAACACCAACACGTGTTGTTTAATACGCCGTGTGTCATTCCGCTCACATAATAGTTACGTACAACAAACCTAAAAACGTCTTAAGACAGCTTTTCGAAACATCAGCCTGGAAGATGGCCATTCATTGATTTCTCCGTCATCTCCGGATCACGTTATAAACACAGACGATGGCAACTAAGTCGCCTCTGCCATCGACCCTTTTAGACTACCCAACGTTAACGCCGTAACGCTTCGTGTTCTCCAAGCTCTCAAGATGCATACAAAACGCAACACAACTCGGTGGGATTTTGATATCGACGACTACATCAACCCATGGATCCCACCAAGCATACTACAGGAATTACCGGCTTCGATTTCAAGATTCTTAGGGTATAGAACTTCTCCGCGGAAAGAGCTTGGCAGTATTCTCGTTGCATGGTGGTCATTATTTGGTGCCTTCTGTGGTATTGCTGCCGTTTCTGCGGTCTTCAAGTACAGCGGCGTATTCTCAGAACTCGACCCCCCTTTGATAATTGGTAGTTTTGTAGGTTAATCTAGAGCTATCCATTATAAGTAGCTAAGTACTAACAGGATTTTACAGGGAGCCTCGGCTATCTTGGAATATGGTGTTATTGGTTCACCCCTAGGACAGCCTCGGAACTGTGTTCTCGGCCATTTTGTGTCCGCTATTTGCGGAGTCGGCGTCGCGAAACTCTTCCAACTAAATAGTCATTTTGAGGAAATAAAATGGTTAGCTGGTGCAGTTTCCGTAGGCTTGGCTTCTGCTGTTATGAGTATCTCAAACACTTCTCATCCGCCCGGGGGTGCAACAGCCTTGCTGGCTGCTATTGACCCAAACGTGGCACGCCTTGGCTGGTATCTTCTCCCGTACGTCCTGATAGGAACGACTTTGATGCTTGGGATTGCCCTAGTCATCAATAATATCCAACGCCAGTTCCCAGTGTTCTGGTGGACCCCGAAGGATACAGGCGGCAGGTTATGGCCAGTGTCGGAAGCTACGGAGCCGGATTTAGAGGCTCTAGAAGAACAAAAATTCGTACATGGAAGGTCAACTATACCAATGCGGTCGGACGGCCCGGCTGGTTCGGATTCTTCGGTAGCTAGTCTTAAATGAGAACATCTCGGGAGAATGCTACGATTGTAATGAAATGTATGTCGAAAAACCGACAAACCAATAGAGTTATGGGGACTGCATATAAGACCGTATGCATGTTAGTTACGGGCTTTAGGCATTGAATGGAGCTAAGCCGGCCGGTCTGTGTCACGAGTCAGTCGTGTTATCATTCAGCTTAGGGGTTGGGCGTTGAGTATATTATAAATCTGTCGGAAGTCTCATTTACCTTAGCAAACAAGAAAAGTTTTTAGTGATAATTCCACGTTTTGTATTATAATATTAGAGCACATTCGGATGTGGTAAACTGCCTGGAACCGAGGTTAGATCCGACAGGCCTATGCTGAGTGATTTCGAGGGCGCAACTTTGGGTTTACCGCCAGATTTAAGATTATATGATCATGAAAATCCGATATACAAAGTTTCGAGCAAGAAGAAAAATGCTCTCAAACTCCGTCAAAGCGAGATTAAAAGAATACATGTCGCAACACTTTCCATGACATCATAAAACAGCGATTTCAGGACATGGACCCAGCTCATGGCGGGAAACATTAAAGCCATAGAAGCAATGGCATCGTCAAACAAAACGAAAGAGGATAATGAGAAGGTGTTGAAGCCATAGGTAGAACAAAAAGTGTTTGAGGCTTGAGAAAGGGGTTATTCCTGCGGAAAAAAGCACCCGCACTCTCAATGGCTTGCGGCTGCCATTGTGAGGACTTGCCTGCTGTCTTCACGAACCTCTTCGCTCGTAAGATCGACAGTCTTGGATTTGAACTTTCGAGCGCTGACTTTGTTCTCGAATAATAAATCGAGTTCACCGTATGAGCGGCCTTTCGGTTCTGGTAGACTAAAGTAGCACCAAACGATACAACAGAAGCAAATAGAGCCCCAAAAAAATCCAGATTTTCCTTTCCAGTTCCAAGCCGTTGGATTCAGCATGTGTGGGATAATGACTCCATTGACGATGCTGAATATGCTGTATAAACTCCTGGCCAAGACGATAGTTTTAGCTCGAAGCCTCGTGGATGAAATCTCAGAAACTATAGAGTAACAAACAGGTCCGACCGTGACATCGTAGAAGAAGGTATAGACGAGGAGCATGGAGCCGGTAGCCCACTGCGTCGCAGGTTTCGAGGGACCAAGAGCGATGAATCCGATGACGAACAGACAAATATCCAAAAGGATAAGTCCCACTATGTAGAGGTTGCGTCGTCCGAAGTAGGTCATGAAAACCCAGGAGGAAATAGTCCCAACTGCCCCAATTCCGTACTGAGCCATCGCCATATTGAAAGAGTTCTTAGGGTCGAGCCCAGCTTGTTCATAGAAATAGGTCGAGTAACCCATAATACCCGCACCGCACAAGTTTTGAATCGCCCACACGACGCAGGCGATGTGTGTTCTTCGCAGGTCAACCCCTTTAAAACAATTCTTGTATGACGTGCCAGAGGTCATGCGCTTTTCGATCTCGTTGGTATGTATCATCATCGCGACATTCTTCTTGACATCGAAAGGAATGCCGTGAGCTTTATCGCTACTCGTCAATCTCCCCAACGCAACTTCGGCAGCTTCGTGCTTTCCTTGACGGACAAGCCACCAGGGGCTTTCCGGTGATAGAGCTACGCCAACGAATATCGGAATCGGCCAAACCCATTGAAGTGCGAACGGAATTCTATACGTCCAAGTTAGTTGTGTTTAGAGATATGCGTTAATCGGAAGGAGTTTTTACCTATACGACCACTCATCGGTCCGATCAACAAGGCCCCGCAGTACACAAGATGCGATAAGCTGGCCGAGGACCCAGCATAGGTTGACGTAGGTGGTCAAGTAAGCCCGAAGGCCTACGGGACATATTTCAGATGCATATGCGACTGTCAAAGTTTGAAATACACCTAGCGGGATACCGAGCAAGATTTCCCCGACGAGCAAAGTCTGGACATTCTGCGCAAAGAATAAGATGAAAATGAAAGCAGTTGTGAAAAGGAGGCCCCCCATCATTGTCTTCCTGTACCCATAGCGTTCGGAAACGATTCCATTCAATGCCAGTCCAAACAGGGCACCGATATTGACACCGTTTGAGAGGCCAGACTGCCAAGCAGCGCTGAGGGAATACTTTCCATCGGGCTGTAGAGTACCGTATTTTTTGTTGAAAGACGGGTAAGCGTAGAAAGATCCCATCAAGACTACATCGTAACCTTCCATAATGATGGCTGTGGACATGAGGATGGACCACGCAATCGCTTTAGGGTACAGTTTGATGTTTTCCAAGAGTGTTAGGCTGTGTTCGACTTCGGTAGCTTCGCGTGCTTGCTTTGCTATGTCCATAGGATCCCCGTAGTCACCAGCTACACCGCATTTTTCAGCTCGGTTCTCAATATGTACTGGGCTTATTTCAGCCGACAGTTCGATCTTAGGTTCGTCAGATGCCATTATTCTGGTGCATTCGAGTCGAGGTTAGGTGGATTCAATTGAAATGAGACTGATCTATTTAATATATTAAAGGAGGAAGGCTTCGATGCGGACTACGTTGAGCATGATGAGGTAAGTATCTGGATTTGGAGGTGCAACTTCCTTTATACATATCGTATCTCGTGTAATATGTCGCTGATGTTGACTGAAGATGTCTTTTTGCAAAAGCTCTGGCCTTTGTGGCTTCGGGTTTTCCGAAAGTTTTGCGTTGCTGATTGTACCCTGTCATGTGGTCTTTTTGGCGTTGTTTGAAGGCTGAAAGACAGCTCAAATGGGTGCAGGACCAAAGGATCCGCCAAAAAGTTTAGCTCAAATTCACGGCCCCTGCCAGTGAAAGGAGATCCCCATGTCCGGGGAATTACCCAAAGCAGCTACATGACATGGAGGCGAGAAATTGCGGGGCAGTAAATGCGGAGGAATCTTCGGGTCCAAACTTTAGCCTCGTTCGGCCTGGAATTATGTAGCTAAAGCCCTTAAGGTGATGGAAATTCCAAAGACTACAAGGCTGCCATGATACAGCCCGCTAGATTACCCGGTTTTAGTTGAATACCATGTTTTTGCTATAATATTGTTGCTCTAGTGGTAATAACCCCAGATTTGCGTTCCTCATCCAGTCGTGGAGCTTAAGCTTGTCCGGTTCAGAGGGCTAGGGTTCGATGGAGGAACCATCTGAACTACACCCTGGCCGATCAGATTGCAGCATAGTTAGACACAAACCGGGCGCCGCGCTTGGGCTCAACTAGGTTATAGCATTAAATTCCGCTGATGGCCTAACACTGACCGTTTGTCTTATTAGCTCCGGGTTTTACGCCGTACGGTGATAGAATTGTAGGTAGCCCAAAAGAAGGTTTCGGCGTTTTGGTTATTTAGATGCCATTGGCTGACCTCATCGGCATGGATATCCATTGTGCACTACTTGTCAAGATGGTTCGTGTTCGAAGTCTTCGGTCGGCCGGCTGGCTCTAATGATATTGAGCCGAGGCTTCACTAACAGAATTAACGGAGCAACGGGTTCTAGAATTCTAAAACGTTCACACATCTGCTGAAACTGATATTCTAGCTTATACAGGATGCAATTTAAGGTAGCAATGGTCTCAAAACTATGGACACTATCGACCTAAGCAAAAAGAATACAATGCAACAAAAAATAAATTACAAGAGAACATAATCTAGACTCGCGTTATCATCATCATGAGCACTGTGATTAGTTTCGTTCCCACCAGCTCGAAGTGTCAATGGTTCCCCAAGAGGCGAGGGTTGTTTGCAAAGTGTATTCGATATGAAAGGTAGAGCTTTGCTCAGGACGGCTTCTAAATACCGTGACCTTTGCCCGCGAAATTTGGATAATAGACCCAAAAAGACCCGTAGGTAGTCTCCCCCCTGACGAAGACCGTTCAGATCCGGTTGCGGTCCGCTACACGTGCACGCCATGACGTCTGTCAGACATATGGCTACCTGGGAAATCTTCTGCTCCTGTAGACGCCGTCCTCGTATTATGTTAGTGTTTGATGAGCTGGCAGTTATTTTTCGGCGTAATCGAAGCTTACCATGCCGATACCGTGCGACTCAAGAGATTTTATTTGAGTGCCCGAAATAACTGTAACAAGGTCTTTTGCAGGCAGGAACGGGTATTTTAGGTGTAGAAAGGTATTTTTTTTCGTTTCGTCGCAGGCTTTCAACAAACCTAGTCTAACAGTCATCTGCCATGCTACCATATGAAGCCATTCTCGGGTGACCATTATATCCACCCTTTGAGTTTCAATGCTTTCTGAAAGAGGAACAGAAACCCTGCTGATGTTTTCTTGGAATGAAACAAGCCACGAACTGAGGGCTTCTGAGTCTCCAACTGGCTGTCCATCCGCACTCAACTTATTATCGTCACCCCATATGTAAGAGAATTTGGAGTCCACAAATTTGAAAAGGTTGATCAGATTAACGAAACCGTATAATAGACAGGGATCTTCAGAGTCAAAGATTAAAGGCAGAGAAATTGATGGCTGCAAGGTAACAGCCCGTCGCCGCTGTACAGCGTATCCCCTATGTATATTGCGACACACTGGCGCATGAGTCGGGGCTGCCCCAAATTCACGTCTTAGTCAAATTGGGTCAAAGAGCTTTCCTTACCTTTCGGTGACGAACAGAAGCCAAAATATTCTTTTCCGTCTTTGGGATTCGCCGGGATCCTTCCTACAAAAGGGCTCTTCAATGTGAAGCTTTAATTCTAGGCTAAGACTAATAGCTTCTCTCAGGTAGTACCATGCAGATGTGTGTCGCTCAAGGTGGCCGTAATAGGAAAATATGAAGAAAGACGTAAGGATCCAGTTGACCGTAGGTGCGTCAATGAAGTCAGAGTGTTGTCGTATTGAGAGACTTTGTGATATAAAAGATGCCGCGGCTCGGCTGCCGACCATGATCCTTTTCGGGGTCTCTTCGGGAACGCTGGGGCCTGAAGCTGCTTCCTGGCTCCCCGTCGGCTCTGTACCTTCACCTTCCATAGTTAAGTTTAGTTGCAAGATGACGGCTGCGGATAATGCAGAAAACATCGCGGTTTCTTCGGGTGATAGTGGCTCTGGATCATCGACTCGGAACTCAAGGTCGCTTACCAGCTTGTTCCGGTCGAATACAGGCATTATTGGGTATATATGCTCGACGAAGAGCTTAACATACGGGGCAAAGGTGCCGAAAGTGGCGTTGGCGAGAAGATCCGTCTGTGAGTTTGCCGAGGAATAAGAAGAACCTAACGTAAGTCCAGGAAGGAAGAGGTTTTCAGCTGGCGGCAGATGTGCTGTATTCGGACTACTATTTGCGACGGGGCAATGAGCAATGAAATTATCCATGGTATTGGAAACGAATGAATAATATGTTTTTGGATCATCTTCTTGAGGGTGAATCTGATGATTAACGCTAGTAGTTTCTATCGGTGAAGTAGAGGAGGCTGCCCCATGAGCCTCAAAACCAGAGTAAGGCGATGATATCTCGGCTTCTGGGGTGGAGGTGGACGGCGACTCATTGGTTGGAATATAGTTTTCGCTATTGAAGGGATGGGGTGAACCGTCCTCGGGGCTGTCAGTGCTGCCGGTTCTGCGCCTTTTTGGGCCCCTCCTCTGGTGAACTGTGAGATATTCACATTTGAGGCAGGAGATTTTGCATGCGTTGCAGGGGCTTCTACGATCACATCGTGTTTTCCGCCGACGACAACTATCGCATGCCTTGCGAAGGGGTAGAAGAGACGTCTTTGTCGCTTCCGCAGCGGGATTGACCGCATCTGTGTGGGATGATCTTGTCAACACGAGGACGCTAGTAGGCTGCATGACCCGCACCACTGTTGTTATTTAGATCTAAGCGTGAGCGTATAAGATATTTTCATGAAAAATGAAAAGTTCAATTCGAGATATCCGGGTTTTCAGTCAAATCTGGGGTAGTACGAGGTTAGAAATATCGAGATGCGGAGAAGGAGACTTTAGAGAAGTGCGATCGGTCTATAAGTTAGGACAAGCCGCGGTTGATAGTTAGCTGGGGTCAGGGACCCTGGCGGTCACAGTACTGAGAATTTTAATCAAGCACTTGAAGATTTCGCAACCAAGTGTTACGTAAATGTCTATAGTTCCAATATGTTTGCAAAAGTTCCATTATTGTCGACACATGGTGTGGTGAAATGCGCGTGATATGCGTGTTAATTGGGTTTGTGGAGGCGACCAATACATCGACCGAGAGAAGTTCCGGGGACACGGATTATCCTGGTTGTTTTTTCCCTTCAAGCCAAAGCAGGGATCGGTGAATTACCATTTACGGTTTAGAGGAAGATGTTGCAAAATGGTGGGGTATTCGCCTTCAAAACAGGCAGCTCAAATGTGATTCGCGGATGGAGATATATTAGAAACCTAATACATTGCAAACAAACAAAGAAGAAAACTCCAAGAACTACACATGCTAGATACCTATCTATGCAGAAACGAAGAAGACCATGGACTCAAAAGGTGCAAATTGCATTTCGAGGCTCTCAAAGCGTATGTGTTGTGGGGCGTTGTAGTTGTGGAGGATGAGATTTTCTGGGCTCAATAGATGTAGTAGCTCAGTAGGCACTTTCCAGGCGACTTTTCCTGATGAAAAGTTACACAAAACAACTGCTCTTCCAGCCGTCGGATGAGATCTTTCGTAAGCGCAGATATTCTGATCATTGTCGTTTAAGAATTTGAAATCTCCATAGACGAAGACGTTGACCAACTTGCGGCGAAGCTTCAGGATGTTCTGCCAAAACGCAAAAACGCTATCGGGATCGTTGATTTGGGACTGCGCATTGCAGTCCATATAATCGTCGTTTACGCGCATCCATGGAACTCCGGTAGAGAAGCCGGCATTTTTAGTAGTGTCCCATTGAATTGGTGATCGTGAATTGTCTCGAGCTTTTGAGCGAACTTCTTCTAGAGATTGGTTATAGAAGCTTTGGCCTTTGATTTTGGAAACTTCGGCAAGTCTATAGTAAGCGTTAGATAAAAGGCAACAGATTTAGAAAATTTAAGACTTCGCTCATATGATTAGGGCGTTGGCATACTCGTTCACATAATTGATAGTTTCAACGTCCTTGAACTCGTCAAGGTTCCAATCCTTTGGTAGATTCGCCATTCCCAGCTCCTGGCCTTGGTAAATGAAGAGAGTACCTGACTGCAATGCAAGAAACGTTGCTAGCATTTTGGCTGCATGGATCCTGAATTCTGGACTATCTGAAGCGAAGCGGGAGATAGAGCGTGGTTGATCGTGGTTTTCCAAAAACAGCGCGTTCCAGCCATCTCTCTCGATCATAAATGTCTGCCATTTCCCCACAATATCCTTGAGAGTTGATAGCGACCAAGGTGCAGGAGAAAATTTGCCCAGAGATCCGCTATCAATGTCAACTCTAACAGGGACAATTGAATGAAGTTAGCGTGGAAATCAGCCGGATTTATGTTATAGCACGTCGACTCACATGTCGAACTGGAAGATCATGTTTAGTTCCTTTCGGGAAGCACCGACAACCTTGATAATTTCCTCGGGTTCTCTAACAGAAGGCATTTCTCCAACAGAAAATGCATTGTAACGGTCCAGGATCTCTCTCAACCCTCTCAAATGCTCATGGAGTCGAGGCCCGTTTGCGTAATGCGACATTGCCGGTTGGTGTGGGCTCGACTCTACGGTGACTGGAGCGTCTGGGAGGCCTGGAGTCTTGCTAATCATATTTATGACATCCATGCGGAACCCGTCTACACCCTTGTCCAACCAGAATGTCATGATATTGTGTACTGCAGAAACAACTTTTGGGTTCTCCCAGTTAAGATCAGGTTGCTCAGTGCAAAAGAGGTGTAAATAATATTCGTCGGTTTTAGGGTCGTATTTCCAGGCACTCCCTAAAGTTACTCTAATATCAGTGTTCCATCCCGCCTTCGTTGTGTCTAGTACGTGATAGTACTACTTCGAATAGCCAAAGGGTAGTGGTATCCGACTAACCGCCGAATATGGAAGCCCAATTGTTAGGCGGGTGTCTATTTCCCTGCGTATCGTACTTTGGAGGCCTCCAAATATACCAGTCCCGGAATGGATTGGCTTTCGAGGTTCTGGATTCTTGGAACCATTTATGCTAACTCCGTTGTAAGTGTTTTGTCTACGGAAATAAAATTGAACGACTATTTTCTTGCCTGGTCGGATGTGTGATTAACCACCAAATCCATAATAAGCCGTATACCACGATTATGTAAGCCCTCGATTAAGTCTTCGACGTCTTGAACTGTGCCATAAGGCTTGTGTATTCTGGTATAATCTGCGATGTCATAACCCATATCTTTCTGGGGCGACTCGTATACTGTGTAAATCCCAAGGTATAGTTAAAAAAAGCATGGTTAAAATTTTGACGTATCTTCTAATAAGATTATATAAATGAACTACAATCATACCTGGAGAGAGCCAAATTACATCAACCCCCAACTTTTTGAAATAGTCCATCTTGGCTATTATACCAGGAATATCCCCCAATCCATCACCATCGGAGTCGTAAAAAGAGGCTGGATATATTTGATAAACTGAGGCTTCTTTCCACCAAGCTCGCGCGCCCCCGGGTATCCCATTCCCGTGTATCCAAAGAGAGCTTTCGGCCCCATTCGGCAAGCTGGCCTCCTCTTTGTTTACACCATTAACTATAGTTGGCATTCTGGAGGCGAGCGTTAATGAGTCTACTCCCGGTATCGGTTTAGAGTCAGTGCGTATTGATTTGGCCTTGTTGTTTGTATTGTCAATATGATGTGTCTGTGGTCGGGTTGGTTGCTTTCAGGATAACAGTTTGAACACACCTAGAATAGCAAACGGTTACCGATATTTAAGCTTTTAAGAAACCTATCAGTTGTATTGCGGACTCTAACCGAGAGCTTGTTCGGTCAAAGTGCTTAGTGGAATGGTATGTACCGATATCTATAAAGGAATCTTTCCGGGTTACAATAAAGATTGAGGGATAGAGGAGGGACGGAAATTCTGTGGCCTCGACTTAGATTTTCCGTAAATGGTAATTTCCCGAAGTGTTTCCGTCAATATTAACTAGCGCCCGATTCACCGCTCGATCCACCGCTTTTAGTGTTGCTCCGAAAACTTGTGGTTCAAAATTAAAATGTTGTAGTTGCAAGTGATTAGGGGTTATTGCATGTTTTCCATTACCTCTGATGCTAGCGATCGCGTATGTATGCCATTAAATATCCTAGTTTAATCGCTGTATAGCTGTATATATGGATAACACCGGAAGCCCGGATCTAGAAAGGCTATTTAGTGGACGGTTTCTAAACTCTGGTTTTTCCCTGTCATGGGATAATTTATAATTCAAAGTCTCTAGAATGCCACAACCCGTCTTTATCGATCAAAACTTTGAGAATAGGCACAGTTAGTTAGCCCTATCGTGAAAAATGTGGTTGCAGGTTAAGGCGACCAGGTTGACTGCTCCGCGATCTGAATTCCTGTCTGCCGTGATGAAATCGTCGGACAGAACAGATGTAATGGGTGTTTGAGGAACTTGCGGATAACCAACCTCGGCTCAGATTAATCCCAAACACGATGTTGAAGTCTAGTATTGCTGGTCCTCAAAAAGATTATATTAAAGAATTTTCATCTATATATTACTAGATCGCACATATGAGATTTCCATTGAACTGTCTTGTGAGAATCAGGAGGTTAGTTCTAGAAGCATGCTCCCAAACGTTAACTTCCAGCAAATTTTGATCTTAGGCTTTGCGTCTTTGTATATATCTGAAGATAGGAACGTTGTCGGGCTGAAGAGGCAAAGATGTTGCAGGGTAGTACTTGTCACGATAATTATGCACTGATAGCACCTGCAGCCCACGCAAGCCTGCGGGTTCATTTCCAAGCTCTACCCGTGACCAGTCCTCGTATAGCGGATTTGCCCGATCGGAGAATTACCCGATGAAGAATGGAACAGCTTCCAACACAACACAAGTTCCTCCACGGATTCATAGATAGCAATCTTCTATATATCGTTTGGCTCTGCGACTATGTTCATCCACAATCTAGCTTAATCGTATTGTTTAGCTTCGTAGGTTCTGACGAAATTTTTGAGATACTCTGCATCATTATTGCATTTGTCTTTGAAGTAGCCAGCATGTTGATACGATATGGAAGCATGCTGAACACAGTTGTGCCCTGTCCGTGAAATTCAACCTAAAAGCTCGGGGATGTGTTGCAGTATATGGACTCACATATCCTCTTGACAGGGTGGGGCTTTCGGACCATGGAAAGAGTAGATTTAACTCAGGCTAGATCGAAATTAGGGGTTATCATGGAATATTATCTAGTAAATAAAGGCTTCTTTACCACCGAGTGTAGACAGGTTCATCACTACACGGGACGAGACTCTTCTATACAACGGGATTGAGCTTTCAACCCTATTCTTATTTGTTCGTCGATTATTGACGTCCCTTCAAGTCACGATAGCTGGTTGATTTACCAGAGGATTTCAATAAGTTTTTCGGAATGAAGGGCTTTGATTGTGATAGGGGCAGGGCAGTTGGGGTAGGGCCCTAAACTATGGCTAGTGGTAGTATCGTACTTGTACCAACCTAGAACTAGATATTTGAGAATGAGTTTATTGAATATTACACCGGGCGGATCTGGCCACTGGGAAGACGACCTCAAGGGCGGCTAAAGTAGTTACCAATAGGTATTTTATATTCAAACCTAACCCCTCAGCGACATCAGCCGGAGGCAAAAGCACCCACCGCTGGCACAGCTTTTACACTTGGTGGCACGACTCTCTCGAAAGATTAACTTCTAATCTTTTGCGTGTAGTTTCTTTTCTCATAATAATACGGGGAGAATATATTATATTAGCCCTGGGGTACGCCGGGATCTAAAACCCAGAAGGCCGATGTGGATGATGGGATTCTCTTGGACGCCAGAATCAATCTCCATATGGCTTAGTCCCAATTTGAATTCAAGGTCGACGTCGAAGTCTAGATCGATCGGTTTGATGGTGTTAGTTTGCAGGGCTGTCCCTCAAACGTTGTAATCAATCCGCACGACGTCAATTCAGTATCGAACGAAATCAACCTGTCTCATCGTAATTAGAGTTCCGGTTTCGGACAACGGAGCCGAATTTTCGATTGAATTCAAGGACAATGTATAACCTTTCGCCCAAATAAGGGCAATTGTGTTGAGACACGGGGCGACATCGTTGGCGTCAAGCTGTTGAGTTTACTTATCATCTTTGCCAGTCCGCTCATTCCGTCAGATCAAGTCCTGCCAGCAGACCCAGTACCAAAGTAATGATGCCTGCCTATTAATATCAGCGACTGGGGTTCTTTACCCATTTTATATTTCCCGCTGGGTATTTATTGGATGAATACGGATGGGGCGCAAAGGTTGTCACTAGAACGATGGTTGGTACTGTGCACTGTGCAGTTGTTAACTTTTCTGTACTAGCCTTAATAGGAATAAAGTGCGAAGGTGAAGCGTTCAGCCGCAGTAGATGCGGGGTCGGTTGTGGTAATAAATGTCTTCGGCCAGCCGATAGCATTCACGGTTGGTATTTTGTTCCATTTCGTCCTGTCCTAACCACCCTTTTGATTGAGGGCTTTCTGATAATTATCCGCTTTCTTGCTCATCTTGCGATTTGTTTGGCTGATAAACAGTATTAGTATAGCTCATGGAAACCGCAATGATTTTGAGTTTGCTGTGTCCTCTAGAATTTCCCTTACAACGCCTGCTGCGTTGGTGGCAAGGCCGGATGCACCCTGCCAGCACCAACAAGGATGCCTAAGTGTGTACATGTAATATATTAATTCTGTTTGGGCGTGAAATGTTGTATATTTAAATTTATGCGAGCTCGTTTGCACCGTGTAAGAGCGACTACGCTATGGAAATCATACGTAAGTCTGATGGCGGATTTCATGAAAAAGATACTGGCTTGCGAAAGCCGACAAGCTGATTCTCGATCTGGCTTCTTATGATGTCTGATTCAAGGTCATTACCTTATCCGTTAACAGGCGTTTGCCGGCTGCTTGAAAACAACGTGTTAACATGTTGATCAATTGATGGACATCGAAACTATATAAATGCCAAGTTTTACTCTCCATACTGCCATTAACATTCCATCAAAGTCTCCAGAATAAACCAGGTTATTTCTTGTTTGACAATTGTTCTATAAGTCGAACGGCAATTCGCTTTTCTTGCATCAAATCAGTATGACGATTGAAAAGTCTGATAATATTGTTGTCAAACCAACGATCTGTGTTGGGTGGGAAGAAATACAGCCTGGGACGTGGTATCGAAAGTTAGACTGCATGGAGCGGTTGCTTTACTTTTGCGAACATATTGATCCTAATTTGACTCAATGGACTCCAACTGTTGGCCTAAAGTTACCAAAGACTTCTCAATATTCGGTCAAAGAAATCCAGGCGGCTTGGATATCTTTACGGCTGGACTATCCGACAATTGCTTGTACTATCGAAAATGGAAGAGGAATGCAATATCAGATTCTGACAAAGGATGAACTTGTCAGATGGGCAGAAAAAACGGTGCATATTCATAGATTTGGAAAAAGTGCGCGTGAAATGGCGATTTCAGCGACTATGCCTGAATCCAGCACACTTCACTTCTTTCCGGAACGTCAAGAATTAGCGATTCTTATTCGACATGAATTATGTGACGGTGTTGGATGTTTAATATTAGCAAACAAACTGCTTCAAAACCTTCGTATAAAACCTCGAATTGATACGATCGGTGAGGAGATTGCACGACTGCCTTCCCCCACTATCGACTTGCTAAATGACAAAAGTTCGGTGGCTCCTGAGATAATCGAAAGAGCTGATCATATCGTCGGATTATATTGCGATACAAACGCCATTGCTTTACAAACAAGACAACAAAAGGATACCCAAAAGGCAATTCCAACCTTGCCACAAGGTCGAGTTGAACACCAATTCAGTGAGAAGGAATCGCAAGCTATTTTGGATGCTTGTCGAGAAAAAAAGATTACTGTGACTACAGCCATTTGGGCTGCGCAGGCGAAAGCAGCATTAGAGCATAGTGGAGACACTGCCGGGAATCTAATCAGTTTCCTTCCAATAAATCTAAGGAACGAAATCAAAAGCTGTCCATCGAACAACGTAGAGACAAAAGATCCACCGGCTAATAATACTATTATCTTTGCTCTTACCAATCTCCCTGTTGCTGAGACTGACGACTTCGTTGATTGGGCGACAATGGCACAACGAGACTTACATTCATGGCGATTTGGCAAAAATAATATTTCTCTTTTCGAACTTTCATGCAAAGCATTAGAAGAAAAAATGGCTACAGATGTGGCAGCAGGAATAATGCATCCAGCAAGATTTTTTTTAACCAATGTCGGAATTTCGGAAAATTACATTAGGGAACCAGTGGAGGATGTTTGGTTAAATCTCATGGTCTCGACGCCAGAGTCGAGCGCGTTAGTAGTTCTGACGACGCATAGAAGGTTGAGATTTACGGCTTGTTATAATCGTGCATTCTTTCATGACAATCAAGTCAAGGATTATATGGCAATGGTAGTTAGCCATTTGAAGAACGGTTTAGGACTTATAGTTTTAGTTGATAAAATTGAAGCTTCTACGAGGTCTGAGTCGTATGAAACGGTGGCACGGATCTAAAGGATTGCTATTTGCGACCTATAAGGTATGTGTCGGGTAGAATCTGCGTTGCTTCTAGAATTCTGAAAAGTTGTAGCAGAATCGACAACCCGTTTGACACGAACGAATATTGGGGTTTATGGTTCGTTTGTTACTAAAATAAAATAGGAAAATGAATGAATGAAATAGGATAGAATACATTATATTTACTTATTTCCCGCAAGCAATTGTTTCTCACCGCGATTTCCAATTCCGGATACTCGAATTGGAGGCCGAGATGAAAAGGGCAACATCTTCTGAAATAGGAGCCCCAATATGTCGACTTGCTCCTCTACTTTTACCCGGATGATAATCCAATTGAGTTATATTTTTTCAATTTGGTAATGCCAACTAGGATTAAGCTTTTGCAGAGTTGCATCCATGCATTTCGGCAGTTGGCCGGATAAACCGTATTTGAACGACTCGAGTCAGTTAATAGGCCGTGTAACGTTATAGCCGGGAATTTTAACATGGGTTGCACGTATTCTGTTAAAATAGATGCATTGCCATGAATCGTGCGATATGTTCATGAACACATATATTGAAAACACATATATTGAAATATTTCATAGAAAGTTTTCGATCGGCATGACCCTCGTTCTTCGTATTTTTATAGTGAGATGCATGAACACAGATGAAATTTACCATTAATCATTGAATTAAGTAATCGTAAAGCTAATGGAACTGTATTCACGACCTGGAGTCTGGTGACCAGCATCCGGATATTAGCCTAGATGGTCGGTGTCATGTCTCCGAGGGCTGGAAATTGTTCTCTATAGATCTAAGTTAGTATTGTATCGTGAAGAGTCTTGTATATACCCGTCATATCGATTATTTGAAAAGGTATAAATACGGCGTGGGATATTCATTGGAAACCTTTTCGAAAACGGTCCATTGGCTACAAAAACAGAACCGAAGTAACTAGTTAACTAGTTTCGATACGCACAAATCATCTTGAAAATTAAATTTCAGCTTCACGTCTAAACTTTATAAATTTATTGCAGTCTACTCTATATCCAATCCCAAAATGTTGGCAAAATCTATCTTTGTTATCTCCCTCCTTTTGGCTTCCGCAGCTGCGAAACCAACCAAAACCCGTATAGCCACTACAAAAACCACCTTCGTCACGGTGACGCCAGCGCCAACTACCACCAGTCTAGGACCACCAGTAAGATCATCTCGACAACCCTTAAGCTCGTACTAATATATTTATGATGCTGACTCTACACCAACTGAACTTTAGTGCGTTGGCTGGCAAGGGGATACCACATACTGTGCCACAAGATCCGGATGTTGGACTTATTGGAAGAGCGGAACTGCTGATGGTAGATGCATTAATACTGCCCACGAATAAATCAAGGGCTGCATCAACATCGTTAGTGGGGGTCTGAGGGAAGCATAGAAAGATAGGAGTCGATATTCTCGGATAATCATGTATCTGGAATGGTCTTGGAGATGATTGGTTCCTTAGCTATCATTCCTATCTCTGTTTTCTACAATATCAGAATTTCACCTCGCAAAGTATAGGCAAAATTTACCAAGTTTTTCATTAAATCAAAATTATTTCAATATCCTACGAGGTATGAGTTTGCAAAATAGGACACCCATTTCGCTTAACGCCATATAAGCGAGATGTAGTCTTAGCATAAAAAAAAACATTAATTTCAACCACTAATTTCGCTCACTTAAATTTCCCAAAATAATAATTCCCAATTCCAATTTTAACCCTGATTTTAATTACTAATTTCGCTTACTTAAATTTCCAAAACAACAATTCCCAATTTCAACCCCATTTTGATTTTGATCATTAATTTTATTCATTTAAATTTCCTAAAACAGTAATTTTTAACCCTAATTCTAACCCTAAAGTTAAATTAAAAATAACAATTAATATAAAAAATTCTTATTTATTTTATTTATAATATAAAACTTATTCCATAATTTATTCTTTATTTTATTTTTTAATTAATATAGTAATTCTAACTTTTCAATTTATTTCTATTACTATTAAATTTTATTATATAATTTAATAAAAAATTTTATTTTATATTAAATATTAATAAATTTATATATTAATAAATATTAATAAATATTATAATTAATATTATAATAATTTTATTCTATTTTAAAAACAAAAAATTTTTAAATAAATATTTTAAAAAATAAATATTTCTAATATTTTTATTTTTTTTAAATTATTTAATAATAAAGAATTATTATTATTACAATTATATTTTAAAATAATTATTAAATATATATATCATTATTATTTTTATAAAGAATATTATTCTTAAATTATTAAAAAATATTTTTGTTAAAATTATAATTATAAATATATTTGTAACAAAGCAATCTCAGCATAATGAACTCTAAACAGAAATCCAGACGGCTGGAGGAGCCCTCAGAATAATTATAGGAAACATCCAAACGATATTATAATTAAAAGAAAAATTATACAACACAATATAAATCATAGATTTAGAATAAAAAAATATTTAGATCTAGACTTCAAGACTCATAATCTAAAATTATAATTATTATATTAATAAGTATAATATAAAATTTGTTTAAACTTTTACCCTATATAAACTTCCTAATTTATATAAAAATAATTTTTATTTAATTTAATACCTTATATAAATTTAATTTTTGTTTAATTTAATACTTTATATATTTAAATATTTAGTTTAGATTTAATTCTTATCCAATTTAATAAACTATATAATTTTAATTTTTATTTAATTTAATATTTTATATATCTAAATATTTAGTTTATTTTATTATTTTTTTTA